TGCTTCCATCAAAACGGGAATGGAGTTGGTTGCTAGAATCCTGGTCTTGCCTGCCAACAAGCCCTTGGGTCCAAGCACGTTATCAATGAGATGGCGTCCGACGTGCTGGTCAACAGCTGATAGACAGTCGTCGAGAAGATAGATGTCTGCACGAGCGTACACCGCGCGAGCAAGTGTAAGACGAGCCTTTTGACCACCTGATAGTGAGATGCCTCGTTCACCAACCTCAGTCTGGTCGCCATCGGGCAGAGATCCAAAGTCGTCTCTCAAAGCACAGGCGTTGACAGTCTTCTCATAGAACTGTGGATCCCAACGATGACCAAATACAATGTTCTCCCGAACGGAAGCGTTCATAACCCAAGCTGACTGTGGAACATAGGCGGTCTTTCCGCGAAGAACGACCTCTCCGTGGATCTTCCACAGGTCACCGAGCACTGCTTGAAGAAGTGATGACTTGCCTGCACCAACGCGACCAACAATACACGCGAGATCACCCTTGTGCGCAGTGAAGTTGATGTCATGGAGAGCTCGGCGCTCAGCGTTCTTGTCCCAGGTGAAGCTAGCATCGCGGATACGTACCGACTCGTCGCCGTTCTCGGTCACGGCGTCTTCGCGAATAACAGCATCCTCTTGCAACTCATCGGCGGTCAGGTAGCCAGTGATACGGCCAACAGCTACGCTGGCCTCGACAATGGCAGTGATGACCATTGGGAGGATGGCAAGTGGGAAAGTGAGGAGGTTGAAGAGCGTGAGAGCAGGGAAGACAATGTCAGTTGTCAGAGCACGGTTTTGCGTCCAGACGAAGACACCGAAAGTGGAGCAGGAAACTAGGAAAGGAGTCGTAGACCATGTGAATGTTGAGAATGCTTGTGTCGCACCAATCTTGCGCAAGGTTTTGAGTTCCTGGTCGTTTCGGATGGTGTTCAGACGGTTGGCAAAGGCAGTCGTCCAAGCATAGAGCTTGATCGACTTCATGTTGTTGAGGATCTCAGAGATCAGTTTGGTACGCGAATCCTTGTTCTTCATCTGTTCCTTCTGTAGAGTCTTCATCCACCGTGCAATCACACCGTTGATGGGAATCATGACGAACATGGCAGCAACACCTGCGAAACAACTGACACCAAGCAATTGATACAATGATAGCATGCACAAGATGATTTGGAAGGGAGCGGACCAAAGTTGTTGTCCGTATTGTGCAAGATCCTGGAGACGCTGTGTATCCACGGCCATGTAGTTGACGATATCACCGGTCGACTTGGACGCGCGACCCTCGTTGGATAGACGGGTGGACTTGGAGTAGATGGCAGCCGTGAGCGAAGACTTGATGCGCATGCCGGTCTCGAAAGACCGCTGGAAGTATTGGTGGAGACAGGCAGTCTGGGAAACGGACACAGCGAACATGGCAAGCGCGATAGCCGCACCACGAATGATAGGCTGGGGCTCTCCGGGATAGTTGGGGCTGTACGAAGCGACGAAAGTGATCAGAAGTCTCAGCAGCTGAGGCTGAGCGAAGTTCAGGACGTCGCTTATAGTCTTGATGGCAGCGCCGCGGAAGTAGGGACCGCCGAATGAGCGGAACATGGCCAGCCATAACGAAGGGCGCTTCTTCTCCATCTCATATTTCCACGCATCCTCAAACGTTTGCGAGGTGTGTCGGGTCGAGTCGCGCTTTCGCAGGTTCCACAGGCTGTCCTGAGTGAGGAAAGTCTTGTATCCTTGCTTCATCATCGGGGTCATCCAGCCAAATGTCAAGACCGAGAAGACGTCTGCGTATTCGTATGGACATTCATCGTCATCCCCAAGCATGTCGTAGTCGCTCATGCGCTTCGGGACCAGCCATTCCAGGACGAATGAGAGCCCAGCCAATCCAACACTAGCGCAGAAGACTGCGAAGTATGCCACATGTTCGCGATGTACCTGCTGGGAGACGAGGGAGCGGAGCTTGACGGCGTATGCGATGAGCAGGAAGAGCCAGTAGAAGAGGACCACGCCGTTGGCATTTCGCGACCGCCAGTGTTCGATATACTGGATGTGGAATATGAAGCCGAGAGAGACGATGGTGACTATGGATGTCCAGAAACGGAAGTCGCCGGCCCATACGTCTTTGTAGTATTCGATCTGGAGGGCTGCCTGGACTGCGGTGGTGGCGATGAGGGCGCCAAGTGATGTCTGGCGGCGGAAACTGTTAGCTACTGCTCAATCTGATCCCTAGATGAACCCAAAATCACCAACGTACCAGCTTTGCGTAAAAGTGCCAATTGCGCTTCACGGGCTGCGGTGGGCATTTCCTGTAGAGATACCACAACGCGCCTACTCCTCCGACGATTCCAAACGCCGCGACAACCGCTATCCATACATCCAAGAAGCACGGGGTGAAGTCGTATCTTATCGGGCTGATTGGGCCCCAGCCCTCGCTATTACCGCATAATGGCTGCCGGTGGTGCTTTGAGGCTGTCAGATAGCCGTGCGCGAGCGGGATGCTGGGGAGAAAGGGCGTCTGTTGTTGGCCCTGCATCGATCGAATGGTGCTTGTGATTGCCAGGACTCTGAGTATCGCAGAGTATAGGCAGATCAGGGCGTCGAAGGCGGCGAGAAGGTGTCTAGGCGGTTGCGACGCGAGGGCACTTTTGAGATGAAAGCTCGGGCCGTCGGTATGATATAATCATTGCTGCTTACTAGCCCTACTCCCGATAACGCCGCGAGCTACCCAACCGACTAACCTCCAGTATGTGGTAATAGACTGGGCCACGATACGGATGACCTGACTGAACGTAGAGCAGTTGGTCTCCCACCAGAGTACAACATAGAGGCTGTGTGGCTGCCTCGTGGATCATGGGCGCCTGCAACACTGCCGAAAACGTCGCGAACCGATGGGCCGGTCTTTGTCCGATCAACATCCCGGCGAACAGGTTCGCAGCTGCTTCCCAAGATCAGAACACCAGATCACGTGCGCATACCATTTTGGGTTGCGTACTACATTAATTCATTATCGCATCCAACTTTGTCGCTCATTGTCAATCGCACACGATGGATAGTACGACGGATAGTAGTGGTGGCGATATGGATTGGAAAAAGAAAGGTGGCGTGGCACTTGCTGCCCACCCAACGACCTTTGCTTCGCAACCACTTCATTATCGACAGTCAAGTGCGCTTAAGATGTTAAGAGTTGGACTTATTGCAAGACTACGTTCAGCAGATAGGGCTTTGCCAGCGGATCGCGTCCTCGTCAGCGCGCGCAGATGAGGATGCCTACGCGCTACGCTCTTTGCGCCCAAACCTCACCTCACCATCTCGGGGTCAGCGACGACCCATAGCATGTCGCATACATACAATTCTAGCAGCTCCTAGTAGTAGCAAGTAAAGACGCCTGCAGATGCCAACGCTGACATCTCCAGATCAGTTCCTTGGTTTCGCCGGCAAAGGCCCACTTAGCGACACCACATGCATGCTGCATGTCAAAATCAGCACCCACTAAACACCAAGGCCCCACGACCCACAGCCCCAGCCTGGAACACGTTTGTGCGCTTGTATCGTCCAATCTTAGTTTTCCCGACTCGTGGCTGAGTGGTTCGTCGTCTTCCGGGGTTATGTACTCCACCATCCACCCATTCCTTCACATACTACCATAGGATCATAAAAATTAGTTCACCCTTGTCATCCGTCAAATCTCGCGGTTCCGGATTGGGGTCAATTGACTGAGGTTCGTCTTCGGTTACCCGTTTTAGGAATTGCGACTCCGTCGCCAACTTGCTGGATATCCTACTGACACAGCCCTATATAACTCTTAACAGTATTTTAACATGCTGTAACTGTCTTATGGTGCTCGCCGTGTTAAGGATGGAATGCCGCTAGGATGGGGCTTAACCTGCCTCTGCAGTCCTGCTGCCGACTGTTATAGAGGCAGTCTTCATGACCCAATGGAAGAGATTATCGACTCGGACATGCTGCGTATGAATTCGTGCAAGTGATTTGACGGTATCGTCCCATCCGTGTTGCCACCTTCGAGACCGAGCGATAGACGAGGGGTCTCGTATACCACCCCTTCTGACGCTCAAGGTGACGACGCAGTGGAGTCGTCATCTACCGGCGGAAGGGTTGTGAGACAGTGGTATCGACGTGGCTCTGTTATTGGCTCGTCGCCACTGTTGTCGGAAAACCGCGTCTCTGGCAAGGACACATACATGGCTTCATAGAGATCAAACAAGGTTCAGGCACATGATGTATGTCTCTGCTCTTTCTGAAGTATAGATTGGCAAGAACTGTGGTTTGCGAAAAGGTCGGAGCTAGAGCGGCATGAGAGGTAAACTTGACTGCATCCAACGAATAAAGCGCATCTAGATTGTCGAATGTCTGGCATAAGGCACTGCATCCCTCGAAGAGTTCCGGTAAGAGCTAAGACATTTCGGGTTGGCCGAGGGGACGTGCACGAAGTCTTATCTAGGACAAGCTCAGGGGTTTAATCTCTACGGCGTATACCTTCGTATATGGAGGATCGCTCAAGCTTTGACACGCACGCTAGCATTTTTCTTGGTCCCTGCTTGATCCCATGAGCTGAAAGTTAGCTTCAATGCAAACCTCAACAGCAACGTTTCAGATGTCCCGTTGACCCGTTTCGCAAAGATGGCAGAGTTTAACGGTACCTTGGTATCCATCAAAGGGACGTCCGGTCCCTGGGCCATCTTCCAAAACCTCATGGTCTCCATCAATCTGAATAATACGACGTTCGTCCGCGCTCCTGCTAGCGCACGACCCAAGGTAGATAGCTCACCCAAAAAGGGGTCCAACTCGTATCTACCTAGTCAGGCACACTACCCTTTTCCGCCCGTTCGAGCCGACTCGACACCCAGTTCGGCTTAAATGCAAGATGAACGCTCATATTAAACTGTTCCCCCGAAGCCAAGACGACTTTCTCTCTTCTCACAGGTCTTCCAACCTCGCAACCTAACCATTACACTCGCTTTTTGACGACCGATTAATACTACACTCTTTAATCTTTAATAATGTCTTCCATCATCCGCAGCGTTCTCGCGCTCAGCGCTGTCGCCGCCGTCGCCGTCGCTCAAGACCCAGCCCCCAAGCTCGACGCTCCCTGCGCCGATGCCGTCATCTTTATGGCCCGCGGTAACACTGCGCCGTACCATGACTTCCGTACATTCCCCTTTGTCGACGCTACGTGCGGCAAACTAAGGGCTGAGGGCAAGACCTGCGACTACATTGAGGTTGTGTTCCCGTATGGCGGCGACTACTGCAAACAGATTGGCGAGGGAGTCAGCAACGGTCTATCCCAGATCACTGCCTTCAACAAGAAGTGCCCTTGCACGCACCTCATCCTCAATGGCTTCTCTCAGGGTGCCTGGATTACCGGAGATATCCTTGCTGGACCTGGTGGATGCTCGCAGATCACCACTGGTCTAGACCCTGCCTCGGCTCCTGGTAATGCTAGTAAGTATTCTTGACATGACACACTCGAACCTTGGACTGTGCTAATGTGGTAACTTAGTTGCTGCTGCTCTCCTCTGGGGCGATGTCAAGCACGAGGCTAACCAGCCATACAACGTTCTTGACGGCTCTAATCTACAGAAGAACGGTCGCGACGCCGCCTCTCTTGCGCGCCTAAACCGCTACGCACCCGTCCTGCGCTCTTACTGCTCTAAGGGAGACCCAATCTGCGCCAACGGCGACGACGTCGAGAAGCACTTGAGCTACTTTGAGAAGTACACCGAAGACGCCTCGACCTGGGCCGTTGGAAAGCTCAACGCCGCCGCCCCTCTATGTGCCGCTCCCACACCTACGCCTAGCGCTTCTTCTACTGCCGTCGCCTCGTCTGTTCGCGTTGCCGCTGTTGCATCTTCGAGCGCTGCTGCATCTTCGAGCGCTGCAGCTTCCTCTAGCACTGCTGCTTCCTCTGGCACTGCTGCTTCCTCTAGCACTGCCGCTTCCTCTGGCACTGCTGCTTCCTCTGGCACTGCTGCTTCCTCTAGTGCTGGTGCTTCCTCTGGTGCTGGTGCTTCCTCTGGCGCTGGTGCTTCTGGTGTTGCTGCCTCCTCTGGCGCTGGTGCTTCCTCCACTGTCGCCGCTCTTCCCGCTTACCCTACATCTCCAGTTTACGTTGCTCCCTTCACTGCTCCCCAGCCATACGAGGCTATGTGCGTTCCCCGCATCACGATCAAATACGTCTACGCTTAAGAGTAAGAAGGACGGAAGATGTAGCGGAGTAGACGTAGTGACAGCAGTAGATGGGTGTAGATCGATATAGGAACTATGAAAAAGAATGACCGTCGTATTCGACGTCTGTCTGAACTTTTGGTTTTCGTGCGTGATGAGTGTTTTCCGTCTGCTCTGCAAGTGCGCTGTGAATTCTTGTAGAGCCCGATGGTCTAATCTATAAACGTCTAGCCTGGAACGTAAACGTTCCTGTGAGCCTCCTGTATCCCCCGTATCTAGTTTCCTGGATAAATCTGGACAACACAATCTACTGGAGACCCCTTATCCTGCGAACCTCTAGCAAATCCGCTGTTGTATCTGGTCTATCCTGGCGCTGAAAGTCCTGCACAAGATCGCTATTTATATTAGGTGTGACGTCTGGGTTCTTAATGTTGAACCTATCTAGGATGGTATGGCTACTCACGCAACTAAAGGCACGTAACACCGACAAACAGGCATTACTGTAAATGGAGCAGTATATATTATGCACATGGCCGTTTTACTAATCTGCGCGAACTGAGTGTATAGTAGTGTTGAGGATGTAGAGAGGCGAGCTTGGTACGGCGGCTTGGCGTACCTAGTATAGACCGACGAGTAGTCTACATGCTTGAGAGCTGGAGTTTATGAGGTAGACAACATTATTGCTTGTGTAAATTAATTATTTGCGCTACACTATTTCGGGATGATCTGCTGCTCAGCCCAAAGGAGTGTACGTAACGCAAGTAGATCCTTCTCCTTTCTCCCAAAACTTGCTACGCGTTGCGCGATACTGGAAACAGATAACTTGGCGATCTTTATGGTATCAGAACGAGTGACAATTAGGCTTCCCGTCCGCTCAGCCATATACAAGCATGATACCGCCGGATTAGTAGTTAGGTGGGTGACTACTAGCGAATCCCCGATGTTGTATGTTTTTGCACTTTTTTGCACTTAGATCAGATCTCAGCGACGTGCTACTAAAGCTCCTTCCCTCTCGTGTATGCCGCCAGGAACATGACGGGCAGTCTCTGGAACCCTTTGAGAGCGTCGTCATCTGCTCACAATAGGCCTTTACCATCTGCAAACGATCCCACTTCATCTTTCTCAATTTCACAATGGCTGTGTCATGGTCAGTCGCAACATCTTTAATCTACTCCATGCTTTTTGCTTTGGTATCTGTTCCGAAGCAATCCACAAGGTCAAAGAAGAGTTTATAGGACTCTGCGTTGTGTACAAGGTGTTTGGGAATCACCCTTACGTTGCCGTCAGCACTAACAGGCTCATCATAGTGCTAGGTCTCTGCCCACAAAACGAACCGCATACACTACCTCATCAGTACGCAAAAGCAGCCTTTGTCTGCTTCGAGAACGCTCTCAGTCCAGATTACAACATCTTACCAAAGCCTTATATCCATTGGAACCCAAGCCCATGTGTTGGCAGTAGAAAGTATTATTCGCCTTCTTTCCATATTGTTCCGATCGCTTCCTGCTCCAGTGATTGTTGTCATCAATGCTGGCGCAATCTTACAAACTCCGAGCAGCGCTCAGACTCTGACCGAGTCCTGCCGTTGTTATGCCGAGCCGCTCTCGGAGCATATCTCAACAGCTGAAGATTCCAATCGAAGATCACAAAGTACAGCAAGAAGGAACGCGGTGTATAGATGAACATTGTCATTGTCATTTCCAATTCTATCAGATTATAAACAAGAAGCTATGCAGACGCTCAAATGCGATAATATATACAGTTTCGAAACATCTCCACCAACTCAGCGTCTAAGAGGAGTAGAGGCACTTGTAAGTGGTCTCCTCCTTGAGCGCCTTCATGGTGAAGGGAGTGCAGCCCTCGGAACCAGCAGGCTTCTCAGTACCAGAGAGCCAGATCTTCCAGCCACCGCCAACAGCGCCGGGGCAAGCCTGGAAGCCAATGTCGCCGGAGAGGCCACCAGCAGCGAAGACAAGGTCACCGTCGTCGTTGATCTTGAAGGGGCCGCGCTCCTGGTTCTTGCCAATGGGTTGGACACCAGTGGTGTAGCGGACGTTGCCCTGGCCCATGCCGCTGCGGTCGACGTACAGCTGGAGAGGGGGGTTGAAGGTGTAGATGTAGACGCTGCCGGTCTCCTCGTCGAGCGAGAAGGAGGCGTAGTTGATGCCATTGGTAACGTTCTCGCGGTCACCGTTGACGGCGCAGGTCTTGTTGTTCTCGGAGGGAGTGTTGATGAGGAGGCTGCCGTTGGCGGCCTGCACGTTGCCGTACTGGATGGGGGTGGCGGAGCGCAGAGACATCAGGCGGAAGACATCGCCGGCCTCGGGGCGAGGGAAGACAGACGCCTGGGGAAGGGCGGAGGAGATGGCGGCCATGGAGGCGACAGCGGCGGCGGAGGTGAACTTCATGTTGATGGTTGAGGTGGTGTTGTTGAAGTGTGGAAGTGGTGGTTGTGGTGATTAAGTATTAGTGTAGAGTTGATGAGATGATGTTTGGATGAAGGCCTAAAGAGAGCAGCATCCCATCTCTCTTATATTCAAATGCCATCTCGTATTTCCTCCCCTTGTCCTACATCATGCCTGTCCTCAACGAGGCTGAAGGGTGCCCACACTCGGCGCCGACGACCAAAGTGCAACGCTATGACTTCATCCAGTCGGATAATTATCGTATCCCCAGTTTTGTGACCCTGATATGGCCAGCACCGGCTGTGGCGCGCACCCCACCCATGACCGTCTAATGAGGATTTGGGCGGAAATGACGCACAATTGCCACGGCATAGGGCCGAAGCCCTTGGCAGGTAACCAGAAGAGGTAAAGCGCATGCCCCTGTCGAGCGCTGATTGGCCACGGCCTCGGCCGGCAAGACGCTCAAAATAGATACAGCAATGTCGTCTCCAGAAAACATTCATGCCGAGGATATGCCTTCGAAACTAACGGTGTGAACATTCGCGTTGGGAGAGGGGTGTGGTCGCCTTCAGTCGAATACGATGGAAGATCAGGAGACGATGTTACTTGTCGCTCGTAAAGGTGGGCTCCAGCAGCGCTGGCAGTATTTGCTGCAGTGCTTGGACAACCATTTCGAGAACATTGTCAATGCAAAGTCTGGAAATCCCGGCATCGTACCGGCGTATTCGTGTTTAGGTGGGTAACCATTGGGGAATCCCCGCTGTTGTGTGTTTACGCTCTTTTTTTAGTACATGGATCGGATTACGGAGGGAGAAGCGCAATCGAACTTCTTCTCCTGTCTTCCGCGCTCGAGCTTAGATGGTCTTTTCGCGAGGGATCTTTGCAGGTGGTGATAAATTGGGACGTGGATACTTGGTAACGGTGGTTGCCATCGAACTTTCTTCCTCTGTACTGCTTTAACCAAGACTTAGACACCCGGTTCCCTCTCCATAGGTAGCCATGAGCTCCAAAATTTTGTTTCGACACATCGTTAGGCGCTTGACATGGAGTCTCCGTAACTGCTCCAAGGAATAGAGCTATTCGCACACTACGTCGCTCAGCAGCGTGCACGATGGACACCCGGTCATGCGTCGGTGCGTTTACTTTGACCATGTGAAAGCGGCGGTGAGTCTTCCTCTAAGGCGGTGACTGGATGCGTTAAGTGGTCGAACGACGACGTACGTTAAGAGAAGCAACGGCTGAAGGGACGCGTTGTTGATCACGTTGCGATTATTCCAGCTCATGACTTTCACACGAGAGAAGGACTGAGGTGATGGCAGTACTTTTTTTTACACTACGGTAACTATGCGTCGCTTTCCAAACGGGATTTTGCATCATTTACCTTGGCTACGAGGATCGCGTGTCATGACCATCTAGACCGAGATGTTACTCAGTCTGAGCAAGATCTGACCAACTCGTTAGTATCGTATTCTTATTGTGAGCGTCTCGTCACTGACTTTGTCGACGTAGCGTACGCCAACGATAACGTCATCTTCATCTTTGAAGTCGCTCTTGTCGTTGAAATCGGGATTGCTTTCATCCAGGCATGTCAGGCACGATACGACGAGCTCCGTCTACTTATCACCCATACAACTAGGTAGTTCGCGCTGCGCAATCCCTACGAGCGTATCCTTGAGCGGTGTAGCTTTGGTCACTTCGTTCTTCTTGCTGTAGCCTGGCGGCGGTAAGAGTTGCGACGATATCGCTTTTTTCGTGCTGTCGTATGTGACGAGTGTGCGCCACATTCTGATTTCTAGCAAGCAAACACCGAGGCTGTAGATGTCGTGCTGCATCTTGTATGCTTCCCCTGGTGCCAATCCCTGGCGTTGTGGGTGACGATGCAGGTCTCTCTCCCAAGCGGAGTCACTAAATTTTGATGTTCGGCCTGCATCTGCGCGAAACTTCTCGAAGCCAAACAAGAACGAGTGTGCGAGCTTGGTCTTGCTGCTGTCAAAGTTGAGGACTGTTTCGGGGCGGATGCCTTTGTGCACGAACTCGTACATGTGAACGTAGCTCAACGATCGCGCTAGCTGCTGTGCGAGGCGGAAGCGTACGCTGAGACTCATGTTTGGCTTCGATTAGATCAAGACGCTGGGTAGGCTTTGCAGTGAGTGTAGGGAGAATGGTATCTTGAAATGGAAATCGAAAGCTTTGAGGGAACCCTTAGGCTCGTACACGCGAGCAACGCCGCGGCATTTGAGCAAGCATAAGCTTATCGGGTCTGTGTCTTTGAGCTTGTGGGCGAGATCGCGCACATCTCTGTTCTGAATGTCGAGAGCGATGCCTGGTGTGACGGGAACAGGGTCTGCTATTAGCAGGGGTTTGGAGCTGCGCTGGCAGAGAGATGCAGTCGAGTACGGTATTGCCGTGTAGACGTAGTCTGACGTTTCTCCCGCTTTCAAGAGCATAGAACCCCGTTTGTGTATCCATCCTGAGGCAGTCACGGACAGTCTTCGCCTTCGACATGATCTTACGCGCAGCAACTCCCACTGGTTCATGTTCCGCAGATGGCTTTGACTACTTTAGTCCGGTGTCAATCAAGTTGTGCGATATCCGCATGGTATGGAACCAACTCGGGTCGAAATGTCCCTGCCACTCCTTCAACTCGCCTATGGCCGCATCCAAACCCTTCTTGATCAAAGGATACTTCCACTTATTGTATTGCGTGTCCTTCGTCGCTTTCTGGTCGGGGTCAGTACGACCTTGCCTCTTTTCGAGTTTCTGAACTTCGCTCATCGCCGCCTTCAATTTGTCCACCAGCTGTCCGAGTATCCGGTCTTGCACCATCCGAAACTCCTTGTCTAACACCGTATGAATGTGCTTGAGGAATCTGACTTGCCATTGGACCTGGAACCAGATCGCTTGCACTTTCAACAGCCTTTCGCTGATCTCTTTGTCCACATTCTGGTAGCTGTTGTACATCTGGACGAGATGCTTCCCATACCTGGTAGCTTAGTCAGCATACATACAATACCTAGGCAAAGCACTCACCTGATCGCTAGGTCAGCAGTCGCGATGATAGCAAGGGCTACTTCGACTGACCTTGCGAAGTATTGATCGACAATCGTGGAAAAGCTGGAGAGTAACTGCAACACCCGACCACTTGTTGTAGAAGGTGAGAAACAAAGACAACACCGGATGGGAGTATGCAGGCGTGGGGTTTGACAGGGTGGCGATGTATCGTCAGAGAGCGAATGGAAGGAGTAGGGATAGTTGTTTCTGGCTGTGAGGGAAGGGCCGTCAAAGCTGCGAATAGACACGGGAGAGGCTGTGTGATACAGCGCAAGGCTGGTCAATATAGATATGAGAAGAACTATAGGGTTAATCTTCTCCACCTATACGCGGTCGGAGGCGAGATAGGCAGTGCCTGCCATGCCACCTGAATACATCGGCGAGGTAGGCTGGGGTTGCATTATGACGCCGCTGCTGCTTCCGAAGTACATCGAACTCCTCGCATATTTTCCCGCCACAATTCTTGCGTCGCTACCCGGCCATCCTTTTGTCGTTGTTGTATCTGCTCAATCCCGGGCCTTCGCTGCTTCCCCTTGGCGCACATGGCTACCTCACTTCCAGGCTATAGCCATGAACAGCCTTTACATTTGTTCACGCCGGAAGTCTCATGCCATTTAGCTGGACTCACACGACAATGCCCTCGGTCTAACAACCCTAGTAGAAAAACTACTAATAGCTGCTAACTATTCAGCCACGTCCAATCTACTGACTGAGGATGGTTTGCAGAAAGACCCGTCACGGTCTCAAGAATCACCGCTTGGCTCGAGAATGGAAGCTAGGAGCCTAACAGCGTCAAAAAGAGTTGAAAGCATGAAAGATCCAACAACTTCGGACGAAGAGCGCCTCTCTGCTGGTACAACACTATTACACGTGACACTATCAGTCACTCTACAGTCTGCTCTAGACAGTAAAGAGTCTCTAAGAGAGTCTGGTGAGTATTTTGATCGGCCTATCGCAGTCAATAACTATATTCTTCCGCCCAGTACGACCATATCAGAGGCATCACCATCTCAGTCAACATCGTAGACCTCACCAAGAACACCCAGCGGCGACTGGACGAAAGCGATGCCATTTTCCTCACTTTCTCTCCACCAGATCAGCCCGGTCAGTCCGGGATGGTCAAAAGATCTTTCGATTGTTCAGTAAAAAGGCTGCTAGCTCAGGTCACTGTCCTTGCCGAACGATCTCACGCACACGATGGACCCAGATGCATTGTAAGTACATATATACGATAAGAACTCATTCTTGGATATTGACATGTATACCATCATCGTTATACCAGGTCTGCGCGATCCTCTTGTCGAGGTATGGAGCTGAGATGGATTCCACAATGAGCCACTTGTATGCGATTTCACAAGGTACCTCATGAACATACAAGTTTTCGCACTGGAACATGGCTTGAGAGTCAATGGAAAAGGAATCCGCCGCTGCGATCAATTGTGGGAGAGTTCGCATATAATGATGCATTTGCTTCACGAACATCGCGAGCAGACTGTTGTCAGTACTCATACTCTCAGAGAAAGCTTTTCATTTAACAGAATTTGCAGACTATGCCCATACCTATGGTTTTTGTGGGACACGGTGTCGGAGGCATGATCATCAAAGGCGTACGTTCACGCAGCAACGAAGATGGAATGATGTTAATACCAGCCAGATCTTCTGGAAGTCAGGTGGGCCACAGCTCCGAACTTTTCCCAGCCGTTGGTATGAGGACATAGTCCACAAAGCAGTCGGAATCGCTCTGCTCAGAACTCCCCACCTTACGAAAACAAACTCAACAGATAGAGAGAGAATACTAGGCGTCACTACGAGACCACCTACATCCAGAAAGTCAGAGCCCCTTCTTAGGAAGCTCCTAGACCTGGAAGACACCGAATATTTCCGCTCTCTGCCAGAGGAGTTCGACAAGTGTATCGGGCAATCTGTTCCCTGTCTACTTATCCTATCAGTCTGGGATGGCCGAGAAAGCGACGCAATGCGAGTAGAAAAGACGAAGCTGGGGCGCAGATGGAGAGCAGAGAAATCTGTGGTACGTAACAAAGATAGCATATATCCAATCATCAATGACTGCCCTTCACGGAGAAATGTTCTAACATGTACCACAGATAGTCATTCACGAATTAGCCAAGATGGGCTTGCCAAACGAGGAGATGATGGTAGCTGATTGCAATCATCATCAGCTGTGCACACTTAGCAATCCCGAGTTTCGAAAGAAGCTCATCGGCTTTTGTCAAGAGAAGCTCCTGGAAGCACACGGCAGAAAGTTGGGAGGGCCAAGTAGCTCATCCGTGACTTTGAACAATATCTTGGGCGAAGGGTCAAATGTGCCCTCGCCCTGGTAATCCCGTCATTCATTTTACTTGCTGCAGACATGTATTGCCACCAACACTCACTACGTACCCAATATCCACTATCAATACGTTACGTCTCTCGCAACCACATGTATGCAACCTCGCCATGCACTGTGAAAGGAATGGGAAAAGGGGCGATTGCCTCCTCCGTGCACTGATCATGCTCACATTGATCTTATGTCAGACTTTGGGCGAACACGGCAGTTAGCATGCCAACGTATGAGCCCAGTTCAAAATAATGAGGCTCGAGAGGAACGGAACTCCCAAAGGGACTACGCTATCGCGGGCAAATGGATGCCACATTGAGAAGGCAGCTTCCTGGGAGACGTTGCAGTGCGCGTCCAGCGCATGCAAGAGCGAACGCGCATTCCCTTGCGGGGTTCGTCAGCCATTGAAGGCAGCTGGAGCCGCTCAACCCAGCATGAACGACGCGGCTCAGTCACTGCTCCATGCACCCGCATTCAGCATCACTATTGATTGCCACATCCCCTGTATTGACCGACTCACCACAACATCCCGATCGCGCGCGTACGAGCTCCAACAGCCCTATTACCCCAACGAGTAACACCGCAGAAACCGCGACCGGATACAATCTTGTAAAACCCCAGTCACAGATCCCCCGAGATAAGCAAAAAACCGTGGACGGCGCGAAGCCTCCGCTCCCCATGTCCAACGGCTTCTTCGGTCCTTCTCTCGGAGAGATCAGCAACCGTTTATCTGCTGATCATGAACGAAACGAGTGCTACACAGTCAGCCCTAAACAACCAGTGCGGTTGCCACCCCTCACGATTGCAACCGGTTTTGTGACTCTTCTCAACAAGTTCCAACGTGTTGGCCCTGTCGGGCGTTGTTGGGCATGAGATGTAAGGATGCTCGTTGTTTGCTCGACCACATTGGGGCATCCACAAGCTTGGAATGGGAGATGAGCATGTCCCGGCATTACTCCAAGAGGCAATGGGGTATCTGGTGGTATGTCGCACCGGTGCCCAATCATTACTGCAAGCGTTTCGTTGGGGAAGACGCACGCGCAGGGTATCGATATCTAGCTCTCTCACCTAGGTGCCCAGATCACTCCTGCACATCTTGCAGCATCGGACTTGTTTCAAAGAGCAGACCAACGGCGCCGCTAAATGTTGTGAAGTGATCATCATGGCATCATTAAAGACTTTAATTATCTGCAGGATCGCGAGCTGTGCAGCATGGTGGGTGGTAAGGTTGACACGTAACTTGCGGATGTCCTGTCCAGACAAACGGTCCGCACCGAAGTGTTCGATCATGCAATGCCTGCAGTGATCAAACTTTCGGCTTCGATCAAACCTACCGGACAAGACCCCTTGCAGCGATCGAGAGGACAGAATAGAGCTTCATGGAGATAAGATTGCTGGCGGGTTTGTGATTGGTGTGCACATGTGAGAGGGTATTGCCGTGCAGCTCGCTGATGTTTCCCCATATCGACGCATCGTGAGCGGCGCAGCTTGGTGTTGCATAATACGATGTAGCGCGCCTAGATTTCAGGGCTGTCATAGAGATTCGTGGTGGCGTTGTAGCTTAGTACCGCATCACAGTCGTCCGAATCCGATGTTCTTCGTCTTTCGACAAGCCGAAAATGGTCGGTGGCAGACTACCATCGTCATCGGCCAACTGTTCCGCTGGAGGTGTGTGGATGTCATTGCTGAATGAGTCAGTTTCGCTCTGTCCGACCCAGCTCCCCGCAATTTCCACCTTCCTCCCACGTGGCAAAGATGTCTGAAACAACCAAGTTTTCTAGTTAGTTCAAACCAACATGAAGAAATACACGGATGAAGGTGGTGAGACCGTGATGAGCATCGAGGGCGGAAAGGCCCGCTAAGGCTGTCTCTTGATCCGCGCACACAACGTCAACCGCATAAGGGCCTTGGAGTGAAGGTGGTCGGGAAGACCTCGCGGATCAGCGTCTAGATGCACTGAAGGATTTTTGAATACGGAGTGGCCCGCCTGGTGAAACAGCGTGTCCCTTGCGTTTGCGATGCGGGCGTGAGCGAACGTCTGTGACGAGCTCACATTTTCGGAGGGGCTGTGGACTAGTGGCTGAACAAACTTCGTCAGAAGGGCGTGTTCCTGGGCTACCTAGCCTAGGCCGACATCTTCAACGGCGGAGCAGTAGTGAAGCAACGGTCATAGTACAGTAGTGAAAAGCTGACAGCTCAAGTGCGTGATCTTACCGCGCTTGTACGTACGAATGTGGACTGGATGTCTGTCTCGAGAACTCGCCGGGTCTGGCAGATGTCTCCGATCTTGTTGAGTGGATTCGCGTATCCTGCTACACGAAGGTCTGCGCCAGGAAGGTTTCTAACGCACGTCATTCCGCAATGTATTGCACTTGCAGCACACAAGTCTGGCTCGACGTTAGAGACAGTGGAGCATGCACTTCAATGCGGCATCCAAATGGCAATGGGCTGAAACACTGCTGGTGCAAAGTCGTACCATACTGCAGGAAATTTGCTCGATAATCGAGAGTCCATTGTGCGAATAGGATTAATTCAACATTCGGATTATAGCCCCGACGTAGCTCATTCGTCCAAAACCACGAGGCTGAACATCAGGGCGACAGAGTTAAGGATACAGCCGGTTAGTGAAACTGTTGAACACGAGAAAGTAGCATATGGCTAGTCGCCTCGAGCAGGTCCAGAAGGTATGAGGTAGCTAGGTAGTGACGTGACAGGCGCCGCTGAGAGCAAGTCCAGCCCTCAGAAATGATTGAGTCATTGACAAGGTGAGAAGGTGAGGGTGCTCTCCCAGTTGACGTTACAATGTGACCTCGCGGGCAATTCTGGCAAGCCCATATCTTGGCCCAGATTGACACCACAATCGAAAACTGACGGTGCGTAGTGGCGTTATTCGACGGCAATGTTAGACGATCTATTGATGTGCTAGCAGCTAGCCAGCCAATCGCAATACGCCATGGCGGACGAAGACCGTGGTGTTTAAGGGTACCGACGGCGTGCTTGAAGCCACACGAGAAAGAAACAGCGCCGCCGTTTGTGACGCATGATGGCTGAAGTGATGTTCCTGGATGTTGTGCCGAGGTGCGAGCGACGAGACAGGTAACGTCGTATGAAGCCAACAGCGGGAGTTACGGGAATGTCAGATGCCACGAAACTGTGCAACAAACGATGTCCTTAGTTACAAGTCCGGCGAGTCGATAGTCGTGGGTGCCTTCCGCTCCAACATCTGCCTACAGCATCCAAGCAGGGTCTTGGATGAAACATCGATTAATGCTCCGGATGCTACTGCAGCGGGGCGAATAAGTTCTGCACTGGAGTTAATCTCAGGAGAATAAAACTGCAGGTTGGGTGTGCAACCAAGTTCACGTGGCGTCCGCACTTACATTTTTCAACTACAGCTGCGCGGGCCGGACCCCTCCATTACGCTTGACAAATGAGGACTCGACATTGGCCGAAGTAGCCCCGAAACAAGCTTTGCTCTGGTCCCTGGGGAGGAGTTCGCCGCACACGATGTTCGCACTCTTTGCGCTCCGCGGAAGATAGCCGCTTAGCGCATTGCTAGCAGGAATTATCCGTACGATCCGGATCTCCAGGATCGTCCAGGGACCTCATCTTCCGGCGTAGATCATCCCCGTCATGTGCACCCATTTGCGCACCTGTGCAGTATGGAATATGGTCTAATGGAGCTTGCCGACCTGCGAATATGCCCAACACGAGGAGTAAATGGACGCTGAGGGTGGATCTCGCCGCGGATGGCGCCAAGGTACGCTATCAGTCAATAGAACATGCCGGGGGTGATCCTGGGTAGACTGAACGCCGGGAGGGCTTGATCGTCATGGTGTCTCTCCCAGGTCGAAGGCATGCCGGCTTTCTCAACGTTGACGAAACAGGATCTGGACTGCGTAAATGCTGACTCAAGTTGACGTTCACGACGAGGAGATGTTGAGTCGCTTTTCTCTTCCCCAACTGCGAGGCCGTTCGATGCCGAAAAGGGCGATGAAAACCAAGGATGATGTCGACACGTGATACAGGCTACACGGGAGGATTATCGTGACGCTGCTGTGCATTTGCGCGTCGGTGTGATGGTCGAGCAGATGCTGCAGAATGTTACATGGCACCATCGCAGTCATCATGTCCACTCCAAAAGTAGGATCGATGCGGTATTTGCGACTGAGCCGTGATCGTACCGTACGCAACGAGACCCTGCTGTGTGTTTAGCGCGTCGCGGTTGATGTGCAAAGACATCACATCATCCAAGTTGTGCTGATCGTAGCCGACTTTCGCCTACCCGCGCAACTGAAGTCACACTCGCTGCCACCTGCGCCTCGGGAACAATCCGGGGCAGGCGAGACGCTGGCGCAGACTCAATGAGCTATCTGCGAGAGCCTGCCTCGAAACCGACAAGGTACATGTCTTGTCCTGACTTGACGATTCGTGGGCGCAGCTGAACTTCTGGTCATAGCAGCAAGAATAGCGCGGTTAGCAGTGGACGCGATAGGTCTCGTTGCGAGAAAATCAGACCATAACGACACGAATGAGCACGTGTATTGGAGAATAAAAAAAAACTAATCCGCGTCAGCGCTATTGCAATTGAAACGCGAACATGGCAAGGAGGAGTAGGTTAGTACAGTCTGTGATAACCTGATGACCTGATTCCAGGTTGAGAGTGGACTCACTGATCAACGACGGATTGCGAACGTGCGGCCTGAGTCGATGCTGGTTGTATATATGTCCGGGACCTATATTTGCTTTGTTTAAGAGCTTGCAAAGCAACGATGTTCCCAGTCTGAGCAATGCGTTGGAGGGGCGCGCCACAATTGGCGAACATGCGTCCCCCAGCTATCAATTGTCGCTGAGAGACACTTGAGGCCAGCGGACAGCTAGCACATGTCTAGTCGATTCCTCTCGGACGTGGCCAGAATGCAGTCGTCTTCTCAATGCGACCTCCTAGCATTTAGCGATAGCCGTTGAAACCTGGTTGCTGTCAGGCGCGGTGTCAGCAAGCCTCCAAAGAGAGCGATGCTAACGCACGGAGACAAGTGATGCCCACCCTAACCAGACGAGGAGAACATCTGCAATGCCGCCCGGCCGAAAAGGGCGAAGTGCGTGACTTGCAGGACAGCACTGACTCGCGCCTCACAAACCTGGCTGCGGACCGGAATTGATAGCGCCGTCCAGTGTCTGGCTAATCGGCACACCGCACATCATCGGCTATAGATGACGTTCCTGACTAGATGATAACTCACCAAGTGAGCTTGCAAGGGACGATCAAGGCTGAAGCGCACGTCTGGGGAGAGTAGACGCGGCTCTATCCCTGGCCCTCAGGGCAAGGATACCGCGTCAGTCACCGAGGTGCCTCTGCAGTAGGCTATGCAGTTCTGTTGCTGCGACTGCACCAGGACCCGCTTGGTCGTCACGTATCGGCTGCATTGTCGTCATTGTCAGCCCCGCGTCAAACCGCCTGAAGACGTCTCCAAATGCAGTCGCATGGCGGTCCAAGTATGAATGGGTGGCAGCGGAAGCCGTGACCCCACAACTCCATGGTGTGCTTGTCTGGAAGGCGACATAGCTGCAAATCTCAGGCTTACGGTAGACGCATCTTACACGGACTATTGGAGAAGTTCGCAGGTCACGGCGTGCTGAGCGGTGCAATTTTTCAGATGGAGTGTGATGGGCGTGCATGATTCTCTCCAGGATGTAGGGGAAGGACAGCATCCCGGCACGTGCACGCTAGGCTGCGTTCGGTCGTCACTTGATCAAGCGATGCCCTTCGCGGAAGCGAAGCCAAAGTGTGAGGACTGAGCCATACCCAACGCAACCCGCGCGGAGATGCGCAATTCTCGGGAGATTTTTCATCGCCCTGGGTACCCCAACCGACGGTGGTGCGGTGTTGACGTTTGCATGGCCGCAGCGAACCTTTGATGTAGGGGTTGGTCGACAACAGCTGGGGCTGCTGGGCAGGGCCACAGGTCAGACGCGACCGTGTGAAACATAGCGCACCGTCCCGGATCCGCGATGATTAGACCAGTGTGCGTGGTCCTTGGCCACTCTGCTCATGACGCTTAGTCTCTTTCGGATTCGCATAATCGCATCCCAGTCGCCATGCTGGACGTCTGCGCTGTGCCTTGTTCCGGCTGCATCCTGCTCTCTTGGCCATCTCCGCACCGCTTCCTCAGCATCCGACCGACTTCGGGCCTGCTGAAGCCACGCGGAAAGGCCGCATTGCTCATGCTGACCCGATACTCCTCTTCAATGCATTCGGACGGCCGTTTCTGGGTCCAGGACGTTGCGGGATGAAAAGAGTTTCGCGTGCTGCCTCACCAGCGGCCGCCGTCCAGGAACATGAAGCTTACGCTGTCCTAACGTCAGGCCCTGGCAGCTGCGGAGTCATGGCGCACTATTTTAGCTGGCAATGGTGCGGTGGGCGGCGGTGGATTGGGCGCAGGGAAGGCTGCTTGTGTGCGTTGATCGTCTCATGGGCCAGACCCACGAACTGGCGGATGGCTGGAGGCGAACATCCCCAGCAGGACTGCCTCACATGTCCAGTGTCTCCGTCCAGGGCCTAGCAGTGCGCGAAGCAGGGGGCGATCGCTGCGCTACTGTGGCCATCAACTGTCTGCCATCCTAACCAGGTAAAGCCTTCCTAGCGGCCAGTCTCGCAGTGTGTCATGGCCGCCGGAGACAAGCGTTTCCCTCCCAGGCACTCCATCACGACGTATTGCCTTCGTGCTCTGTCGCAAGTCGTGCATATTCCCTCACGCTTGACCTGCCCCATCCATCAGAGTCATTGCCAGGAGTCGCCAATTATCTCCGACAGCCCATCCTAGCTGTCATAGGCTGGATAGCGTTAAATCCCAAGGAGCCATGTCCATGTCCGCTGGCTGATGCCGCCGTTGCTACTATTACCTCCACTCCCTATTATCGTCCCAGGGCCTGCCTACCCTAACATCCTGGTTGCTTCGCAATTCGCCGACGCATCGATATTAACCCCCAATTATACATAGTTGTACCCGTTCCCTGGACCACTCTCTGGTACCTCCTGTCGGCGAGCTACATTCTCCGTATCGTTGTTTGCATCTGCAGCGCCAGTACGTGCACAGTCCCGCCCCTCTACCACCATGTGGCTTGGAGACTATCCAAACAATTTCTGACCCTTTATACAGTTCCTCCACTCCTGCTGCAACCCATCACAACGACCAACGCATAATTCTCCTCTCTGTAAGCGAGACCACAGACTGCAGTCGGCGCAGCTATCCATCTGCATCGTCAACGCACCTGCCCCGCCTTTCGTCCCGCCCATCCAACATCACCAATACCGTTCGCACACCTACTCTCGACAACACTCGTTTATTGCAACATCGACACTGGTAAGTTCTTGTTCAACCTAGTATGATTGCATGCGCTGATTAGTTACAGCGGATGATTTTGCTGTTATAAGTTCTTAACTAGCTTCTGTTTCCCGGACCAGCTTCAATACGCCAATCCATTAACGGAGTCGAAACTATCAAACACTGCTTTTCCCCATGTTGCAAGGTATCAGGGCATCGACTCTGACGATGCCTCCCTTTGGACATGACATGTCCCTAGGTGGCGTGCAAAAGGTGGAAGGCTACGGAGACACAGATTCTTGGAACTGGCCTCAACAACCGACCACTCAACAACCCGCGTACTCGAATATGTTCGATCCTTCCATGTACGCCAGCTTTACACCCTCGATGCAACAGCAAGTTCGTCAACCATCTCGCAATCACTCTATCGCTACATCTCGCGTCCTCTCGACCGCAACTAGCACACCACCACCACCAAGGCCTCAGGTTACAGGTAACATGGTCAAAGCACAGCCGGCTTTCAAGCCAACGTGGCAGGGATTTCTCGATACTACCAAAGATGCCATGACCGTTGTGGAGGCCGCACTTCAAGGCCGTCTCAGCCATATCAGCCGCAGGCCGCATGATAAGGAACGCGCAGAGATGCTCACTTCTGGAACCGTCCTGGTGTATGAGGAGAACGCTTCCGGTATCAAGCGATGGACCGATGCTGTGCATTGGTCTCCAAGTCGGGTGATGAACAACTGCCTCATATATCGCCAGCTGGTGCGAGCTTTGAAGCCTGAAGAGAAGAAGTCGGCCCTCAACCCATCATGCGGTACCAAGAGGAAGCGCAAGGAGAACAACGGCCCAATGAGGACCAAGACCGGCGAAGTGTTGGAGAATTCCGAGGACGAATACGAGAACTCAGCCTTCGACGCGTCCCTCCCAGGCGATGTCGACTCTATGAACAAGGTATACGCCAACTTCGCCCAAAGCTTGACACCCGACCAACAGCGACGATTCTGTGGCTCCCTCATCGACAGCTATGAGTTCAAGGAGGGTGGCCTGATGAAGAAGACTATCTCAGTCAAGTACCAGGGTACCCACCACCATGTGATCTCCTACTACAGTCTTGAAGACGTCGTCAGCGGGAAGTTGAAGCGACCATTCCAGGACCCAAAGCTAGCCGACATTCAGCCAAGACCGGAGCTTTTGAATGGCTGGAAGGTCAGCCTTGAAGATGAAGAGAGCAAAGACATGCCCCTGGTAGCTGGATACCCACACCACATCCAGCCCAGCCATGTTCAGCATCACGTTATCGGAGCTGTTACTCAGTCAATCGGTGCGCAGGGTCAGCTCCAGACACATGCTCCTCTCCATCTGACAGTTCCCGACTACTGGCATGGGCCTCAGGTGTCCCAGTACGGCCCAAGCCACCACAGCCCTCAACATTATGCCGCACCTCCATTCTCGGCTCACCAACCGGCACATCAATACTCCGTCCAGCAGCCTTCGTCGCAGCACTATACGCATCCGCCGTCCCCTCAGCAATACTCTTCTCCACATTCCGCAACCTCCCAGTACTCCGCACAAGCTGGTCCATCCTCGCACTACGCGCCGCAACCACAGTCTGCGCGCCACTACTCTTTCGACCCTCCATCGGCCACATCAGCGAGCTCGTATACTCAGCCCACCTCAGCATACCAGACGCCGCAACCAGCCACGTACGCCCTGCCTCAATCCGCAGGCTTCGAGGCTCATGCCTTGCCTTCCCAAGGCTCACCAGTCGGTCCTCATCAGGCCCAGGTCCCCGGATCGCAACCCGATCAACAAAGGAGGGCCTCAGCGCCTGTGGCCGTGCAGCCATTCAACGCATCGCAGTTCCCTGCGGCTCCCCATCCTCACACTTATTACGTGACGGACCAGAAGTACGCTCCTGAGCAAAAGTACACATCTAACGCGCCCCATGGTTATTAGGGTGCCGTCGCATTGCATCATTTCACACATTTATCGAGATATACCCACGATCTACAGAGCATATACGAGACATTCATGGAGAATGATTTGGTTGCGATACCCCCTTAGCGACATTTCCTTTGGCGAAGGCGGTATTTTCTTAATACCTGCATGTTGGCACCCCGCGGTAACTGGTTACCCACTTTCCTTATGGATACAGTCGGAGTTGGATCTTTCGCTCTCCTTGGTCATGTTACTGGAATTCTGTATACGTGTTTCATTCATTCTGTCTCTTATGGTGGTCTTTTAATACTAAAAGCACCTTATTTCTTCTATTTCGCATGGTCGTCTACGATACCTAGTCGCATTGCATTGCATGAATCTCTTCTTGTTCGCGTTGTTCTGCTTCTCCATTACCGCCATACCCTTGTACAACTATAACCCGATGCATGTAGCTAGTGCTCTATAGTAGCAACCACTTAACCCTAAACACTGCGGACACGCGCGACGAATCAAATAAATCAATCATTATATCCAACACTGCATTTCCATGACCTCACTCAACAAATCGCATGTCCCCACCCAGTGAATTAGTATACGTCGTCAATGGTTCGGCTTCCGCGGCGCAACCTTGGAAACGTACGACTATTCCTGCAAACCTAACCTTGAAACACAACAACAACATGGCTATCCCAGACGTCAACTTCTTAACGACCCGAACATGGTATTTTCACCTCAGGAATGATCACGAAATCACCACGCCGCATTCCTACGCTAAAAGACACGGCAAAACATCACATGCTGCTGCGCAGTCCACCCCAGCTCATCGGAGAATGCTCCGTTCATGAATAACGACCATACATCATCGATATCACATCTCGACTAGCCGGTGCCGCAACGCCCCGTCTGCCGTTATCATTATCTGCATTGCACATCGATGGAAGGATCTCGATTCGCGAGATGCGGTAGCCGGGCCAATCAGTAGCGAAGCGAGCAGCAAGGGCCTTTGTGGGTTGACAAAGGGATTTCTGAGCTAGGCATTCTGTGCGAGAGTTGCGTGCAGGACGGGGTGGCTTGGAAGAGATCCGAGTGAGATCATGATCCTTAAGGCGCGTAAATGTCAAGATTATACATTGGGGGAAGTTGGTACAGGTTGTTGGAAGGGATGGAGGAGTTGGACGTAAGTGTCCGTGTCCTTGGCAATGGCAGTTGAGACATAACTTGTTGGTGCCAGTTGCCGGCTCATCGTTGCGAGTCGTTACTGTGGGTAGGCTTCCTATAGGTCGGATCTTTATTCCGCCTGTCGAGATGGAACTTTGTGTTGCATAGAACTGGATGGCGACTCGAGGGTGCGATACGAGGGCTGACGAGTAATGCGGACGCTGCTTCGGGACTTTGCATTCCTCCATTGAGATCGCCATGAAACATCTTGCATTAACGGACATCGTGGAGACGAATACGAGGAGTTTCTTTTTACAAAGCATAGGATTTAACCCTACAGAGTACCGTAGGAAACCGGCTTCGTGTCTTTTGTGATGCCCAGATGTGATGGCCAAGAGCTGATCAGTGATACCTCGCATGATTGAGGAAGTTTCAACACGGTCGACCCGGATTTTTACCAACACTGTTGCATTTGTCATTGACCGACAGCTTGTAAAATGATGATGACTATACATCTAATGACTCTCGGTCGTTTCGCGGGAATGTCATGGCATTCTGTACCCGGCTCCCGAGCGGCTCCCGAGTCAGGGTAAGAAAACTGGAAGATTTTCATTATACGTGTCATTCAAGGAAAGTATCGGATGCACTGCTATGTGATGCGTGCAGTGTGTGAGTCGTTGGTGTGCGTAAGTCGAAAGTAGTACAATCAACCTCCGCGGGTGCTATCTTGAGGAGCCGCGTCGCGTGCGCGGGCGCGGGTGCCGTCTCGCTTGTTCCTCCCTGCCACCCATTTTTCCCCACCATCCCATCTTTCTCCATCGTATCCTCACCGAAATTCATCGGGGAAAGCCTCCACGCGCCCGTCACCGCTTGTTCCGCGTTCGAAACACTTGTCTTCAACTCATGCATCCTTCACAGGATGCTTCCACTGCTGGTACGACACGTAAGCCTGGAAACCGGAGATTCCGAGCCCTAAGATTCCAATGAGTACCGCGATGAAAACACCGATCATCGTTGCCATCAGCATGTACCTTGCGCCGCTCTTTCGCTCAAACCAGCTCTCCAATCGAGTTCGCGGTTTTGGATTTTGCAGTTCCTCGTAGAGCTCTGCCAGTCGATTGCCAAAGTAGGGATACGAAAGTATGGTGTCGTTATGCCCATAATGATCCCAGGATTCGAATCTCATGAGGTCTTCGTCAAAACCGTGTTTTGCAACAAGTGACGAGAGAAGGGCCTGCGACTCGCTATCTGAGGGAAACAGGACGTTATGTATGGTGTCAAACACCTCTAAGATGAGCTGTCGCGGTAGCATACACGCTGTCGGTTGACTTCTAGACACTAACAGAGTTTCTTTCAGCATCGCCGTACAATGGAAGACCTTCAGTACACCTCTTTCACGATCCAGTAGTAGATGACTTCGCAGATCAGTCGTTGCTTCTAGGCGGAGTTCGAGGACCCTCCGCAACTCATTCGCGCTCACAGCAGCTGTTACGACCGGCCATTCAACTCTTTCCTTCCCAGATATGATAGATGGATTGGGTCGTTTTGGAAATGCTTCTACGAGAAAGTCATGTGCGGAAACACCATCTCGCCATGGCAGTGATGAGCTACCTTCCTCCAAGAGGTTCGCGCGCTCACACGTGTTTCCGCAATCGACCAAGAACAAGATGCTGGCTGCAAGATCCATGGCGCGATGCTGATCTATTGTAGCAGGAGCTTCTGCGTCGCCGATGCGCTGTCCCACAAAATGGTGCTGAATCATCTCCTCTCGCGTGCTATGAGGTTGACTTTGGATAAGCTGAATCAGGTCCAAAAGATCTCCATGCGACCTCAATGCTGGGCGCGGAGTGAACAGCTCAGGTACGTAGGTTGCCGTCAAGGTCTTGTAACGAGTCCAGCAAGCAGCCTGTCGCTTCGCTCGGCCCCAGAAACATTGCGCATTGGAACATGCCGGTTTACCTGGACAATGGTCGCATAGCCGCCATCCCCACAGACATTGGCCCAGTTGCTGCAAATCACTGTCAGTCGTGGAGTGCAAAGGGAAAAACTCGATTCTTTCAGCCATACGATGATTCAAGCAAAGACGAATAGGAGCTTAGCCTGGAGCACTCAGCTATGCTCCGTCAAGGCAGCGTTGCGTGCTTATATGTACTCACATTGCGTGGCGGATGATGCATAGCCTAAGGCAAGTGGCTGCATCTTCATTGGGCGTCGGATTCGCAACGTGCATGCGTATCCTGAGCGCGCCCAATCATGAAGCGGCGCTCATTCGAGTAGCTGATACGCATGCACACAGCCCACAATTGAATGTTCAGGCTCACCGGTTACGAAACAGGTGTGCGGAGTATGCGGCCTTTTCTATCGTCTCATGCGATCATTTCTCGTCGGTTGTCACTACACATCGAAGGGTCCGCGCCTGGAATCCTCACGCCGACAACATGGAGACCCCGCGGCCCACACCACCTCGAGCGCAAGTTGCAACTGATGAGTCTGCTACATGTTCCGGCTACAGAAGCCCACCGAGAAGTCCCAGTGCTCGATCAGCCTCGGTGACAGCAACCACCCCAAACAGCTGCGCTTCGACAATGCCTCCACAAGAACCACATATTGCACCAAAAATAGCCTCGCATCCTTCTCGTATGATTCAAGGTATGCACGTATTCCAACGGACAGTAAGCGAAGACACGAGGAAACGTTTTCAGGACGTTATGAGCCGTCTTTCTGGCCCTTTAGCTGCGTATTTACGCAAAAGTCGGCATGAACATCGACCCACAGCTATCCGGCTGATGTTTTTGGGACAAGACGAAGACTCAGCTCGACCATGGATTGTCGTTCTGTGTCCAGAGCCAGTCAAGAAGAGAGCAGAGAAGTTCTTCAAGCAAGACATGGCCCAACGTCTATGTCAACTCGACGAACCCGGCCGAGAAAGCTTCCACGTGGTGGTGGTCGGTCACGCGCCTCGACCTAAGACTGGTGGATCTGCTCGCCGTGTGACGATGTCCTCAGGGCTTCCAACGGGCGACGGCAGCATCTTGCGCACCTTTTCGTCCTCGTCTCAGGCTGATACAAAATATCATGGGAAAACATCTTCGGCTGCGATAGGAGGATACATCTTGGTCAGCAATTTTGATGGTACAGAGGTGGTTTACGGCTTGACAGCGGGTCATGTGTTCCCGCAGACAGGGATTGACAGTCCATCTTCAGATGGGCCGTGGGGCGGTTCGATACCCTCCCCAGATTCAAGTGATTTGGAAGATAATATCACAGGCATCCCAGAACACAGCGCCGAGGATCGTGGCCAGAGTCTCCTCGAAAGCTTCATTGGACCGAGAAGTGAACCAGCGTGGACGGGCATGGTATTGGCGGAAGTTTCGTTCTCCCGTGAGGCTCGAGACAGAGATTGGGCATTGATCGAACGTATTCGTACGACCCAGATTGAATCACTATACACGAAAGCTCCAGAAAGAGAAGTCGTGCTTGGTACCATGAAAGACCTACAGCCCGCCCAGCTATACTTCGGTGCAGAAGTCGCTTTGAACTGCACAATTTCCCGGGATATCTCAATGATTCTGACGCCATCGGGACATAACTTCGTTCAGGCACATATACTCACATTAGGTAATGAGACCGTATGGAAGCAGTCACGAGTCGCACTAACCTTCTATCTACACAGATGCTTCTAAAAGTATACCGGGCGGTGCATCTGGCACGTGGATTACTTCGCCTTTGACTCGAAGTCGAGGCCGCCGGATGGATGTGTCCCCTTGGCGTATATCCGTCTACGGCCAGGTAGTGGCTGACGACATCTTCGAGGATGGTTACATGGTTCCGCTGACCGATATAATGGAGGACATCAAGAAATTGACGAAAGCTGCAGCCGTAAGGCTACCATTGTCTTTGTCGGAGGTTGGGCAATTGCTTTCCAAGCAACGAGATAGAGAAGAGCCGGACCAACTAGACAGGGAAAAGGCAATTTCTAGCTTTCCGACCAATACACGCGTACCCGAAGACATGGAGCGGGTAGAAAAACGTCCCACTACCACTGGTATGAAAGATCACTCTACCAAAGTTGATTCTTACATGCCGGCGCTTTACCAAACGACAGAAGAAGGTTTCATTGCCATTACCCATAACGACTCGCGTTGGCAAGCTTCATCAGCAGCAGCAGACTGTCCAGACAAAGTTCTCTATGACGCGTTCGATGGGAGCCCTTGGTACTGTCGCTTACGAGACAAATGATACGGGACACCTAGGCCCAGGAAGCGTCTAACAGAAGCTCTGCGGACATCAGAAGAGGACGGGCGGCTGAAGAAGATGAGAGGACATGGGGCTCCGTGGAATCGAGTCATGGAAGAGTTCTCGGACAGGTCTGAGGGGAGTGTCGGGGAACACTGATACCTAGATTTGCATCATGTGCACATGGGCGAAGGTTCTTCAGCGCCACGAACCTAGAGTGCAGCGAAATGGGCCAGAAATTTTGCGTAGTATAGAAGTTGCTCGACGCTTCGAAAGGATCGAAAGACGTTTTGTTATTCGCTTGCGAACGTTTTTAGCCTAAGCTGCGCCGTTGTAAATTGAGGTGGTGCAGGGATTGGGAAGTGGCTGGGGGCTGAACGTCGCTTATGTACGTCACAGCGACCTTCAACGCGCGAACGACGCTCGATCTTTCTCGTAACCGACGGCAATAAGCCTTACTTGAGAGCAACATCCAAAAGGTCGCAATCGAACAAGTGCGCACCTCCAAGCCATCGCGAACATGCCACCAAAACGCCAAAAGGCCGCTGAGCCAGCTTCGACACCCGAGTCCAAAAGGCGTGTCACGCGCTCATCTACTAGAACAAACACAGGACAAGCGAAAGAATTGCCAGACTTACTGAATGATTCGCCTGAGGCGGAACCAAAAGCGCCGAAAGGACAACGTGCGGCCAAGCCTAAGAGGCAATCTCAAAAGGGTGCGAAATCTGAAGCAGATGCACAGCCAGTCGAAGATAGCGATCCAATACCCCAAAGTTACACAACGCTCACCATCATACACGACCTCGTCAAAAAACCGATCCAATGCCATCAGTACACTCCCATAACATCGCTATCCACACCCTTACCAACCCTCTTCTTTACCCACGGAGCAGGCGGCACGCTCTCCGCCGACGCCGTAGTAAATTTCTGTTCTGGATTTTCCTCTTCGTGCCCCGTCCTCGCTTTTCAGGGCTCCATGAATCTCAAGGCGCGGACGAAAGGCTTCCACGCATGTATTGATGAGCTGAACTCCAGCCAAGAGACTGCACTAGAGGGAGCCAAAGAGGAAAGGGCTGGTGAGAAGACATTGTTACTAGGTGGACGAAGCATGGGCGCTCGAGCTGCCGTCATCGCTGCTAGCGAACACCTAGCCTCACTAGATGACTCCCAAAGAGAAAGGCTGAGCATACAGCTGATACTGGTTTCCTACCCACTCCTCGGCCCCAAAGACGAATTACGCGATCAAGTTCTCCTCGACCTACCCAAGAGAGTCCGCATCCTCTTCATCAGCGGCGATGAAGACGGCATGTGCCCCATCGATCTGCTGAACGAAACAAGGGAGAAGCTGAAGGCAAAATCGCAGCTTGTAGTTGTTACCAATGCGAACCATGGCATGCACGTCGTACCTGCTAGCAGGACGCGGGGTGTAGGAGAAGAGACGGGACGGGTGGCGGCGCGATGGGTGGAAGGAGGTATTGCAGAAGATGAGGTATACATTGATGAGCTAGAAGGAGAAGAAGAACGATGAGGATACAATAATACCACCCTTCCCATTTCCTCCCCTTCCATTCAGATCACCAACGATCACACCACACCGCCCAACTACCTAACCATTCCCCTCCCCTTCTCAGCATCCCCCTTCCTCCTCCACATCCTCTTTACTAAAACGCCCTCCTCCCTCTCGCCCATAACATACCAATTCCCTTCTTTCCCATACACCTCGCCCAAGTCTTCCCATTCGATCGACACCTCATCGCACAAGTGTCTGGCCTCTTCATTTTCTCTCTCAATCTTTACGCCGTTTATCCACCTTGTCAACTCCTCCCGCGTCGCTATCGCCTTATCCAACCGCGACATCAGTTCGTCGATGTGCTGGAGTTGCGGATCCGTCTGGGTTTGCTGGCAGCGGTCTTGTTCGATGGTTTCGGGGCAGCAGGTGGGGATGGGCATGGGCATGAGGATGAGGCTATCTCTACGCGTTGAAGGAGTAGTTTGAGTGGGTGGCATTGTGGATGATTCTAGTGAGTTGGGTGTTAGTTTCGAGAAGACAAGGACGGTGGAGAGGATGGACGACGTACTGAATTGAGGTTTGGGGTATACATTGGGGTTATTTAGGATGAGATGTTCAGGTCAGAGGTGGTGCGGCAGTTTGGTATTTGATATTTCCGGATGTGAGTTCAGGATAACTGGGCTCTATCGTGTACTAGGGATAGCTGCAGGCTGTTTATTCAGAAGAAGGGAAAAGGTGAAGGCAGCTCTGGGGATCATGTTGGTTGTGCAGAGGTGAATACCGGATACTAACCATGGTTTCGTTGTTGCACGTAATGACATGAGCAACTTCACACTTCAGATGAGACAGTAACACAACCTACGAGAAATCTCTTTGAGCCACAGGCGAGACACCCATTCAAGATGTCTCAACCTCACCCACAGTATCTTCGTCCTTTTGCGCCTCGCCATCCTCTCCGCCGTCTTGCGCAGCTTCAGAGCTCTTACTCTTGAACATCTTGAAGTCCTTACTCACGATATCGCCCGTCCCATCCCCAACCCTCCTTACCTCCACAACCCCACTCTTCTTCCTCAGCACAACACTCCATACCCCTTCCCCGACCACAACCCCTTTGAGCCAGCCCAGAAACTCCGTCGCAAAATTGATACACACATTTCCGTCCCAGCAATTCGTGCCCTGGCGCACCATACCCGGTATCTCATGCGTATTGAACGTCTGCAGACTCCGCAGAATGCCTGCTTTACTTCTGAACCCCACGGTGATCTTAGGTACGCCGAGCAGGAAAGACTGGGCCCAGAACTTAAGGAGCTTGCGTTCGAATTTTAGAATGTCACGGTGTTGTTGTTGGCGTGGGGGAGGCAGTTCTTCGCTTGTCTTCAACTCAACCCATTGCACCTGTTCATCCGGGTTTTTCGGTTTGGGCGCGAGGAGGCCGTCTACTTCACCGCCTAGGATTAGGCTGTGGGGCCCGAAGGATGTGTGCACGATAGAGCAGTGTTGCGCGTGGTTTGACACGATGCCTGTTTGGTGGCGCTTGATCTCTTCCCGTGGTGTGTCTTGAGGTAGGGTGGGTATGAGGGCGAGTTTCTCGAACTTGTAGCCCCAGTATGTCATCATCTCGCGCGATTGCTGGTCGGGGTGTTGGTGGCGGGGAGGTGGGCGCGTGCTTTCTGCTGCGCGGTCGGCGGCTCGGGAGGGGAAGTCCTCTTCGATGTATATTGTGTTGTTGTGAAGGGTTGCGAACATGCTGAATTCGGCGAAGTTGTCGAAGGGGGCGGTCATGATCTGGGGGGTGTTAGGAATTGATCTGGAGAAAAAGCGGCGGCAAGGTAAGAAAGCTGGTTTCGCTTACCTTGCTATGTCTCATGCCTGCCATTATCAACATACCTTGGTCATCATGCCTCTCCAGGTCATGAAGTCGGCCTTGACTTCCTCCTTACCCGTCTTGTCTTCCATGAGCGCCCTCAGTAGACTGTCCAGATGTGGGTCTTCCTTATCTTCATAGTGTTTGAAAGTCTCGAAGCCCTCCTTCAGGTCTGCGCCCATTGGTGGCGGTATATAGTAGTTGATGCCCGACTCATCATGCTGGTACTCGTGGTTGTCGTCGTATGAGAAGTGTGCGACTTCACGAGGGCGCTTGATCTTGGCCGACGCGCCGCGGAAGCGATTAACAGGTTGTATAGAGAAGCGATGAACTGGAGTATCAACTGCCGAAGCCGCGCTCTTAGCAGTCGGCATGTCTGAATTCGTCGCCGGAGTTGAGGCTGGAGCAGCTGCTTTCGGAGGCGCGCGAGTTCTGGGTCGTTTCCGGGGCGGCGATCGATCTTCTGTATCTGCCGGTGGACTTGGCGATTGCGCAGGAAGATCCGTAGGAGCTTCAGCTGATGTTGAGCTCGCCATGATGTAATTGTATGCTGTCGGTGTCACGAGGACGCGCCTCAGGTTTCGCCGCGGGAGTGTCGCAATCCCAAACCCCAGCCGCCCCCACCAAACGCTTGTACCTGACTAGCTACGGCGCGCCATTCATCCCACCAACACCGAAACATCATCGACATCCAACCTCATTCCATATCCCGTCTTCCACCGCGCACAAAAGACCACCTGCTCTGCTCCATACTACCTTCCATTCACTGCCAAAATGGACAACCGCGCAATTCGCCTCCCCCCAACAACACGCCGCAACATCTTCGCCGCCCACACCACCCAACAACAACAAACGCAATCACAACAACCACCCGCTCGTCGGCAGAACCAAGCTGCACCTTCTATCCGCCCCGACAGCCGCGAAATAGAACAAGACATCTTCATGCAGCCCACCCAAGACGAGTTCGTTGAGCGCGACGACATCGGGGAATACGTTGTCAAAGCGCCGGCGCCTGTGTACAGGGAGATGGGTGTGGGGAGTGAGGGGGATGAGGAGGGCGGTACGTTGATTCTATTCCCTTTCCCTTGCAGTGAGAAGTCGGAGATTGGAATGAGTTGGTTACAGCCAATGCTGACGTACGTATGTGAATAGAGCAAGAAAACGAAATGATACAACTCTACGGCAAGACCAACGCACAATGGGATGCCGTCGTCGTGGAAGAGGAGATTCGGGCTGCGTTGAAGAGTAGTCTCAAGAAGAAGGTCGCTAGTTTGGAGGATGATAGGTGGATGTTTGAGGGGGAGGGGGAGGGCAGGAAGTAGATGAGGGTTTTGTTGGAGATGGGTATGTGGGGTTGGGCTTTTGAGAGGGAGGGTGGCGTTTGATTGTATGATACCCTAGTATATGGTTATTGGAATTGATATTTGTCTGAATTGGGCTGATGCTGTATGATCTGTTGAGTGAGGCCTGTATGCCGTCGATGTATTTTTATGTGATGGAAGATTGTGTATCCTGTTACGGGGAGGTAGTTAGTGTGAGGTTGGAGCATCTTCGTAAGACTAGGAAGCATCCCATCAAAGACATGATGTCCTCACACTGGTGTTCTCGGGTGTGTCAATAGAGCATGACAATTACGTGGAGGCAGAGGATGTGAGATAGTTCGACAGAAGAACGTTGAATACATCCCGGGTACACGATATCAGTGACAAGTCAAATTGCAAGAGTAATCGAGTTCATTCGCGGACTTACGCCCATAATAGCTGCCGCATTTACTAACCCCCCATCCTCAATCCCACCAGCCGCCCAAACGCCCACCGAAAAGTCAAAACCTGGGTATCCAAACATCCAAAAACGCCTTCGTTCTCACGCCCGCCCAGAAATCCCACCCACCAACCCAGAACCCTCAATCTATGAAACCAAGTTAGCAAAACCGCACCAATCTAAACATTTGACAATTGCACTTACAACTCAAACGCCCTCCTCATACTCATCCCCACCATATAGCCTGCCCGCCCAATTGACCGCAGCCAACAGTACCGGGAGCCCCTTCTCCAGCTCCTCGAGCTCCCTCTCCTCGTTCTCGTCCAGCGTCTCCCACAGGTCCTGGTACGCCTCGATGCGGTCGTACAGCGTACTCGCCATTTCCTCGAGGCCGCGGAAGAACCAGTAGAGGCGCTTCTCCGCCGGAGAGTCGGAGGCGGGCGGCAGGTGCGGGAACTCCTCGAGGGAGGGGACGAGGAGGTTGCCGAAGTCAATTGTGAAGTCGTCCATCTTTGGTGATGAAGATGGAGGGAGAGGAGGAAGGGGGTTTGTAATAGTAGTGGTGGTAGTAGTAGTAGTAGTAATTAAGCTTCTTGTGATGATGATGATGATGTGCTTGTTGGTGCTGGTTTAGGTGTTGGGGCAAGTCGTTTTCGAGCATTTATGTGGGCGATTTGGGGATGCCAAGACTGCGTTTGGCGACGGTCTGGCTTCGCTATTGTTGAGTACTTTACGCGTAGTGACTGTGACAGCGTTATTCAGGGAGACTGAGAGGACCGCCTGCTGCTATTGAGAGGGAGGCGAGCTAATTCTTTGGTGTAGGATATCGGATGTCGTGTTTGCATCCGCGAGGGTGAAGTACATACTTTACCCCGATGCCCTCATCACAGAGGCACCTTTCGACGAACCCTTCTACAGCGCCATGTAGCTTTCGGCCTACCCCATACGCCGTCGTTATCCTCCCAATCTACCGCCGTATACGCCTCAAGCCGCTGCCGACCGTGCGAACGAGACCGAGTATACAAGGTGGAGGCACAATAAGGACACACGGAGGCACACAATGGGAAGGAGACTATACGGCGAGACAATGAGAAGGTTCTTGTACTCAATTGCCAACCGTTGGGTCGAGGGTATGTCGCAGTCGAGTCGGACAACGGAGGAGGCAGCGCCCTGTCTGCCAGCGACGAGGCTGACAGACCTTCCCGCCTTGCGCTATCCCGATGACAGACCCCACGGACCTATGTTATGATACGAAAGTCGGCGTAGAGTTGAGTGATACTGATGTTGAGGAGAGGCGGAAAATGTTGACAGACAACGGACAACAGATATGGAAGATGAGACTTTACCAGAAAAGGGGCAATCCAGTAGCTACGAATCAGGAGCAGTAGACGCTTCCGGTCTACGTTTTGAAGTCGCTCGTACCTGCCTGCCGCAACGGTCGTGATGTTCTCGTCGCGCGATCTGTCAGCCCGCCAGACCCTGGGCCTTGAAGGGGCCATTCGCGCATCCTCGCGACGAGCGGTCCACGTTTGTCATGCGATGTTCGTATGTGGCTTACCGACCCTTGTGATACCAAAGTAGAGCCTGAAGCTGCTCACGTCCGTCCAGGCCGCCTGTTTCGTTGTCGCGGGTGTCACAAGGATCTTGAGGCCTCCTTTTCGCGAAAGATGTCGGGAGTCACCATTCGAGCAGCGTTTTTCCGTGAACGTTCAGTGAATGTTACCGTTCAGTCTACGTGCTCGGATACCAATCTGCCCCTCGCTATCGCCGTTGCTGCCGTGAGTCGCGAACCTGTAGCTCCTGCCCTTGAGGCAGTCGCGGACCGCTTTCTACGGCAGAGCTCACATGTGATGCTGAGTCTTTCCTGACGAGCTCGAGGTCGCCTTGGAGACAGTCTTCGTTCCGAACAATGCAAGTAACGATGTCTGGGCCCCCTTGAAGCTGGCGGCACGCCTGGAGTCACGGATCTGCAGCTCCTGCCGTCTTGGCAGCCACGAAGCGCGCCCAAGGACAGCGGGCACCACAGAATGCTGAGTCTCTACTGATGATCTTCTCGTCCTGGTTATGGCAGTATTCAATCTCAATCATACTAATACTCGTGTCCGCGCCCCTGTGAAGCTGTCCGCATGCTTGGAGTCGCGATTGCCTGCCCAGCGGGATCGGCACCATCCCCGCGGCCTCTGGGTTCACAAGAAGCTGCTGAATCTCAGGGGTGAGGTTATGGTTCCCAAGAAGCTGGTTCCCGATGCCACGTTTTCTGGAGTCTCGCCGTCTCCACGATGTTCAGCTTTGGAGTTGCCCTCCGCCCCGCTCCAGCGTGCCTTCCCAGAATGACCGTGTTTGTTTCCTGCCTGCCACAAGCAGTCACTACTGCCTCAACAAACAGAATGACGCGGAGAAGCTTACAAGTATGATCATCATGCACTCAAATCGCCTCGGCTCGTTGCACACGCTTCCAGCTCACAATGTGCATGTGTCGGCCTCATGAGCTCCCCGTGGGCATCGTGAGATCCACCAACACGCTTCCAAGGCGTGTCTGAGGGGCTTCTCCAGCTTTCAGTCGATGAAACCTGGCGATTTTTCTTACCTTCACGTGGTAAAGAGGGAGATTTGGCAATGCCACATAGACTTCGAAGCAGCTCACAGCACTTCTATCCATCTTCCGACTCGCTGCAGGCATCTTCTGGCACTATTCTGACGCACTTTCACATCTCCGGCGCTCCCTCACGCTCCTGCCACTCCAGTCATCCTGCCATTCCGGTGCCCGCTAGTAGGCGGTCAGACGTCCTGGACGCCGCTAGAACCGGTGAGTGGGTCCTCAGGATAACGTGCAAAAGCGGTTGAGGCATGGAACTTCAACCTCAGGCTTCGTCTTGCAGCTGCGATGCATCATCAACTCCATTGATGCCTCGTATACCTGAAAAACAGAAGTTGTAGAGCTCGTCGAGCGCTATCTCCTCATGCTCGTCTGGCCCCGTCCGGTTGGTGGTTCTCTTGGAGTCGTGGGATACCCGAATCACTTCGTCTGAGTTCGTCCACCAGGTCTCGCCGCGACTTCCTCACCACGACCTTCTCTCTGACACTTTTCCTCCCAATCCGTACGATGAGTTCTCTGGCCTCAAATACTGCCGTCACCTGACCTCCGGAGCTTCGGCGCTGGTGCAAGTATATGAGCAGCCCTTCCCTCGCGCCTTCCACCTCTTGCCCACTCACACCCACCCGAATCCCCATCCATACCTGATATTGACAGACTCCTTACTTGAGCTTTGCCAATCATCCATCTCTTGCTTCCACATTACATCCTCCTCTTGTACAACATCAAGATCCTTCTTCGACGTCATCATGTCTCACCCTTCACCAAACTCATCCTCGGCCAACGGCCCTCCCTCATCCCCCTTTGGCGGCACCAATCCTACCGTGTACTCGCCCGACGTCGAGCGAAAGACCCATCACCGTCGTCAACTTACCGCCATCCCCATCGGCAAGCAGGCCTCCAAGACCTTCCTTCCCGAGCCGCCTGCCTACATCGAGGGTGCCTTCGTCGATGAGCTCGATGAGTTCGTCAACACCTTCGTCTCTCGGTACCTCTACGTTGAGGGCGGTCATGATGCAGAGCACTTGAAGTTCCTTGTTCAGACCCAGATGAAGCGTGTAAGTGTCGTCCCCTTCCTTCGACATGCTTCATACTAACCTCTTTCAGTACGACTGCTTCAAGCACTCGGCCATCTTCCTCCAAGAGCCTCACGCCGCTATCTTTATTCGATACGATAGCCTTTCCGATGCTGTCGAAGCCCGGGACCTCCTTATCCAGGCCGGTTTCTCCACCCACTACGCCACCATGGATGACCTCGCCCGCTCCATGGCCAAGGACATCCGCGACATTCAGCCGTTCGAAGGCCAGATCTTCCTGTCCATGTTCATCGACGCCAACCCTGAGCACGCTGTCTGGGAGTTCACTGCCGACGACTTCGACGACGTCACCAAGCAGGTCGAGCACATCGCCAAGGAGTTCGGTAGTGTTCGCAACATCGTCCATGTCGATACCCTCCATGATGCTATGCGTCTGATCTTTCGCATCGAGTTCGACTCGATCGATGCCGCCCAGCGCGCCATCCAATCTCTTCGCCGCACTCCTGTACATGGCTTTGGTGCCGATGTAAGCACCCCACCTTCAACTCTTCTGTTCTTGCTAACCTTCTCACAGCGATCGTACTACTGGTCTATCATCAACGTCGGTGACTGGTTCGACGAGCGCCCGCTGGCCCCTCACCGTTTCCAACATCGCGGCGATACTCGTCGTCCGTATCCCCGTCAATACCGCAACGAAGAGCCCCAGGATGAGCACAACCGTGTCCACCGTGAGCGCATTCTCGACGGCAGCGATGTTCGAACCACCGTCATGCTTCGCAACATCCCGGCTTCGTGCGACTGGGTAAGTCTTTCTTTCCACGTCTGTCCCGAAGCCCTACTAATTCTTCTGACAGATGACACTCAAGAACATTCTTGACAAGATCTGTTTCGGCACCTACGACTTCTTGTACTTGCGCATCGACTTCAAGAAGTGTGCCAACGTTGGCTACGCCTTCATCAACTTCACCGACGTCGGCGGCATGCTCATGCTCCTCGAGATGGAGTTTCGCTTATGGCCTGGTTTCATCTCCGAGAAGAAGGTCGGTATCTCGTATGCGACGATCCAGGGACGCGAGGCGCTAGTCCAGAAGTTCCGCAACTCTTCTGTTATGCAGGAGACCCCATACTGCCGCCCGCGCCTCTTCATCACTCTTGATGAGGCGGATATGATGAGCTCGATTCGCCACGCCGGTACTGAGCTGCCTCTGCCCCGCCCGGACAACATCTCCAAGTTGCAGCGCTCTATCGACAGCGCTCGGAGCACTGGTCTGTTTGCTCCTCGAGGATACTCTTCCGGCACTGAATACCGTCACCACTTCAGCACCTTTGACCGCGGCAGCCCTAGGGACAACATCCAGACGGCCATGCACCATGCTCACCAGCACGCGGCTCCTCTTCAGTTCGCCGGTTTGACTGAGGCTCAGAAGCAGAAGATCGAGGCCTGGTACCTGCATGTCTTCGGCGGCGGCCACTGCGGTTCCATCGGTTTCGACTCTATCCCGTTGACCCACATCAAGCTATACTTCGACGAGCACCCCCATTTTTCGCCGATTCGTCTGACCATGGCTCGTTCATCCGGCAGCGGCAACGGCACTCTTCGTCGTCCTGCACGTGGATCCGATAGCGACAACTGGCGCGGAGGTTCTTCTGGCCCCTTCCACGGCACCCAGGGCAGCCGCAACCGCTGGATGTAAGCACCGTTTACCCACCGACGCATACGCGGTCGCAACGTCTCTTCCGACTAGACCTTGCGCAACGAGTACACGGCTTCTTTCTTTGTTTTCGATCTGTTCCCAGATGTTTGCCAGACCAGGAGTTTTCTTTACGATTTGTTCGGTGTGGCTATTGAAACACTGTCTCGGGTGTATATCTTCTGGGTCGGATTCGATGCGATTTGTCCATGATGTGGATGAGTTGGAGGATTGAAAGATGATCTGACCTGATGATGGATGCCACTGATGAACCTGAATGTACCTAATACTTGCTTTTCCAATCAAAACTTCATGAGCTTTGCTCACCAAACTTGTTCCTTCTCTTGCTTCGTGACTTGATGTGGTAATATATTGATCACTGACTTGCTTGTTTGTCTTCGCCGATCGCTGGTGCCTTTGATGTGGGGAGATTGTTGGATGTGACCGTGAACTCATTGACGTTGCCGTGCCTGATGCCGACCAAAGAGGGTTCTCGTTGCCGTACATGGTGACCGGAAGATGAAGTACAGCCTTTCCATAGTCAATGCTCCAGCTACGTCGATGCAAGAGACACCTTACTGCCGTCCATATCTCTTGGTAACCCTTGTGAAGCCGAGATGATGCCACCGACATTATCTCAGTCTCGCCACGGGTACCCAAGAGATGTGGGTGACAGTAAGGCGTCTTCTGCATCGCCGTGGCTGAAATACTGTCCATGGAACGCTGCAGCTTCGAAATGTTGTTCAGGCGAAGAAGAGGCAGTTCATACATGTAGTGGCACCCCTGGATGTACAGCTTGATGTGGGTCAATGGGATGGAGTCGGAACCGATCGGACCACAGTGGTCGCCGCCACCGAACTGAAGAGGAGCAGCGTGCTAGTGAGCGAGGTGCGTGACCGCCTGGATGTTGTCCCGAGGGCTGCTGCCGCGGTCAAAGGTGCTGAAGTGGTGGCGGTACTCATTGTCTTGAGCATTCATCTTGGGCAATCGTCTGGTGTCTTCGGCACGACGAAGATTGTTGTCAGTAACCGCGAACCCGTTGGCATTATCGCATGTAATGCCCGACGGAGCAGCGACATTGATGCGGAGGTACAGGAAGTCGTACGTGCCGAAGCAGACCTGGTCGGGAATGTTCTTGGGGGCAACATCGTGCTGCTGGGGATGAAGGAGACAGGCCAGTTGTCGCTGTCCGATCCACGTGCAGGACGACGGGCAAGCTTCCCACGTTCTGACAGTATGTACTGCAGGCGTGATTCAAATATACCGGGCTGGTTGGGAAGGTGGCATGTAGTCTGCGGCTTCCAGATCCTGGAGGACTATTAGCCGAGGAGGTGTTGGGTGAAGGGGGAGCTATCGTGAGATGTCGAAGAAGGATCTTGATATGATGCTTGCTGGAAGGAAGGAGTTGGGAGAGTAGACCGTCGGGTTGGTGCTGTCAAAGGGGGATGAGGGATGAGGGATGTAAGATGTTGCTTCCAGGGTTCCTTGGCTAGCAACGGTATGTTGTAAGTGCAAGCTGAGAGAACTGCTCAGTCGCACCGTCAATTCCGTAAGCTTGGGGAAATGACTCTGCCAATCTTCTCTTCCTGCCTGCTGCGGCGCGTTGGGATCATGAACGGCGAGTCAGCGAGTAGCTGAGCCCGGGCAAGGGCTATGAGTATAAGTTGTAGCCCAAGATCAAATCGCGAAAGGGTTTGGATGATAAAGCTCGAGGTGGGATGGCGGTGACTTGACGGTGATGAGACTTGCGCTCGACGTCAGGAGAGTACACTGTCGGATTGGTGCCGCCAAAGGGGCAGTGACCAACTGACTCCCCTCGCATACTAGGCACTGGGCGTATCAATACCAGCAAATACAATGGCACTGGTACATCGCCAGCTATACTGAAGGTGGAATTGCGAATATTGTCAACAGAAAGAATGCAGAGTGAAGTAGAACGGGATGAATAGGGAAGAAGAAGCGACGCAACTTTCTGCCACTCTTCTCTCTCATGACCCATAATTCGTGACACTGCGGTGCACGCTGGCGGAGAAAGAGCATCTGGGTCTTTTGAATCCCCTCATGAGGGGCTGGCTCAGGGGGCGTCGGCCTCACAGCATAGCTACGGCATGGACGTGGAATCAACATCTTCAACTTTGATACTACATCCCCTATCAAAGTCTAGATGTCACATCTCAAGCCTTGCGGCATCTGCCTGCCTATGGTTTCACAAGTTCCATGATCTCGCTGTCGTATCCATAGGTGTCATGATGCACTGTGAAGCCCGCTCATTACCCAAAGGTTTGCAGTCGTATGCTGTGCCTCAACATGTCGGCAATGTCTCGAGCTCGCCAGAGCTGATTGTGTACCTCCCAGGCAAGCTATCCCCACTGCGTGCAGCACCTCTGAGCCTCTTATCGCCGTCTACCGCGAGGATGCAGTATCTCGATGTGGGGCGCACGGGCCACGGCAGTCTATCATGAAGCCCGTTGGTGGTGTAGCAGCTGGCGCCCACAACCTCACCAGCGGCGACGACGACACACTTCATACTAGACATTGCCGCACACATGTGTCTTGCGGCTAGCAGTTTGACGGCCGACAGTACTGCGAAGACATTCTCGGTATACTATCGGTGGTGGCGGCGAAATACGTTTGCTCCGCACGAAGGGCTTGCTTGCTGCCGTGGTTTGAGCCAGACCGACTCACACACCACGCAGAACCACCGACACGACTACGACAACCGCACGGCGGACAAGAGGCGACGACCTTCGTCTCTTTGCCTTACGCGCGCGCGATAATTCCTGCGGCACAATCTGGATGAAGACCGGCGGGGCGGGCGGGGCGACTCGCTCTCCTGGACCTCTTTGACGCGGCGACACCACCTAGCGGCGGCGGAGCGGGCAGTGCGAGAGATGCATACATGGACAGATACAGCAACTTCTCCTTTAACGTGCCGACCATACTGACATAGCGAGCAATCATGTACGCAGACAGCTCGACCGATTCTTCTACCAGCAGAGCGCGGCCGACGAAGACGCAAGCTTTTCGGACGCCGACCTCTTCTCGCAGTCCGCAAGATAGGGCAAGGTCGACGACGACGACGGTACAACTGCGCAGGACGTCATAGAGTTGGTCAGCTGAGCTTCTCCATTGACCGCGGCGACAGCGCCTAGGACACCACTTCATCCCCCACCATGACCGGTAGTACGAGACTCCTTGATGGCGATAAGACTTGGGCGATAACTCGGGAAGGCGCGGACATTCGGTGGCGACGGTACAGCAAGGGAGACATCCTTCTCCTACGACAGCGTTGTCTGAAGTTCAGGCTGACGAAGCTGGCGCACACTAGCTGCTACCGAGCCAGCCCCTGAGTCAAGACAGGTACACTACCGAGCGCCATCTTAGCTGCAGACGCCTCTCGACCCAGATAATAGAATGGCGTATGTCGCGCATGGTAGCGAGTTTGTGGCGGGCGTCTTGACCCTTCTTCTTCGGAGACATCTCCTAGCCGGAAGGCGTCGGCTTCAGGGTCAAGTAGACTTGAAGCTATTATGGGCTGCAGGCGTGGCGTCGACAGGGTCAGGGTACTGCGCACAAGTCCGAATCGTGTCTACTCAATAGCTTTGGGGCCGCGGCAGCTTGAAACCCCAGCCTAGTTCGGAGACGTTAGCCGTGGATGAGGCCAAAGACGAGACATGGCTTGCATCTACGCCAGCACCAACACCAGCACCAACGCCCATAAGATCCGATCAAAGTCGGCTGGTCGGGCCCAATGACGATGGCTAGTGCGCCTGTGTTCTCGCCCTGCTCGAAGGATCCGAAAAGAGACGCTGTCACAATCGGCCGAGACAAGCAGCCAGGGCTGCTGAGACATTGGTATCCATCCTTGTCGAGCTCGCTGGTCGACTACTCAGGACAAGGAGTACGTTGAGCACCTGGTGCGCCGACTGAGAACCTTACCGATGGCCTTGTGCTTGTTGAGATGGAGCATGATCACGGACGGACGTGGCGTCGCGGACTGAGTTTGATAAAATCGTGAGGTAATATCGTTATGAGGCATGCTATGAGGATGTCCTTTCTAGCATGTGTGCTGATCCCGGAGTTCATACCTATGGTGGATGTATCGCTGATGATAGTTGCTAACCCTGGAGCTCCAAGATTCATCGGACACACATCTCATCGTCGTCGAATGATTGAACACTGCCAAGACGATAGCGAGCATATCACGCGTTAGACCTGAAGCTGAAGCGAGGAACGCTGCTGTTCGAGTGGCCGGAGAGCACCGTAGCCACTTTGGAACAAAGCGGATTACCCACAGCTTTGCTGGAACTCCGTTTCTTCGGCAGCGACGTCAACGAGGCCTACGTTCACAAGTGCAGCTCAATAGAGCCAGACTACGCATGTTGGGCACCCCAATTCCTTGCTCCTTCTGCTCATCCTCCTTTGCTCGCTATCGTAAGGCTTGCCTTCATGCTACGATTGCTGAAGTACAACGGTAAGCTCATCTCCGGAATATGCCATCATGGAAACCAACTCCAGCTGAAGGTCTACGCGCCGATGGTCATGCGTCGCGCGCCAAAGCTGCAGATCGAAAGCTTCGCCGTGACTATGGTGGAAGATGCCATAAATTGCCTGCGAAGGGCAGTGTGGTCTTTCTTGCATCGCGGCAAGATCACCGACAGTCCGTCAGCCCTGACCCGTTTCGATATGTGCTGCAGGTCATTATGCCGTTATGGAGACGAACGTCTATCGAACGAAAGCGAGGAGGAGGCACTCCAAAGTTTGTGGAGTCTTGTGTTTACATAAATGGTAGCTCGTCTCCATTGTCAGCCAGTGGGGCGTTACGATGCGCTCATGCTCGCTGTTGTGCCCTCTTCCAACAGGATGTACCACGCATTCGCATTCGCATACGCCATTGCAGCGTTGTGACGAAGACTTGCTTCTTCTCGTATGTCGTATCAAGTGGGTCGGGATGTCAATACGCAGACGGCCCGATTTATCAATGTACAGTTCATGTGTGGATGCTGTAGACGGGTCGTCTAGTCGCGCATGTGTCTCTGCTTCTGCAAAACTTCGACTGCAGCGCAATGTTGAATTACTGGAGTGCCTATGGGTCTGACAAGGGTGTAGTGGATCGGGATCTTCGATTGCACTCGTCGCGTCAAGGCATCGTGTGCAACATGGATCTTCTGCTTCGCTTTCGGATTCTTGCTAGCCCCGCCGTGGGTTGTGCGACCAGCGACGAGGAGGCTTCCTGCATGGATCAATGCGACAAGGCACTGCGATCTGCAAGCATAGATAGCTACAGACCGAGCGCTTGCGCGCTACTTACCGTTGGTGTCGCTGTTTTCGTGCTTGTCTGTCAGGGGAGGTATGGCTCAGAAGATCGACAAAGTTGTCGACTTCAAGAACTTTGATATGAGCAGCGGCCCGAAGGGAACGACCCTTGTGTGGGATTGGCAGCATACTGCCCCAAGACGGCTCACATCAATTGTGGTCGCCGACCCACAGTAGGACAGACTTGTGGTGGCCTTTGAAAAGCCTCCTCGCGGCCGGCGGAGCTGCTATGAGCCGCATTCACACAAAGGAGCTGCGCATATGCAGCTTCCCGCCCGCCGCCATCTGTATGTGGATGTTCGAGTTTTCGAATGTCTCGTCGTTGGCATTGAGCGGGTAGGATGCAATTGCTTCGGAGGTCCGCTTCGATGCGCTGGCAACGCCGCCGCGGTCAGACCTGGTATGATAGTGATGGAGGGTATGCGATCTCCCGAAGCCAGCCTAGGCGATGGGGCATTGCTCTTCGCCGATTCTACTGCGGTCGAAGGTGGTTGGAGGGGCTGTGGGTTGAGATTGTCTTGGATGTCAGCGTCAATGCGCTGGCGAACCCGCAGCAGACCGAGTCGACGACAGGAGCCACTATACTATGTACAGGTGCCTGAAGAAGCTGCAAGGTTTGCTAGAGACGTTGCTGCCGCCTCCATCGTGGTGGTAGCTTGTTAGCAGAGTCAGAGACCGCGTCGGAAGTCCGCCTAGAATCGCCAGCGAAGCCATCGCGCAGAACCGACCAACAGCGGCCTACATGGTGCAGGAAGCTCTCGCGGAGGTCATCAAGAGTGTAGTAATCTTGTTACTACCTCTGTTATGGTTCGAGTGGGGTGGTGGGAGGCGGCGCGGGTGGCTGTCGAGGAGAATTGAGTCGCAGGAGCTCGACCCGATCACCACCGCGACCGGTGAAGCTTCATCGACCCATTGTCTTGGTCACATGAGCTCGCTCTACCAGCTCCGTAAATTTGAGCGAGCGCGGCTTGGTGTTGGGGATCATCGTGGTGGTAGTATGTGGTTGAGGCAGCGTCGTTGAGGGAGGCTGGAAGCTTACCCCACAGAGATTCTCAATATCGGACCAAGCCAGGGGGTCCGCACGGCTACCAGCATCCACGAAGCACGCTTACAACCACATGCAGCAGGCTTAATATGGCAGAGAAGCTAGATGCAAGACTGCTCTACCTCGATACTCGAGAGCTGGACATTTTACGATTGCTGAAGTCTTCAAGGACGATCTGGAGATCGTGGGACTCGGCAAGCCCCTCGAATGGTTCTCGCCTACCTCGACCACACGATCCAGGGCTACGTCGAATCTACGGCACGCGACAGGTCATACCTGAGAACAACACGGAAAACCACGCACATCATCTTCAGATTCTCTTGTCGTGAGACATCTAGCTGAGCAGCCGTACTACTCTAGAACGCATCACCCGCCCATCCTCCGCCTCGCCGCATCCATAGATTCCGCGCTCCCGTAGGCTTGTTGCTTCCGACTACGTTGCACAAGACACAATTTAGGCCTGCATCTCACCTCATACAACTCAAGGAGTTGTCCAGAGCTAGCATCGCGAACTTCATGACTAGAGGTTGGCGATACTGTCGTCCTCGTGGCCAGAGCTTTCGCACCACACCGCATTCCTGACCTTCTCGTTGATGAAAGCTATGAGCATTTGAAGCACATTTGGACATCTTGAGACGAAGTTCGTCTTCTTCATATTCGCACTCTTTGCAACTTCATCAACAGCAGCGCACGTGTGTGTTACCTAGATTAAGCTAGGCCTTGTCTCGTTTGCTCGTTTGTCATTTGACATCGCGGTCAGTCAGGAACATCGCGCCGAATCTCCAAGACCTCTGACCTTTCGCATAGACCCCTAGCTATACCTCGTGGGCAAACCAGCGTCACCGCTATTCATCTTCACCGTCACTTTTTTTTTCTTATCTTGTGGTCGTAGAGTAGCTAGGTTTTCTAAAGTTCGCGCGCAAAAATTTTCCTCTCCAACGACCGTCTTCGCATTGCCTTTGCAATTACTTCCAACACCGTCATAGTACCGTCAAATCACATCACAACCCGCGATTCGATACTTTTGCGCTCTGCTACTTGTATTCGGGAGTTAAAGCTGTCATCCTCCCGCGCATACGATATCTAGTCTCGCGCGCGCACATACCCCCATATCCGCGGCCAGACACATAACCCGGGCGCCTACATCCAGCCAACAAGACTCAAAAGCACCACAACACGCCTACGAAGTCAGCAACGCGTCTCTATCTCCACTACCTTAAAACAACCATCTACCAACCCCATCACCAAGACCGTCAAAATGGCAACAGCAACATTCACCCTCCCCCACCACCCAACCATGCCCTCAACCCCCTCAACTCCACCCACCATCACAGCCACAGCGCTCATGAACGCATCATCGCATGACATCGCGATGCTGCACGACATCCACGCTCTCCTCAACAAGATCTTCACCCGCAATCGAAACCAGCATCAACGCTCCACGTGGTGGAAATCGCTGCACGGGTTCCGGCGGCAGATTGGTCTTCTGCTGCAAGATCTTGAGAAAGGTTCTGTCAAAGAGCGAGAAGGTAAACTCGAAGCGCGATTGAGGTTTTGGGATCGGGGAAGTGTGCATAGCTGGTATTAGTAAGTTTGTTCTTTCCATTGTCCGAGTTGCCTTCAAACACTCTTTGCTAATTATAATGAAGCACATTCAGCCAACTCGTCGCCGTGGGCCCGTTCGCCATGCTCGGTCTCGTCATGATGGCAAGTGTCGCTCGCGTATGCCGGATTACCGGCATTACAGCTGTGTATGAAGAAATCGCATCGGGTGACATTCAAGGTGTTTTGAGCGCGAGCGACGAATTGGCTATGGCGGGCGAGTTTGGCACGGTGTTGGATGAGGAGGAGGAGTGGGATGAGGGGGTTGTTGTCGCTCGGGATGAGGAGGAAGACAACGAGTAGATAGAGGTGTGAGTCGGGTCTGAGGGTGGTTTGCTGAATACACATGTAAAATGGTTTATGGGATGATACCTGATAGCCCGAAATGGCTATCTTCACGGCGTTTTGGGGTGTTGGAATGAAGGGATAGAACGTGTTGAATGCCTCCTGGCTGACACATTGCGTTACTGTTGTTATGTGAAAGTTATGTTGAGATTGACAGGCTATGCTCTATCTAATACCAAATCTCGAACCTAGTGTACCGAATCGCTCCTTGCCGCCTACAGTTGGACTCTGCGCCGCGACTTGCGCCCCTTCTTGTACCTTCTCCAGTAGAATGGCGCCCTTCATTTGATCTACTTTGCTGTACTTCTTGTTCCTCTGCGCGATGTCGAAGAACTCTAGGGAGTCATCTGTGCCCATCAGCGCGACTGTCTGCGTTAATTCGTCCAGGTTCTCCATCAAAATGGGGTTGTTGAGCGAGCTGACGAATTGGCTGAGGAAAGCTGTGTCGTTGGCAATAGTCGCGACGGCAGCGGGGGAAATGCGCTTAATGTGTTGGGCGAGAGGGAGGTCGAGGATAGCGGTTGACGCGTGGGATAAAGCGTCGAAGTAGATGAACTCTTTGATCTCGGTGGGGAGCGCGAGAAGGACCGAAGACATTATGTTGGAGAGATACCTAGTCAGCTCTAACATGTATGTCGATGGTTCGGTCTCGGGCTTGGTGGCCATCCAGTCGTACTCTGCTGTCTCGATCAGGTCATCGATCTTGCTGTTCACGAGCTCGAAGACGCGGTTGGAGGCGGTGTTCTTGGCTTTAGCGAAGCGATCGGTTGCGGCCAGGACGACAGGACCTGTTGCTGAGGGCGACGATCGCGCCTCAAAGAGTAGATCCTGTAGCTCAACGCAGGCGTTCTCGAAGTGCTCCAAATTCGTCAAGATCTGCACAATCTGCCCAGGATACTGACTACTCAACCTCTCGATCAAGCTTCCGCAGACCTTTTCACATAGCAACTCATCCAGACTCTGCCTCAGTGTCTCATCAATGACACTGCTCTTCTGGAAATAGTCGTCGCTGAACAGGTAGATCTGGTTGAGGAAATTCCGGATATCGATGCAGCATAGCGGATACATCTGCGAGAAGGGCAGTACGCAGGGGAAGGTGAGGGGTTCGTTGGATGCCGGAGGATTGTACCAGGATACCGAGACGACCTTATCGTACTCTTCACTCGAGTTGATGGGCATAGGCATGTAGTCGTCTGTGTGCACAATCTCGCTGAAGTCTTCGCTGAAGCGGGCTTTGAGAAGGGAGGAGTATTTGGAGAAGAGGGTAAGGAGAAGGTCGTTCATTGCGGAGACGGAGTAGCCCCATTTCTGTGACAGTCAGCAAAGAGTAGAGAAGTTGTGAGTGAGTGACGGACCTCCATAGTCAACATGAAGAGCGCTATGCGACCCTTGATCTTCAAGAGCAGTTCGTCATTCTCAACGGTATGAAGCTGACTGGTGATGAGATTTATTGCGCTTTGACACATCGAGTCCCATAGCTCGTCAACCTATGCTCTTGTTAGCAGTACCTCACGTGAACGGGCGAATGTTACGTACATCAGCCTGTGACCGTAGGTTGAGTGTTTTAGACATGGTAGCCTTCTCGATAATCGCGTACCCCGCGATACTCTCCAACAAGCTGCTCAAGTCACTACATTCCTCGTCCAGTAGATCCAGTTTGTTCGGTATGATCAAATCCTTCTGCGTCCGTCGATCTGATGCGTACTCCGCTCGGAATTGCTCGCTCTTGCCGAGCGTCTCGTTGATATGCATCGCTTCAAACAAGGGTGAGAAGTCCGTCTCATTTCCAGCTTCCTCGTTGTTCAGCACGTCAAACTCATCGGTCTCATCGGCCACCAGTTCGATTGCTGAGTTCAGTTTGAACTTCGAGAAACGTGTGTCGGCTTCGGCGCGCTCCTGATTGCGCGTTCTCCGTACGTCGGTGTAGTAAAATGAGACCTCCCCCAAAAACTGCGCCGACTCGCGAATGCGATAGAGCCACGTACTCAGGTCGTTCTTGACTGCCTCTCTGATTTGCTCCTGGGTTTGCGGTATCGATTTCTCAATCACATTCGCAATCTTGAATCGATTGATCTCCTTCAAATGAATCGTCTGCAATTCATCCAAAGCTCTTAACGCTGCGTAGTAGTTCTTTTCCCTCAGCATGTCCTGAACCGAGTTGGCAATGCGCAATACGTTCAGACATGCGTTCAGCGCTTGCGACGCTTCATCGATATTTTGGCGCACACCGCGCGAATCAACAAGAGCCTTCTTCTGCTCCGCCAGCTTCTCGATGCTTTCCTGGATCGACTCGTTGAGCTGCAGAATCTCACCACTCATCTGTACGGTCTGGTCGCGTATCCTCAGTAGTGAATCGACCGAGCTGACGAAATCTTGATGGTTCGCATTGCATATGCGCTCAATCTCACTCTCGCGATCGTTGGCATAGCGATCGAATGTGATTTGCAGTTGATTTGAGTAGCGTGCGTCTTTCATGATGGGGATCAGCTGGTCGATGTAATCTGAGCCCACGGATGACTGGGAGATCTGCTTCTGTCAGTACATTCAATACGCGCACACTTATACGGGTTTATCTACTTGTTTGATGGCCACCCATAGGTCATCATCAGGGTCCACGGCTGAAGGCATGATGGCGGTTGCCTGGTTTTGGTTGTCGTGTGTGGTTGCAAAACACGTCTGTTGTAAGCGGAGTAGTAGGTCACAGTGAAAGTTACTATGTTCAGTTCTGGTCCAAAGTTGTGGATGGTGGTGCTCGTCGTCGTCGCATATGAAACGCGTACCTGGCAAGTCCGCGGAAGCCGTGCTAGTGGGAATGCGACCTAGCTGACTTGGCGCGGCTCACTGACCCACTTCCCTTTTCGAGATGCCCCAGACCAGATGTTCTACAGTCCAATCTCAACTTCACCAAGTCGAATTGGGATGAAAGAATGGCTTTTCAGACAGGATGCACTGCGATAATCGTGCCTGATGCTCCATCAGTTTTCGGACGCTGCTTGGCGAGGCAAATTTGCAGTTGAACGTGCTGATAATTGCCGCGCTGTACATCGCGAAACACTCCTGGAGAACGCGCCCAGGCAACAGTAAAAGTAAACCACGGCAATACTAGGAGGCTATACACAATCTTGCACGCGTATTACCAGGTGAACTGTTCAAGATGTGGTTGAGTTCGGAGCATCCATCGGTCTGCCAAAGCCCAAGATCTCCAGCGTGACGCGCCGCGCATGCCCCACTTTCATGGAGCGATGACGGAGTAACCCCGCCGATTTCTCTCTATTCCGATCCGGAGTCGACGCCAAAGATATAATCTCTCCCCAAACTTTTTCACATCTTGGCAATTACATCCAAATCACACATCATGGAGGCCATTACAAGTAAGTCAAGAGTATGCACGCAACGGAACTTGGCTAATTGATGATGCAGACAAAGTACAGAACCTTATGGGCAGCGTCAGCGGGGCGGCTGCCGGAGCATACAGCGGAAAGTAGGTACTCGTTTGGGATTGTTGTGGTGGGATTTGGCTAATTGGTGATAGGACCGCTCTTCTGCTCGGTGCTGGTTTCGTGTAAGTCATCTATCAACCATCTCAATACACAGCAAACTAATGATTATAGTACACGTCCAACTGTTGACGTCCTCGCGAAGTCTGGCGTTAAGGTCACAGTAGCATGCCGTACTCTCCAGAAGGCTCAAGACCTGGCTAAGGGCATCCCCAACACCAACGCCATCAGCGTACGAGCATACACTCCACACATACATAGCTTCCTGCTAACAACTCCTAGCTCGACGTCAATGATGCCGACGCCCTCGACGCCGAAGTCGCCAAGGTCGACGTCGTCATCTCCCTCATCCCCTACACATACCACGCGACAGTCATCAAGTCGGCAATCCGCAAGAAGAAGAACGTCGTCACAACCTCATACGTCTCGCCCGCGATGATGGAGCTCGATGCGCAAGCCAAGGAGGCCGGCATCACCGTCATGAACGAGATCGGGGTCGACCCCGGTGTCGACCATCTCTCCGCCGTCCTCACTATCGACGAGGTGCACAAGGCCGGTGGCAAGATCCTGTCTTTCAAGTCATACTGCGGCGGTCTCCCCGCCCCAGAGTGCTCAGACAACCCGCTCGGTTACAAGTTCTCCTGGAGCTCCCGCGGCGTGCTCCTCGCGCTCAGGAACCAGGCTGCCTTCTACCAAGACGGCAAGGTCAAGTCAGTCGAGGGCCCCGAGCTCATGGCCGAAGCAAAGCCCTACTTCATCTACCCTGGCTACGCCTTCGTCGCATACCCCAACCGTGACTCCACACCCTACAAGGAGCGCTACAACATCCCTGAGTGCCAAACCATCATCCGCGGCACCCTGCGCTACCAAGGTTTCCCAGAGTACATTAAGTGCCTGGTCGACATTGGCTTCCTCTCCGAAGACCCCAAGGACTTCCTCAAGGAAGGCGAGAAGCGCACCTGGCGCGACGCAACCGCCAAGATCATTGGCGCCAGCAGCGACAAGGACGAGGACCTCATCTGGGCCATTTCCTCGCGGACAAAGTTCGCCAGCACAGAAGAGAAGGACCGCATCATCACCGGTCTCCGCTGGATCGGTCTCATTTCCGACGAGCAGATTGAGGCTCGTGGCAACCCACTTGACACCCTCTGCGCTACCCTCGAGAAGAAGATGCAATACGAGAACGACGAGCGCGATATGGTCATGCTGCAGCACAGGTTCGAGATTGAGAACAAGGACGGCAGCAAGGCTGTTCGTACTTGCACGCTGGCTGACTACGGTGACCCCAAGGGGTACTCTGCTATGGCTAAGCTTGTCGGTGTTCCTTGCGCGGTTGCTGTGCAGCAGGTGCTTGATGGTACGCTCAGTGAGAAGGGTATCCTCGCGCCTATGAGCCCAGAGATCTGCCGCCCATTGATGAAGACGCTTGAGGAGCAGTATGGTGTTGTGTTCAAGGAGAAGACTGTGCCTATGTAAGGTGGTCACCTGGACGCAAGAAGGAAGAAGGTATTTGATGGACATAGTAGGTATAGACAAAAGCTTGTCAGCTTTGGCATGACTGAATGAACACATCAATCGCTTCCAGATTCTGATCTTGTTTGGTGAACTGTTATCTCTTCTGCTGTATATTGTGCCTAGCTCGAGAAAGCTTTTCCATCTAGCACCCCGTATCTGTACAATCTGCTCAATCCAGCCCAGCAGCTGGTGGCCTTCCACCCACAGCCTTCTTTGGCGCAGCCGCACCACCACCCCCCATCCCACCCCCAAACATACTTCCCAACATATCGAACATCGGGTTCCCTTGCCTGGGAATCTTGATCCCAAAGTACATCTCGCCCACCTGATCCAACGCCTCCCCCCAATTCACATCCTTCAAATCACTTGCATAATGACTCTTCAACTGCCTCCACAGACTCGGGTCCCCGCGCTCCACACTCAATAGTAACAGCCCCAGGAAGTTCAAAAGCGGTAGTGAAGGGTATACGGTGAAGTCGGAGGCTTTTGTAGAGACGGGCTGTGTGGGCGGGTTCGGCGCGCGTTGCAGGGAGGAGGTGAAGAGGAGGTAGTGTTTGTTTGCTGCGCGCAGGTTTCCTGTGAGTAGATAGGGGAGGGTGCCGCGGGCGAGGTAGAGGGGTGCGGTGTGCGGGGCGTCGGAGGTGTACCAGGAGTAGTGGAGGGAGGAGAGGGTTGAGGCGGAGTCTTGGGTGCCGAGGAGGAGGTGGCGTTCTGCTTCGTAGGGTTCGAGGTCTGTGGAAGAAGGCTTTGGTTAGTATGCCTTGTTTCGGGGTTGGGATGTTGTTGGAGTAGGGAGTGGAAGGGGTGGGCGTACCCTCTGCGTATAGTCCTCCGGCAACATGATGTATCTCTGGGTCGCCGGCGGGGTAATCGCCGAACCGACTGCTCCATGCTACCATCTCGCCTACGAACTTCTTCTTTGTAGGCTCATCCTTCGGGAAAGCGCGTAGGAGGCCTAGTAGTCGTCCTTTACTCTCTGCGTCTACCTTCACCTCCCCCTTGTTGTACACGTCGAGAAGGAATATGCATAGGTCGCCGCCAGATCCGCCTTGACCTGCTTGGAGGAGAGACAGCGCGCCAGAATGTAGGATAGAGGTCGCGGACGCCCAATCGGAGGCTTTGGTGTAGCGGGATGCGATTACGCGGAGTTGTTGGTGGGCTTCGTAGAATTGGCCTTCTGCGATCCTGGGCGGGGTTAGCCATTGCGTCTCGCGCCTGATTAGGTCTGGAATTACTTCTCGCGTTGTCGCGCAAGCGTCTTTTCGATTTTGGAAGCCATGTCGGGTGGTTGAGGGGTCGGTGGGGTGGTGCCTTGGTGTTGCTGGAGAGCTTCTGGATCGTGTTTGGGAGCGATGACGCAGCGCTACGGGCGGCTGCTGAACCCCACATTAGCCTCACACACGACCATTACTTTGACTTCTGTTGCACGTTATTGTTTGCGATACTCACTACTCAAGTCACTTCCCAATCCACTCTGTTCTTCCTGTTTCGACGCGCCGCGCCAATTTCATGTCGAGACGCCATACAAAAAGGGAAGCCTTCCTACTACAACGCCATGGATTTTGGAAGACCAGCAAGCTTCATGTACACAATAGAGACAAAAACAATGAGATTTGCGGCAACCGAGACTCGAACTCGGAGCCCAAGCAGGCTACGTATGAAGCGTGGGAAGCTTGGATTTTACCCTTAAACCATTGCCGCGGTGAAGATTAGAGGATGCTGGACAACGTATCAATATATACTTGTAGGAAGCTTCAAGATCATGAAGTTCAGACCATGTAGCGACACAGTCAGTAGTTCCAAGAGTCTGATGGCTTCGAAGGCGTCTCGTCTTAGCCGGAGGATCGAAATGGCGGGGCTGAGCTGGGATGAGATGGCAGGAGCGGGGTGCTGGCGCTTACCTAGGTAACCTGCAAGGACGGCTTCTGCACCCAAAAAGACACTCGTGTTGACCTCGAACGGCGTATCTAGATTGACGCCTTCTTACCACGAGATAATATGGGGTCCAAAACACGCGGCGCGCCTTGCTTAGGCAGAGGCTTGCATGAGTGAGTAGGCTAACAGTTCAGCTCATCAGCCCTCAAGCCTAATTACGCTGCGACTTGCACCATCCCCAACCTCGACTTTGCATGCAATAGGACTCACCTCAATCGGTATTCGATGAATTGTACGCTGTATCTCGTCGAAAATACTGCGATATGGTCAACGAAACCGACGTGGCGACAGCCGCTATGGCTATAGCGATCTCAGCCTTGGTAATCGCAGCCGGTCAACTCATCGCTCAGCTCTTTTCAACTGCGGATGGGTACCGTAGATGCCAAACTTCTGTCATCGGAGATTGGTACAAGTTGGTGGAGCTAAAATTCAGATGGTGAAATACTTTTTCTAAAATAAGTGCACCAACTCGACTTTGAGTATGCTAAGTTCAGTAGGAGCTCGTTCCGATACGAAGTCAAAGTGACAACCCCTCACTTCGAAATGGCGACAATGTCGCATTGCGGACATCGCGAGTCCTTCCTTCTCGATCAGAACAGGCCCATACCGAGTTTCCCGGACCCTAAGTCAATATATTGGCAGAAGGCACGCTACTTGTGCTCTCCTTGGCAGCCAGCACCACTTCTAGGGACTGAAGGCTCGCGTCTTGGCACTTTCTGTAGAAGTCATTATTTATCAAAGTTCCACGGTAAGATCCTCAGAAACTGTCTGGCTAGGGAAGAAGCTCACATGTGGATGTATACAGCCGATGACGTGCCCACTTGGATAAGTCTACTGGAAGATGCTCACGTCCAGCAGAGAGAAACCGTCATGAACCGCTATCAACATCAGCCTCACGATATACTGCCAAACAACTTGAACCTGATCTGTATCTCAAGTAGGTCTTGGGTCTTCGTAACTTGTCGAAACTTACACTGACTTTGCGCTCCTCTCTCCGCAGGAAAGATACGTTCCTGGGACTTTATGCCACCAGATATCGTGCGCCCAGTTGCGAGTACCACAGTGGGATGTTTGATTACTATGGCACATCGGCTAGGTATGGCATGGTCGGACTTCCGGATCGACGAAGGCAAAATGCGTGCAGCTGGTAGTGGACGGAGCTTCTCCACTTCTATCGTACGCGGCATGGGGCTTGTCGTAGAATATAGCACGACCGGGCCTCACCCCTCTCCAGACCATGAATGGCGTATCAATAGTATGTCTGCAGATCAGGTACGTAACATCACATCCGTATCATCGAGGAAGTCTTACGACGATCGTACCGGGCTCATCCAAGACCGCTGTCTTCTTCAAGGCTGCTGATGGAATGAGTTGTGTGCGATATCGCGTCACCCATGAGAATGACCCATAACCTCGCTATTCTCTCTAGCTGACAGAGAGTAGATGGCGTGTGGAATACTCCCTATCATCGCCAGCAACAAGGGCCTGCTACTCAGGAATAAACAAGCACCTGAAGTACCGGATCTCAGACACTCATTAGACATACTCGGAATACATGGTGATGTCAGACTAGCTTTAGAGGCAAGCATATCGTGTCAAGATCCCGCTCATAGACTTCCTGGTTTCACGGATATTATCGGCCTGTTCTGCAAATGGCCACTCATAGACAACATTGCGTTGAATGCCATCGACAACCCGTTTCCTTTTCCGCTGACCACAATGGGCGAGAGACCAGAGTCACGCAATGTCTGGAGGCTTCTACTCAAAAGGCAAGAGGCACAATTATCAAATCGCAAAAAACATGTACTTCAATTCTACGAAAGCTGGGAAGGCTTGGCTCCTTGGAAATTCGAGGGGGAACACCGAGTTGAAAGAACAGACACTCGAGAACTGGATTTCTTCAAGAAAGCATTCGACGACACGACCGCGTATCTTGAACATACTCTAGGCGGGCTTTATGTCCCTCTCTATAGTCAGGCAGTGCGCTGCCACATCTCCATCAACGTACATAGCTACGAACAAGCCTTGCACTACACCGGCACACCGCCCATAAAAAAGAGAGACGGCCAGCTTCCCAACAGTCTGGATCCCATCTTTATTGAGCGCGCTTACATTTACGCCGAGAATGTACCGAAGTTCGTTGAAGAAATGGAGAAGAGCCACCATCACAATGGGAACAAGAACATCTCGTACGAAGACGTTTGGTGGACGATGATGATGCGGCTTCACGCATGGACTATGAGTGTCAGATGGATAGATCGTGAGGGGGTTAAGATTCCGAGTGAATACTACGATAACCCGATTCGTGTGTATATCTTGTAAAGATCGGGTGGTTTTCGCGTGTTTGCGTCAGAGCGTGGCATGAAAACTGCAGTGGGTGATCAACCTTGAGGATATGACTTTCCAGAGAGTTGCGGAGCTGCCGTTCGACTAGTCAAACCGGTCTTCAGTCCAATAGAATGGCGACGGTCACGCCTAGCTCACACGATGAGTCCATAGCCGCAACAAGACACATATCACACAGAGGAAAAGATCACGGAATCTGGAAGAGAAGAATCATTGTGTGGTTGAGCGCAATGCTCGAAACTTGCATTGCAGTAATGCTAAGAGTATCCAAGAAGAGAATCATAAAAAGTCGTGGCATCATCATCCTGATCGGAAGACTCAGTTCCCCAAAAAATGATGACCAAGAAGAAGAAAAAGCCCAGTCCCGGTCCGTGAAAGCCTAAACCCCAACCGATGCCCGTATACACCATTTCGTAATCCGCGCAGCTAACCCAAATAGCATGCGACCACCCATCCCTAAGCAGACGGAAATAGAAGAGAAGAAGAAAGTTTAAAAAGAGTTGCCTAGGCAGAGAAGTCACGGGCGTGAGCACGCTTCTGGACAGAAGCGACAGCAGCGAGTTTAGGACCAGGCGCATCCTCAATGGTCTCACCGGCCTGGTGCCAGTAGAGGTCCCACTGGAGAAGCTCATCGCTAGCCTTGTACAGCTCGGTACCCTTCTTTCCAGCAGGGACCTGAGCGCTGTCATCACCGCCAGTGACCTTGATGTTGAAAGCCTGAGGCCAGAACTGGCGCTGGCTGACATCGCCGTTGTTGTGGATAGACACAACTTCAGTCCTGAGGACGTAGTTTCCGCTGGGGATCTCAGATGGAATGGTAACCTTCTGGGTGTTTCCGTTGTCGTAGAAGATGGCGTCGGTACCCCAGTAGCCGGTCTGACCTTGGGCTTGACCGGAGGAGTAGCGGCCCTTGCGGTAGTCGATGAGGGCGCTCTGGTGGATCTTGAAGAACTCGAGCTTGGTCTTGTCGACGTTCTTGCAGTCGCCGTTGCAGGATGCCATGTAGGTGGCTGTCCAGCCGTGGTGGGAGCAGTCCCAGCCTTCTTCGCCAGAGCCGCAGCTGCCCTCGTGGTGCCAGTGGAAGGTTACGTCTTGGCCGGCGGGGGCTTCGGCGGTGTATGGGGAGGGAGAGGCATCCTTGTGGGCAATGATGTCGGGGCTGATGATTGGTTAGCACATGCATAAAGTAGTAAAGCGTAAGGATATGGTGAACATACTGGCTCAGCTTGTCGCCGTAGATGGGCTGGTATCCCCAGCCCTGGTTGGTCCACCAAGCAGGCGACTGGTTACCAGGATCCTGCTTGGAGGCCTGGCGGAAACCGGGGTACGTCTTGCCTCCAGCCTCGAACTGTTCGACAGAGGTGTGGCCGGCTACGGTAGCGATGAGGGCAGCTACAAGAGCGCCAGTCTGGAAGACCTTGGACATAGACATGGTTGAGTTGATGTTGGGTGTAGAGGTAACGGTTCTGTAGGGGAGAACTTTTGTTGGGTATATGTAAAGAATGTGAAGTAGAATGAGTGTTTTGTTGATAGCACCGGGCTATGAATGAATGACTGGTCAATGAATGACTGAATAGAGAGTGACTTGCTTGCTGTGAGCGTGAAGGATATCCCTCTGCAAGGGCGAGCAGCAGCCCTTATTAATGCTCACCACTCAACATTCCAGAAGCAGCCAAGATGCCCGGAATGTCCAGGCCATCATTTCGGAGGCGCTTACTTTTCGCCCCGCATTTCCCGATGCCCGTGAGGGGTTTGTACGGTGGCTTCTGCTGTCTCTGACAGGCGCCGTGCTGACCAAAGAGGTGCGCCGGCGCTCAGCTGGTGGAGTGTGTGCCTGACGCTAATGTAGGTACGAAAGAACTAGTTTCTTAGTCACGAACTGGGTTCGCCCGGCGTGTAGAAGAACACACCCACTATCATTAGTAGTCATCTGCGCGCCTGCGTACGCGTAGAAATGACGAACTGTGCCCCTTCTTGTTGCATGGTACTAATCCTGTCACGCAGCTGTCGGTGTCTCAGCCTGCTGTGCCATTCTCAACCTCATGTGGAGTTTGCATACGTACTTTCGTATTCTCGAAGCCCAGACATGAAGTCTCAAGATTTTGGGTGGATCTCGGAAAACACCGAGATCAACCTCATCACGCAAAAGGACGAATCAAGAGGCGTGATGTCATGTTGGTTTTCGTTTGTAATGACTTGGGCTGTTTTTCTCGTGGTCGGATCGCCCCTCGGCTGCGTGTCGTGGCAGCAGGGGTGGATACGGGGCTTCCGCTGCCGCACGACGCCGCTGTTTCAGCCGCCAGAGGGCTATCGATAAACAGCCTATCGACAAGACCCATCGCTTCCAACACATCACCGGCGCATGCAGCAACTTTGGTTCACTCCTGCGATGGAAACGTCTCGCTGTTTGAGACAACATCGTGCTATGTTTCAAGCAACGCAGGTTGGCGAACTCCCACCGAACGGGCATTTGAAATTGTAGAAACTGATCGCTTTCCGGCCTCCCTGGTAATACGAGCAACACGCGTGAGCACTGCCGAAAGCCTTGGTACTTTTCCTCCACTCTGGTCCAGATGCTGGCTCTCCGCTCAACGATCGGCATGTCGCCACGAGGAAGGCCTGACCTTCCTCGTTGAGTTGTGCGCCCGTCTGATCCGGAGGATTCGGATGCATGCGAGCGCATCATGAAAGTCTACCGGCCGTGACGACTATCGGTAGGGAGGGTGCGGCGTCGACATTAGCTTACTGACGTACGGAGAATGCCAAACAAGGTAGTCAAATATGGTAGTCGCACGGTTAGTAACATCGCAGAGGCCCATCAAGCGTCCCGCTGTGTCTATCCTTCTCCAAATACCACAGCTACACAGGAGCGACCTCTTGAGGTCATTTTCCATTCCTTTCGACAGTTTGAACAAGCGAACGCATGGCATGCCAGCAAAGACAGAAACTCTATGTTGTACGCCTAGAATCTTGGAGGGTTTATTCCAGCGTCATCTCGTGGCGCAGTCCACATGTAATTTCCTGTGTTGCTGTTGGCCAATCGATGAAGTATGGTACAATAGTCCATCAAAAGCAACATGTTGAAGTGTTCGTGGTGTGCGCCGCGTGCAACCTGCATCCAAATTGCTTTTCGGTAACAATCTCATGGGTATTAGCAGCGGTAACCTACATGATGGTCCGCCGGCATGTCTCTGTTAGCGAAAGATGCTCCCGGGTATTGATTTTGTGCGAGAACTTCATTCCAAGCGTCTATCGTGCAACCGCACTGTCTTTGATTTACATCGTGCTGCAGCAGTCCAAAGCGCACGTTCTGGCATGCGCTGAGGTCGTGCTCCCGGCTGTTTACCGTGAGCCTTTGTGGGTGCAAGGAAAGCCGAGAGTTGGAGGCCCGTTGCTATGGATCTCCAGCGAGTACCAGGCAGCACTTGGTACGTCCATAATGTCGTCACTGCCGTTACTGTAACAGCCTGTTTCAAAGAAGGTTGTTTGTATCGTGGAGCGAACGCTAGCAAGATACCCAAGTGCTAAAGACATTGTGGTCGAGTACTTTGACTAGCTACACCACCTCCGCGATCACGTCTCCCCCATATCTGGAGTTACTTTTCTTCCGTCCTCCTTTGCGAACCTGGAATCTTGAACCGTCTTACCTTGATAGCGTCGCCAAGATCACGATCCGGCACGTCGATCCCTACAAATAGCGCTCCCATACATTGGTGTTCCAGTTTGGCAGCCTTGGTATTCATCTTCGGTATCGGCCTTATACTCACTCCGTACCGACTCAGACCGCATGCACATAGTTCGGGGGCATCTTCCGCTGAAGCTATTGCACGGGCATGCTCCGACTGCCGTGGAGGCAACATCTCTATTCGAGAAGCCTGGCTAGGGGCTCTGCCGCCCAAGACGAAGCCCCCATTAGGTGCCGCACGTAGCTGAAACATCTGCGCGTGGTTGATGGATACCGGCTGTGACATTCCGTTACCCATGAAGATGATGTTGTTGTTGCTGCCGTTCTCAGCGAGCGCATTGAGGTTAAAAGAGAACTCTTGAACGCTAATGTCACTGCCGGCGTCTGAAGCTGCTTCGTCGATTTCCTCGGTTCCATCATCTCGACTGCCTGAATGCTCGCCGAGTTCGTCCCCGTCTACAGGCGTATCGTTGACTGGCTCTTCGCCGGCTGGTTCCTCGGTGGCTGACTTGTCTTCTGCTTATCCGTCTCGTCGCTCTTCGCTGTTTCCTCCATTGCCAATTTTTACACCGAATTCTCGCATCGCATGCCAGACTGCTCTACCCACACAAGACTCTCTCTTGTCGTCATCGCTCCAGTTTGCGTAGATGTTCGAGAAGCTCACGGGGCCCGGATGCATGAGCATGATTGTAGGATTGCTTTCGTTTAGAAGCTTGTTCAATCGCAAGTCGCCGACCCAAGACTTGTTGCTATTCTGATTCGATGAAGGTGTCTAAATGGTACTATGTATAGATTGCCAGATTGTCTCAAAGAGAGGTACAGACACCCCGATGTTCTGTCGTACAGCAGCCATTTCGAGTAGACGGGCTATGGTATTGCCAAGTGTATCTAGCATGTCCTGCTCGCCTTTGAACATCTTGTGATCTCCAAGGATTGGCAAATTTGTGTTCCAGATACTTGTACAGGATGATAGCATACCAACCCAGTCGGAGTGTACATCATTTTCATCAGCCAGTAGCCAGTGGCGAAGCTGTCCGAGCAATGCCAATGAATTGCGCTGCGCTTCTACAGACTTCAAGAACTCAGAAATCTCGTAGGTGCCTTCAGGCAGGTTTTCCTGCCGATCCATGAGCTTCTGTGACTCTGGTTTGCACATCAGGTTAACTAGTCTGGTGACCCACTCATGTGTCTCTGTTGTCGTCTTGGGTTCTTTGTGCAGTCGGTCTAAGGACAGTCTTCCAATAATGATGTTTTCTTCGATCCGACGAAGTTTTTTGGTGTTCCAGACCTCGTGTTCGGACCGCCGGTTACTCGCCAGGTTAGCAATTGAGTATCCACGCCCAAAATAAAGCTTCTTCACTGCCTTTTTGATAGTCTTGGGGCAGTCTCCAAAGAGCAGTTTCTCTTGTCGTCCGTGGAGTGGAAATTCCTTGTCAGGCCATCGTGACGCTTCCGGGTGAAGTATTCTGCTTCCCACAACGTACATCCAGCCTATGTAGAGGATGTCGGCTTCGTGTCTCTCAATCTGTGAGAATCTCCAGTGGAGCTGCAACTCTATTTCGTACTTCAAAAGCCCACAACGAACAGAGTGGTACTGGTATGTACTGTGGAAAAACACTCGTCCTTTTTCGGCAAACACGGGAAGGATCCAAGACGCAAACATATCCCTCTGGTCGTTACCAGAAGAGCCCTATGTTTCATCGCGAAAGCTCAAGGAGAAACACTTCACAAGATTCTCGCGTAGAGCCCTCTTTGGATGTAAGGGGTAGTTGTAGGCAATAGTATTTGCTTCACACTACAAGAGGATAGTGGAGGATAGCTCTGTATTACTATGCTTGGTAAGGGTAGTTGTATGTAGGGGAAAGAGGAATAATTCTTGTCTTCTCCCTTGCTCGCGGAGCGCAGGTTAAGAGCAAGTTTCTAAGCTAAGTCGCAAGCGAGAGAAGCAAGCATATCACGTAATTGTTCTCTCTACTCCGCCTTCGCTATCTTATGTTACATTGGACTCGCATACAGGCGTAGGCTGTGCTGTGGGGTGCAGTCCAGCTATGCAGACCGCCACGGCTCGCGAGACTGCTGAGCGGTAAAGGCGCTATGTAGTCCGAATCCCGTGAACGCCCTGCTGCGAGCGAGTTTTATCTTTTTAAGATTATTGTCGCAACTGGTTCCACTGCTCAGTACTAGATCTCAATTTACGTCAGTCTGAAATGCGTTATCGCCAGGCGGGCTGGAATTGGGGGACTGTTACTGTGCAAGGACGTTTCGAAGGTTCAGAATCAAACCTAAGGTCCGCTGCGGGGGCCGAACCACACCTTGGACCTGAACGGAATTGCGCTCTCTCACCCTTTCTCCAAATGTCCTGTAAACGCGCAGCGACCTGCTATTACGACAACACGATTAGAGCGTATAATCGGATTGAGACACAATGCGGTTCCAGACCTATCCATGGATGCTCGCTATGAGAAAAGACCGCCGGTACATCCGAGACTGGACTGATGGTTGTAGTGAGAAAATCCATTTTACCGATGTGTAGATGTCATTGCACCAAGATTTCCGTATACGGGGTCACCCTATTGCCAGGAGAGTAGCCAGGCGACGCGAGGAGACGCACAACATATCGCAGAAGTCCCACGCGATACAAACGACATACACGATGCCTGAATCACCCCCATCAAATTATGGCGAAGGGATTACAATCGCGAAGATAGTTAGACAAACGGAGTGGGACTGTGTCCGAGAAACGAGGCCACCGCAACCAATCCGAGATCAGAGGTATGCTGGTGTGAATGAGGTGCTCTTCGATCGACGCATGGGAGCCTCCTTTGCCGCGCGTGGCTTATGACTTCCTAGCTCTTGGTCGTTCATCAATACTTTTAGGACTGAAGTTTGCTGTCGTGAGCTCACTTGCGCGATTGCTTTTGGAGCGATAAAGTGTGCAAGCATTTGCGCCTGCGAAGCGCTGCGGACGCGTTCGAGTGCAGCGGGTGCGAATTTCCATCAATCAGCCAGATTCTCGCGTGTATGCCGAAAACAACATCGTTATCGCACTTCCACGCACCGGTTAATGTACAGCTTTCAGCATACAGAGGTCTAGACTCGTTGTTGTGACGTTGTGTTGAATTCCAACGATGACGCTCGATGACGATCACATCAAATCCCAACCCCACCAAAATCCGCCCCTACAACTACTACCCCCCGATCGACAGAAATGTTCAGAACAACCATCATCAGATCTTCGAACTTTGTTTTCCGGAAACCAGTCACCTCTTCTGCTTTATCCAGGCCAATTACACGTACTTTCACTCGTACAACGTTCAAGATGAGCGACAACAAAGGCCCAGTTACCGCATACCCTGCGACAGAGATCACACCTCAAAACCAAGAAGGCGGCCCGGGTCTAGACGCAAAGACTGAGCAGAAAGCAGAATGGTCACGTCTCGAATTCTGGGATGAGAACCAGAAACCATACCTCAAGGAATACGAGGGCCGTGGTCTGATGCAGGGCAAGGCTGCGTTGATCACAGGTGGAGACTCTGGTATCGGACGCGCTGTAGCTATCCTATTCGCAAGAGAGGGCGCAGATGTAAGCATCGTGTACTTGCCCGAAGAAGAGGAAGATGCGCAATTCGTCAAGAAGAAGATCGAAGAAGCAGGCCGCAAAGCAAACCTCATGCAACTCAACCTGCGGGAGAGGAAAAACTGCGAGCAAGCCGTCGAGCAACACATGAAGGTCTTTGGCAAGCTGAACGTCCTAGTCAACAATGGTAAGATACCCTCGCTCCACCAAGATCGCTATCACATGATAAAGATACACATGCTGACATCCCAACAGCCGCCATGCAAGAAGCCTGCACAGACATAACCGAAATCGACCTGGACGTAACCGAAAAGACGTTCCACACCAACGTCATCTCCATGTTCGCCATGTCCAAATACGCGCTCAAACACATGAAGCGCGGCGACTGTATCGTAAACAGCGCCTCGGTCGCATCCTACATGTCTAATCCCATGCTCCTCGACTACGCCTCTACAAAGGGCGCCATCGTAACTTTCACCCGCGGCCTTGCGCAGCAGCAAGCACCAAATGGTATTCGTGTTAACGCTGTTGCGCCGGGCATTATTTGGACGCCGCTGCAGCCCGCGACGAAGAATAACCCCGCTGATGCTATGGATTCATTGGGCGTGGGGGCTTGCCCACTGAACCGCCCGGGCATGCCGGTCGAGATGGCGACATGTTATGTGCATCTTGCTAGTCCGTTGGGGAGTTATTGCACAGGTGAGGTATTGCATGGGAGTGGAGGAATCGAAATGCAGGGTTAGAAGATTGTATATGGGTGGTAATGGCGAGATGAGGTAGATTTGAAAGCGAAGACTTCGTCCGGGAGAGATTGCATGGATTCAATGCCACTCTATATTCCAGGTCGAGCGACAATGGATCGTGTCGTTGAAATTACTGAGCCTTCAATGTCATTTCTCCTTCTTCCACAAAACGCGACAACACCTTTCAGATACAGGTAGTATGTTTTGATGACAGCAATAGCTCAGTAGACGCCATGCTATCTCATACGCCTTTATCCAGGCACTTTTCGCACACATGTCGGCTGACTTAGCCATTTTTGAAAGACTAGGCGCAGAAAGCACATCAATTCAGACTCCGTTGTTTTATATCTCTCCGAGAGAGGCTTTATACCCACAGCTAACAAATCCGAGAAAACAGCACACATGCCCACTTCAGCCGACCATTTAAGTATTCTCAACGCACGCACATGTTGAGATAGAAGTGGTCTTTTGAGTTCCCGGACCGGAATTCTGGCCATGAGTTAGCCCTATGGCATTTTTGGACAGGCGCGCCGACTTTATCAAATTCTTGAACGCCCGTTTTGATTGGAGCAAAGCCCGCAAAGACTCCGTTAATTTGTTTTCTCGGTTTTATTAGGAGATGGAAGAGGAAGCCGCCATGAACCGCGACTCCAGAGCTTTTTGGATATGCGAAGCAGGAACTTTGAGATATAAAGCAAGAAGATAGCACAGAATACAGGTCAATATATACCCCGCTCACTGCGTGCCCGTAGGTATATAGCTTGGCGCTTTCTCAGACTTCCAGCGGCACAGCATAGGGTTGTATCCAGTTTCTTTCAGAAGACCGGCAAGACGACTGCCATCAGATTAGACTTAAGAGAGTTTTGATTAGGCGGAATAGGAATGTGTAGATGAAGAAGAACACGAGGGCGCAGCAGGTGGGTTTGTATACACCTCATTCACTACTTGCTCATTTCGAGATATTGTGGTATTTTCTGGGACTTCCAACAGCACATTTTTCTGCCTTTGATGTTGTTTTGGAAGACGGAGAAGACGACCGCCATGATCTCTTGTTGTATATCTTTTTTGGATATACGGAGTTGGCAATGTGTGGATAAAGAGGAAGAAGAATAAGAAGCAGACAGCCCAGAGGACAGGTTTATATACAACCATCCAGCTGCGCTCTCACGTTTCGAAGCTGTCCGGTTTTGGAGACTCCGAACCGCACATCCGGGGTTTCCGGAATGTTTTCTAGACCTTCTCGCCGCTCGACTCGTTAATTTGATCGTCGTTTCTTGGCCAGTCGACATTATGGATTTGGTAGGAAGTATGAATCGGATTGGAAGATATCTGCGTCTTTCGCAGGCCGCAAAGTCATGAGTTGTCTGCTGGGGGGTTTTTTGGAAAGGAGAAGAAGACCAAAAAGTCATGAACTTGACGCATATAGCTTTTGGTGTACAGAAAGAGCAAAAGCGTATCGTAGCGGAAGAGAAGAGCCAGGAAGAAGGTAGCTTTCATATTAGCAACGAGGTGCGGATACAGTTTATTTGCTCCTCGATACCAGCATTCCTCATGTGCTCCGGGTTCCGTTCTTACGGCGGTTGAAACAGGACAACATTCGGCGCTTTAGCTGACTTTTTGTATTTCTGGCCTAGCCTTCCCAGCACTACAGTACTCTGAGCTTCATGAGGCGTGTTTGCAGGTCATTGGACAATGATGCGATTCATTTGGGAAGAAGTCCGCGAAGCCATAGTAGAGAGGCATTCGATTTTTGGTTTACAGAAGGTAGAAGGTGTGAAGTAATAGCGATGGAAGCAGGCGGGGTGAAATTTATGTGTGATGATAGAGTGGAGCTCCAGTATCCACCGGATCAAGCATTGCTTCGATCCGAGACGCGAGCGAGCGTCGAGGTAGGACTTTTGAGAAAAGCAGGAAGTCATAGCTCAATTGACAGACATTTTTGGTGTACGATAAAAGCGGTGGTAGGTATTGTACTGGCAGAAAGAGAAGACGACAGGTCTTCGATGCGAAGTCGAAGTGGAACTTCAACATCCACTCATTGTGTGGAAACTTCAGGCCGAGAAGCCATCAAGATCCACAGTAGTATATTTGAGAAGAGCAGAACGCCATGAGGTCTAGTTCACCAATTTTTGGTGTACGGTAATTGTAGATGAAGTATATTGGTGGTAGAGAGAGAAGAGAGCGGGTTCTATAGTCGTCGAAGTGGAACCTCGCCATAAACTAGCACCTTCATATCTCCAAACCAAGAGATCATCAAGATCAGCATTGTGGATTTTGAGAGTAACAGACCGTCGTAGAACGGATGTTCATGTCTTTTACTGAAAAGAAGGATATTGTATGTAGTTTTCTCCATAGCAAAGGAAGCTTGCGATTTTTATTTTGTTGTATGCTGGAGTCGGAGCAAACACATCACATCTCTTAGTTCCCGTTTTGGATCAGAAGGTCATATCAGAGTAATTCCACCGGTTTCGGAAGAACAGGACGCCGTGTAGTGCTTCATTTCAGGTTTTAGTAAAATACAGGAGGACTTTGGTGTTAACAATTGCTAATGGAAGAAGAATGTAATAGTGTTTATATCGAACTGGACGCCAAGAACCGACACATGTTAAACTTCAAAGTCTCTTTCCGGGCCGAAAGTCCATGGACTTTCTCTTTCACTTATTTGGAGAAGACCAGAACACTATGCTTCCTCTGGTTCGCGATTTTGGTGCATGCAGGGAACACAGGGGGCGTAGTAGTGACGGAAGAAGCAGGAGAAAGGTCGCTTTTATGTCGGGGTTGAAGTAGTGCCGTTACGTTCCAGAAGGGGCCACACCTCGACAATCATCCGAGCAGACAGAATGCTTTTTGAGAGGAAGATGGAAACGACATGCCCAGGTCGTCAGGGCGCTTTTGGTGTGACAAGGACCGCAGTGTGGTATATCAGTCAAGGAGACAGAAACCGAGAGGGTTTATATAGTGCCCGATACAGCGCCACCACATGTCGATGTCTTGGTGCTTTTTCAGAAAGCCATGTCTCGGTGCCTCATCTTTTTGAGAAGAGGAGCAGAGCAAACACCCATGCAAAAATCCCAACTGATCTTTAGTATTCCTGCCTTTTGGTGATTCAAGGTATTCAATACGTAAGAAGAGAGCGACGAGGTAGACTTTGTATCGTGCTTAGAGCGGAGACGCAGTTCATGCAGTTGTGATGAGAGTATTTTGATCGCATAGCAGCTACCAACTGTGATTCTGTGACACCAAGACGCTCTTCTCTTCACATGACATCTCCATGTAGCATTTTCGGCACATGAAATGGATGAACTGGACTTTTGATGTAATTCGCAGTCCGCGAGACTGTCATCTCCATGAGATGTTGAACGTTGTGTTTTGGTAATCCCAGCGAGAGAAGGCAAACGCCACGCCATTGAAGAACATCATTTTTGTTTCTGAGAGAAAGAAGTAGAAAGTTGGAGTAGAAACCCCAACTCCAGAAGACGTTTATATACCCGCGAGAGCCAAAGGCTAGCGCACTGCTCAGCGCCAATTCCATCCTGCGTGAATTGATGCATTTTGAAACGTTCTCTGGTGAGATAAAAGCGTCCAACGATCCGAGGGACGGCATGAATCTCAGGTATTGTGGTTTTTGAGAGCGCAGAGGCTGGAAAGCGACATGTCGAGGTTCTTCGCCGGTTTTTTTGAGGAAGGGCGCGAGACGCCGGACACAAGCCAAGTGCGTTTTGATTTGGTCCGTCGATTCCAAGACGGCCAGGATACACCGTTTTGAGTTCAGAGAGAGCCAGCAGCCAAACCCCATAAATACGTTACCGAATATTTTGGAGTGCAGGAAGTGGAAGTAGATTGTAGAAGACACCTCTATATGTCGAACAAAGAGTAGTTATACCTTCCACGTCGTCTAGTGAGAGAGGAGGAGGCCAGACAGCCCATGGAGACCTTGTACGTTGCTTTCTTCTTTTCAGTATCTCGCAAGGTGGTTTCGAACACATACGGAATGGGCTGGTCGGTTTTGAACTGGAAGGGTACGATATAAACTCTACGGTGCCGGAACGACAGATGCCATGGGGGGAATGGCTATGGTTTTGGAAGCGCGAGGTCTTCTCCGCACATGGTCGATAGCGTTTGGCGTTTCCGGAGCAATACCCGCACGTAGCCCTTGCTATAGCAACTGTTGGAAAAAGAGACAGGAAGGGCGATCTCTCATGTCATCTTTTTGGGACATTCTGGAGGAGGAGGCAGGGACCATCGTCTGTACCGGCACCCATTTTGGTATATAGGAACCGGAGTATATGTGTTGAAGAAGAGAAGTGAACGCCAGCGAGAGAGGTTTATATACCCGCGCATCCGCGGATCTCAACTCTTGTATTGTCGTCTTCTGGATTTCGATGGACAAAGCCATGTAAATTTCCGATTTTCTTTTTTCGACAGCACCGCCGAGCAATGTCGTGGTGAGGTGTGTAAGGGCTCAGCCCATGTATCCTAGATGTATTCTTTCCGAACTTCCAACAGCAGACGCCATCCAGCGACTTGATCGGTGTTTTTGGACTTCCAGAAGCACTGAACCATGCATTCCCATCGGGTCTGTTTTGGTATCCAGACGGCGAGGTCCATGGATGAGGCGATGTGATGTCTTGAGCTCGCACAGTGAAGACAACACCATGCCGCCTATGTCGTAGTGTTCTCGAGCGTGAGAAGTCGCCGCACATATATCCTTGTTCTGAACGTTTTTCGAGAGACGGGCCCAGCATAGGCCCTTTGCCCCTGAGTTTTGAGAAGAAGGCAGGCAGAGGAAAAGACATGAATGGCGTCTAACTCTGTTATGGTAATATCCAACCGGAGTGGCGAGGTACAAGACATAAACGTTGTTCCAGATTGTTCCGATTTCTAGACTCGAAGGCGGGTTTTCGATCCATGCCAAGGCATTAACATCGTTTTGGAGCTGGCGGCAGGACGAGAAGGTCATCCGACAAATCCGTGCCGTTTTTGGAGAAGAGAGGACGGGACGTTTCTATATCGTTGATATTTCTTGGAAGGGGTTCGGGAACATGGGTGTGGATATGGGGTTGTTTCGGAAAGAGGGAGGACAGAGCGGTCATACAAGAACCAGTGCTCTATTTGGGTAAAAATAAAGGTGGAAGTGTGATGAATAAGAGAGCAAGAGAGCGGAGAGTTGGGTGATTTTTATACCCATCAGCTCAGTCCAAGTCACATGCACACATGCTAAAACTCGGCATTTGGAACCATGGAATGTGGATATCCTGTCCGGTCAGTCGTCCCCAACCAGCCAATCTACGACCTCCTTAATCCAAGCATAGACACGAAGAATACCACCCTCGCTTCTTAACACCCAATCCAATCATGCCGCTAATAGCGCCACCCATTCCAAAAACACCACGCTATGCATCTGCATCCTTATCCTGAAGGCAACTCATCCACGTGTAAATATCGCAATCCTCATCTTCCTCGTCTGCATCAACCATGTCAACCACATGACCGACATCTTCCTCATCTTCCTCCTCACCCCAATCATCCCAACTATCCAGTACCTCGCCAGGTGTTTCCTAACCACCCTTCTTCTCCAAGACATCTACACGCTGCATCCTCGCCCTGTCCTGACTATCCACATCCTCCATATCCACATCCGAGAACCTGACTTGACTCTGCATCTTCTCATTCACCGCGCCATCATCACCATCGCCTCTCCCCACTGTCTCGCTACTAGCGCTGCTCATGGTCCCAGTACCACCACGGTTCGTCTCGACCATTTCTTGCGTGACAGGCGCATCATCGTCGATTTCCGTGTTGGGTGTGAGCGTCGCGGAACTCATGTTTGAGTCGTTTCGTGGACGACTACTGCTGTTAAACTCTTTAGCGCTGATTTCACTCCAACCATTGTCTTCTTCAAAGGCAGGGGGGACGGTGGTATCCCACCCGCCTGTTGCCGTATTGCCATAATCACCATAGCCTTCCCAACCAGTAGCATTCTCCTGTAACTCATGGAGGAAGTTGAGATTATCCTTCTTAGCGAAATCTTGGAGAGGCTTGGGCAGCGGGAGGGGCTCGGCGGCGGTAGCGTCTTCGTTTGCGTAGACGAGGAGAGCGGAGCCGGCTTCGGTGGTGGCGCGCTCGATGACTTCTTGCAGGGAGAGGGTGTCGCGGCGGATGATGGGGTTGGCGGATTCGCTGTCGTATTGCATACGCCACCATTGGGTTGCGTTGGGGACATCGGATTTGATGTCCGGGTGGCGGACGTAGACTACGTCTCTACGCGTAGCTACGCCCCAGAGTTGGTATGGGCGCTCCATGGCGTCTTCCGGGGCTTGGCCTTCTGGGTAGACGATTTCGATGGGCTCGAAGGTCTTCTCTTCCACTTTCTCGGTCATTTCGGTTGTCGTGTCCATGGCTTGGTCGTCAGTGGCCGCGGCTTCGTCGGCGCTATCGTCTACGCGGGGTTTGAATCGTCCGGAGACGCTCAATATCGCCTTCTGCACTTGTTCAGTCTGCTGTTCCAAGGCCGCAAGCTTGCTCTCGATGCTGTTGTAGAGCTCCTGTAGCTGGGCCAACACCTCCGCATCCTTGGAAGAACCACCGGAATTTTCAGGTTCAAACGCAGTCATGCTTGTTTTGAGTAGTTGCAGCGACTCAAACTTCTTCGCGCCCGCTTTCTTCGGAGTGTGGTACTTCAGTTTTTCCACCTGGGCCTTGAACGAGACCAGTTGCTCTTCATGTTGCGTGATATCGCTATACATACTATCGATGACATGCTTGTTCTTTTCAAGGTACCGATCGATGTAGAGGGTGGCTGGAATCCGGCATCCCAGATCAGACGCCTCGGTATTTGATGAAGTCAGGCGGAGTATCAACACGTTACTAGCTTCGCGAATATGCGCACTGGCTCCAGCTGAAGCAAAGAGTGAGTCGTCCAGGACATCGTACAAATTAAAGTCGGGCCGAAGTTTATCGCGTGTGACGGCGGCATCAAGCACAAAGCATTCCTGGGCGGTTCCAGCAACGTCAAAGGTAGACTTAAGATGGCCGTTCAAGTCGGCGTTTGGGACCTGACTTTGGAATGCGAAACCCCACATCACCAGGAACTTTAGCAAATCGTCGTCTGGATCTTCGACAACAGATTGCTGCTCTCTCCAAGCCTCCGACTCAAGCAGTCCGTTGACCGATCCGTAGATCCGGTCCGTGTTGTCTAGGAACGCCATGAGCCGCTGTGTCTCGTGAAGTATCTCGAGGTTGTGCGCTTCCGAGCGTCCAGTACCGTCTTCGAAGATGCGCGCGGTTGCTGTGGGGTTGCCTTTCCACCAATTGTCGCCCTGCCAGTAATCATTTTGTAGTACGCCCGGGCACAGCAGCGCATTTCGGAACAGCGGTATCGAATGAAGTATGGGAATGAGGTTGGGAAGGTAGTTGAAGGTTGGCGACGGCTTTAGGATAGCGGGCTGCCCTTCTTCGCGCTTTCGTTGGCTCGGGATGGGGTCGGCGATGATTTCTGTTGTGGTTGGTACTAGAGCCCATTGCGAGGTATCGTAATTGTCTCCAGTGGCCGGTCTGAAGTTGGAAGAGCCTGTGACTCCCATTTCCTGACCCTCAATGCCTGAATGTCTGTCAGCACTTGCGAAGTGATGCTCGTGGCGCATCCGCTGCACTGACTCTGTATGGGCGCATCGCCGGCTTGTGCTTGTGTGGAGGCGACACTGGTTCGAGAAGGCGGGCGCGTGGGTGCTCTGCTATTGACGTTGCTATGCGGGTAATTATCGAGACCTGGAGCATAGTCAATATTGAATGCTGAAATCCGCCACTGTCAGCCGTGTTATCCTTCGAAGTCTTCCAAGCCAGAGCTGACGTACTGGGAACGTTTGTGTCGTCTATACCATAGCCGGCCCCCGCAAAGGCAGTCTCGTCCCACTTGGCCTGTGAGTTGCGCAGATGGGTCTTCAAAGCAGAAATACCTCCTTGGTCCATACTGCTGAAGTACTTGTCCACGGCGGCCTCGACATTGTTGCCATGATTCTGTATACGTAGTTAGAGCTTTGTCGCAGGGCGCAAACAGGTTGCGGGCTACTTGGACATACCGCGAGAAGCTGCCTGGCTTCCTGTCTGTCGAGCTGATCCGCCCCGAAATTGAAGAGCAAGTCAATGTTTTCTTCTATTTGAGCGTCCGACATGGTTGCTGTGTATATAGTGTAGCGTGCGTCGTGATAGCAATGTTGGCGCAGTTGAGATCTTTGATGCGGGCGGGCGGCGAGCAAGCCGGCGCAAGTGAGGTGGAAACGGCGGCGCAGGTGCCAAGGCGAGCAAACGGCAGCCGCTCAGGTGTAGCAGGCAGGCGTGTATCAGTCGGGTGTAGAATGGGCAGTCGCGCTCATAGGTGAGGCTGCATGGCGGGGAGCTTCTAGAAGAACGAGCTTCGCGGAGGAGCATGCGGGCAGCGGAGCGATGATGTCGCTAACGCCGGTGGAGCAGGGGTCATGCTTCATAGCCGACGGTTGGCCTACTACACTGCGTCACACAACATTGCTTTTCGGAAATCTTACAATGCATTGAGTGATGTGTAGGATTTTGCTTAAGACGTTACTCGTTCTCATCTATTCACTCCCTGGTATCGAATCCGCCGTAACCCTAATTGTACATATACTCTTACATCTATATTTTAGAACGTTCAATCATGTAACCATTTACCCTCTAGACCCTGGGTAGGGGAAGAACGCCAGATCCTAAGCTTTATCATGGCCCTTATGACGGCACGGAGGGCAAGCCATCCAGTACCTCCTCCTTCTTGTCCTTGGAAAGCGACTCGTTTGGCTTCGATTCGTCACTGTAGGGCTCCTCCGCTGCCTGCTCTTGCGAGACCTCGGTCTTTTCAGAACCTTCAGTCCCTTTCGTAAGTTCATAATCTGACGCCACGACCTTTGCGTTTGAGCCAGGGCCGAGCGGTCGGAAGATCTGCACACCCTTTGCGTCATTGAGCTTGTCTTGCTCCTCTCTCCATTTGCGTCCACGGTTGGTGTAGCGCGAGATGACATCACGGTAGTGCTTGAGACTCTTATCGACCGCTTCCTCGTCTTGTCCGATAAGGTCGTGTCTTCGTGCCTTCAGCGCTGTGTACAGCTTCAAACGTGTTTCCGCAGGTATCTCTTTCAGATGGTACTCAAGCTTCCAGTCATCGTACTCGCTCAGCTGCTCTGGTCGGTCCACATAGCCTCCGTTGACCTGACTGCGGACAGTCAGCGTCCAGCCCATCAAAGGTTCCTTGGGAGCTGATGTGGGCTGCACGGTATCTTCCGCGCTGGCCTCTTCGCCTTCGGCAGGCTCCGCAATCGTTTCTTGCTCCTCGACAGCTTCCTCGACAACGTCATCAGGAGACTCTTTGATCTTGGTCAGAGGTTCCTCTTCGTGTGCTATAGGTTCCTGTGGGGCCTGATCTGCACCGACTTGTTCGTCAACGTCGTCTTGAGCTTCTTGCCAAGCGGCTTGAGCTTCAGGATCGTCCTTTCCAATACCAACAACGCGTCGTGCAAACTCTTGCTGAGCGGCCTCTCCAGCGTTTTGTATCTCGTCTGCTTGCTCCTCGGTGACGGGCTCGGCAAACACGTACATGAACGGCGTCTTGCCTTCGCGCGCTTCAAAGTGCAACCGAATAGACTGGTAATTGTTAGCGAAGACCTCTGGTAGTGAAATGAAAGCCTACCGTTTCAGGAAATGCAGCAGTGGCCTTGGTAAGGATTTCATCAACGAGACCTAAAGACAGCTTAAACTCTTGATCTCCCAGTACCGTGTCATGCTGGCCGTGGAGGACAGCATCCATGTCGGAGAGACTCAAGTACTGGAAGCCGAAGATGCGCTCAATGTTGTGGTAAGCAAGGAAGATGCCGTCCATGCGTCCCATGCGGGCTTGCAGGGAGTATTTCAGCATGGTCGCGCGCGTCATGTCATAGAACTCGCGTTCAAACGACTCCCACTCGCCTAGATTGTGACGAAGCTGGTAGCCCGCGCCCTCTTCATAGTCCTTGTGGTTCATGCGGATCGAGATAACAGCTCGCGTCTTCAAGTCAAAGACGCCCGTTCCGGGTAACCGGGGATCGATTGCATCGAGCTGCGAGCGCATCAGGATGTTGCCCTGCTTCGAATAGTGGTAGCAACGACCAGCCTCCTTCTCGACGGTTGCCTTTTCTGGGTTTGATCTTCGGAACTTTTCGAACTCGCTGCGTTCGGTTGTGAGGAGCTTCTCTAGCGAGTGACCCAGCCAGCTCATGATATTGGGGCTATCATAAGACTTGTCGGCGTCCAAAGCGTAGATACCATCCCTGTATCGGAGGAAGACGGCACTGGGGCCAAGCGTGATTCTGGAGAATCTGGGCGTAGGGTCAGGAAATTGGCGGGAGAGCATGCCGTGGTTCAGTTTGCGGAAATTTGAGAGGACGTAATGGAAGTGCTGAAGCATGCTCGACATGCTCGATGTAGAGCCTGTGAACTTTGTGCCAATCTCCTTTGTCAACGCTAGCAGATTCTCATCCTTGGAGGACGTCTTGTATTCGCTCAACGCTTCAAAGTCGAACTCGTTCGCCGGCATAATCTTCTCGAGGTATGGATCGAAGTTGTACACCCGTGAGCGTGGGTCCTGCAGGCGATATACACCGGGGTTGAAGAGGACGCGGTCGAGACCGTACGATAGCATGGGGACGGGTGGCTTGCTGACTTTGATCTCTTCAAAGTTGAGGTCGTCGGGGAACATCTCGCTGATGGGGATCGACTCTCGTTCTTCGTCCCTTTTCTGCCTCCTCGCCCTCTTGTCACCCAGGAGGGCCTCGATGAGAGACTTTGATCCATCCTCCGCCTTGACATTTCCCTCTTGGCTATCGGAGCTCTTTCCCTTCTTCCTAACGACGACTTTTCTGGGAGCGACTGGCTTGGATTTGGATGGGGCGGCTCGGACTGATTTTAGTCGTGTCTGGCTGCGGGCAGCGCAGAAGAGGCAGACGGGCCTTCTGTGCCACTGCGCGGCTGGCGACAGCTGGCGACGCAGCATTGGGAGGGGCGTGGCGGCGTGGGCGTGGGCGTGCGAGTGGCGTTGCACACACGATGGAAGTGACGCTCGGTCGCGACTGCACAGAAAATATGTCGGGGTTTGTTAACGCCGGGCGATCATTGCGATCACCATGTGACGTACCGGCAGTGGACGCGACGAGATACCAGAGACCCACCCTGAATCCACCCCTGCTCGTCGTATCTCGCCCGTACTGCACTGCGTACATCTTGTCCTGTCATTTCCCTGCAAACGCCGTGTGATTGTCGGGCCGGTGTGTAGCAGCTCGTCGCCTCTACGCACTGGTAGAACTGGTAGAAGACTGCAGACGGCCGGCGAAATCACGTCCTCATGCCACGGAATAATGAGACGTCGTGATTACAGGACGCCTGCCAACCCCCTCCCGCCAAAGGCCGAGCCCGCCCTCTGCTGCCTCTGCTGCATCTGCTGCTGCACCTAATTGCTCCGCCGTTGACCTCCGCATTGTCTCGCGTTGCGCCCTCACCGTGATTGGCCCTACCGCCTTTCTGTGCCCAACCCTGCTATTCTGCCCCAATTTCCACCGCAGCTCTTCCGAACCCATCTTCCGACGCGACAATTGCCTCCTTCCCCTAGGAGCCCCTCTGCATGCGATAGTTGTGTCGCCGAGCTCGTGCTGGGCTGCGCGCGCCGATCAGGAATCTCGGAATGTCCAAAGACAAACGAAGGAGCATCTTTGGCCGTAGCTCCCTCAGTGCCTTCGCGTCGCAAAGCAACAAGGATGAATCGCAACCCTCGAATCTGCTGCGCAAGCGGCGCACGGCGTCCTTCATGTCCAACCTGTCCGATGTGTCGCAGTACACCGAGACCGCATCCTCCAACGGCAGCACGGTAGCGGGGAGCAGTCACGTTAGGGAAACGATAGATGGGCAGCGGCCAAGTCTTTCCAAAAACAGCCTGAAGCGCGCCAGCTCTGTCTTCAGCTCCTTCCGCGGCTACAAACTCTCCGCAGACGACGACCCCGAACCTCTCTCGGCAACATCAACACGAACGTCGACTGGCTTTGGAGAATACATATGGGAAGACGTACACGATCGCCAGGTGCTACAGCATGGCGAGGTCCAGACGAGCAGCTCCATGTTCAGGAAGAAGAGGGAATACCTGTTGCTGACCGAGAAGCATCTCATCCGGTTCAAGAATCACTCGAAAGCGATTGAAGCATTTCCTGGGTACGTTCCAGCGTCGACAGTGTCTCGGAGCAAGACTAACAAGCGCAGGATACCTTCGCCGAACAACCGCATGAGCTATTATCGCCACAGCCACAGCCCCTCGACCGGATCGTCCCACGAGCTTCAGTCGATGGCTTCAGAATCGTCTGGAGATCGTCACCAAGGCATACCTCTACGCCACATCGTTGCCGTGTACCATCTAGACGACGGTCGACCGCACTTTGCGCTGGAACTGTACTATCTGGATGACGAGACGAACAACGCCTCATCCATGACTCTGCAGTTCGGGGACCCCGAAGAGATGTTTTCATGGCTCAAGGCCATAAGAGAAGCGGCGAACAGGGCACGGCTGTCTGACGCGAAGCCCATTTCCGCACACAACTCTCATCTGGCTGCGCGTGTCGTTGAAGCAGAACGCGACTATGTACCTCCACATTACGCCATATACAAAGTCGTTCTCCGACCCCAAGGAAAGACAACGACGAGAGCCTCAACTGATGATCTTGCCAAAGTTTCTGCTTCCGTATGTTTCCTTGCTATTGGTGTGCACAAAGTACACATTATTCCGTTGTTCAAACCATCCTCACAACGGTCTTCCAGTCCATCACTGGCCGCTCATAACACTCAGTCGTCGCATGGTATCCTAACGCTGACTGAAGTGTGCGTGACCGAAATTGACGATACCTTCCAGCTAACCTTCCGGTGGGTATCCCTTCTGCGCTATGAGAATGCCGCTAACAGCACACAGGAAGCCGCTTGAACGTCCCAAGGTACTCCATCTGGCATCGTTAGCTTCGCGGGATATTGCTGTCCGTCTACGATCCATAGAAGCTAGTCTCAGACCTGAGTGGGAGACGCGACCTTTTGACTTCCTTGTCCCAGACGACGTGTATCATGACGTTGCTCGACAAGAAAGCCCACATCCGATGGACCAAGATTCTTTGGATAGAACCTTGATTGGATACTGTGTTGCTTACGACGTACAGCCAGAAAACATTAGCTATCAGATCACCTACCCTGCCGAGGATGCACCGCGCTTTGAGCTCCTACCACCTGTCGGGCTACGCAGAAACCAGTATAATACCCTCGAGCTACTCGCCGTCATGCGTGCCTTGCGCTATAACGAGACCTTTGGTGGTATCTCTTTCAAAGATGTAAAGTTGGATGTCTTAAATGGATTGAAAGATCCCAACGGCGCTGAGCACCTTTGCCTCAAGACAAAGCGCGGCACATATGCACGGCTAGACATCGAAGAGCTGGAACGGTCTTGTCTACTAGTGCAAGAGATTCGCGCTTTGGCCTTGACGAACCGAAAGCTGCGGAGAATGGACTTTACCTCGTGCATCTCACGAAAACCAAGAGACCACGGGGAATCTAGAGGTAGTGCTAGAGATCAGGGCTGCGGCATTGTGGAAGCCCTTTTTCCGCTGTGCAAGTACCAGACCACCAATGTCGATTGGATAGCATTGAACAAAATACAACTTGGAGATACAGATTTGGATTACCTTGTCGCGGCAGGTGTCGAACGAGCTTGCCACTTCCGCGGACTTGAGTTGAGTGGGTGTGGTCTAACGGATCGGTCGCTCTCTCTTGTTCTGGATGCGATCCGCGCGCAGGAAACCACCCTCGAAGCTTTGGATCTGTCGTCGAACCCGTTCAGATTATCACCGAGCATGTTTGACTCTCAGATTGGCGTTTTTGGATACCTCACACGACTCAATCTGTCGCATGTTGCGCGCTCTTCGGGTCTCGAGTCGCTGATATCGGTCGAAACCTTTGCTGGCTGGAGGTTACAGGAGTTGATCTTGAGTGGCACCTCGCTCAACTCTGCCATGGTTGACGCAATAGCTGGGTTAGTTGTCCACATACTCCGCTTGTCGCTGTCCCTGCTAATCACCGCGTAGTTACCTTGTAAACTACAAGCAATCCTCCGCTCTTCGCGAACTACGATTGGATCATTGCTTTTTGACTGGAAGTGACATTGCATACCTCTTGCACTCGATGACAGAGCACCCTGGAAAGGCTCGCGAGTTACATTTGGATGTCAGTGAGAACAATATCGAAGAAGACCTGGATAAGTTGACCAGGGCAATCTCCAAAGGTCTCGCCCCATCCAACTTCACCCTCCGCCTGCTGGAGTTTGAAGAGGACGCCGACTTCCGCAAGATGATACTTGCGTTGGCCGCTAATAACACCATTCGACAGCTCGATATCTCGCGAGCATCTTTACCATGTGATGCCTCCGAAGAGACTTGCCAGGCGATGGAGAAGATGTTTGCTGATAACACTAGTCTTGAATGGCTTGACATATCCGGAGAGGACTCCCGGCTAGAGACAACCAAGCTAGGTGTTGGCATCAACCGAGCACTACGGGGTTTGCAGCGCAACCGAACCCTGCGTGCCTTGTACATCAGATGTGAGTTGGCATACACCCATACTTCAAGACGAACGACTAACTATGTCAGATCAAAAACTCGGCGTACAAGGCGCCAGCACCCTCGCCGACGTCCTCAAAGTAAACACGACCCTCCAATATCTCTACTGCGAAGACAACGGTATAGCCCTAACCGGCTTCACCGACCTCGTCAACGCCCTCCACCGCAACACAACCCTCCTCTTCCTCCCCACGATGCAGGAATCGCGGCAAATGGCCCTCAAGCAAACCGAAGACCAAGTAAAATCCATGCGCGACGACGTCTCCCTCCCCACGTCCTCCAAATCCAGCTCCGTCCGAAGCCGCCTCACCAACCGCGTCGTCAGCGGCAAATCTTCTAAAGAACCAACCTATCCGATGGGGCTTTCGGATCAAGATATAAAAGCTGCGCTTGGCCTTGTGGATGAGAGTTGGGCAAGACAAGAATATAGATTACAGCAGTACCTACAACGCAACCACAACATCGCCCACGGCATACCAACAGCTATGGACGTCGACGAGGAAGACTTTGAGCGGCCCGATACAGCAAACAGTCTCGGTAAGATTCTCGAAAAGGTCACAATTGAGAGTACGCCTACACGGGAGAAGGATGTTCAACTAGGTGTTTATAGCCCGAAGACGAAGCCGATTGAGAAGGATGTCCAGCTAGGTGTTTATACCCCAGAGTTTTACCTACCGGAATTGCACACACCGGGGACGGGTACGCCAAGGAGCGATGTGGTGGACTACGACGTCACGCCCTTGGAAAAGGAGCTAGAGATGAGTTTTGGAGAGAATAGGCGCGCGTTTCCGTTTCCGACAAGGTGATGAGATAAGGACCATGGAAGCCGTTGCCTTCAGGGACTCCCGCGCATCCTCCCATCCTCCCATTCTGGATATTTCTTTCTCCATTTTAGGTCCTCCTGATCACGAACGAGCTCGAGCTGCCCATGTACATATAGAAAGCGCGTCTGGTTTTTTGCATATCGACCCTCGAAGCCCAGGGGGTTCAATCGGCGTTTTTCTTCTTACTTATTTTCTTCACAGCATGCAACAATACGATGGCGAGGGAATGTGCATATTAAGTTGGATAACGTTTGGGGGTTCTGTGATACCATAGATATTTGAATAAACAAAGAATTCCGAACCTCTGGAAACGACCAACATGCTTTCCAAGGCCTTCCAGTAGTAAAAACAGGCTGTTGTTTTGATGGACATGCTCGTGCTTGAACGCAGTCCCGACGCTGTTGAGTACAGCTTCTCAAGATCGCAATGCATGATATTTCCCAAAAACCTACAGAATCATTCTATGCAGCCGTATGTGCAGCAAATGCTGTGAACAGGCGTTCGATCGTGAGCTGAAATGTACACCTGCAGGTACCCCACATGCCACCCCCACTAAACAAGCTCACCGTCCGAGCTTCAGCCGAAAATGTAGGCTGACATCACCGATTCTGCATGTGTTCGCGTCTGCTTCTTACCACACTATCTTCTTTACTTTGCAAACAAAACAAACACGTCTACAATCGTTCAGGAGTACTTCGGTCGCAATAGACTGCGCGACTTTCATTGTTTTATTTGCACTTTTCCAAATGAGCACAACGCCGTCATGGTAAGACAACATGGTAGTCTGACAAAGGACGACGAGACGAATCAGGCGGCTTGGGAAGCGGCGAAGGGGGCGTTGGTTGGGGGGACGAAGGTATGCTTCTCTCTTTTACGCGTTGTTGTATGGGCATTTGACGAATGATTCCATGTCATGCGTTTTGCTAGTGATGCTGCGTGAAAAGAGAAGGAGAGTTGCGTGCGTCAGATTGTCATGTATACCGGTACATGTCTGTAGTGAAATGGCTTTCCCGGGGATTGGGGATAATCATGCGATTCGTGGAAGAGAAGGTTGGAAACTTAGGGATGCATTGAAGAACGCGGTTAAGATAGGTTGGTAGTATGATGGCTGACTTTAGAACACAGTGGGGTGCTTTCTTCGCTGTGGCAGGCGGTGTCGCATACGCTTTCTCGCCTGTATACAAGGGTCTTACTGTTCAGTTCAAGACGTATGTCGAATACCTTCCCTCTTTCATCCTATCCCATCCCATCCCCACCCTCCTCAAACACTCTCCCATCAATCACCCCACTAACACTATCCAGTTACATACAGATGTCAGGCATGATACTTGGCGGGTACCTGGAAGCCGACAAGCGCATGATCAACTACCAACACCGCGTCCGACACCACAAGCGGGTTGCCAGAGACATGGAGATCTGGAGACGGTACGAGGATTCTTATGAGGAGAGGGGGACGCCGGGGGTGGGTGCTGAGAGTGATGTGCATGGGCCGAATGGGAAGGGTAACTGAAGGGTTTAGATCGGACGAGATCGGATTGTGGTGTGTGGAGTTTGAGCAGATTTGCAGGAACGAGGGTTTGATGTTTGTGCAGATGAGATGGGCAAACGGATTGTTACTGCTTGTTATTATATAACCTATTCTTCTATATCACTCCATGCGTCGTACTCAACATCCACCCTGTGTGTCAACTACCCATACCCACACCTAGCATGACAACCGACTTCCAAGCCCGACTAGACGTCGACAACGACTCTGATCATACAACGCTATCTGTAGAAGACACCTCCGGATTATCGGGCATAATAACGCATCAATGGGCGATCCGGAAGGGGCGGACACTGCTTCGCTTTGAGCAGGCAACGGAGTTCGCATGTAGCCTTTGTAAGCAGCAGAAGACGGCTACTCTCGTGGCTGTAAAGGGCGTTCTTTCGGACGATATAAGTGTGAAGTCTTGTCAGGCGTGTTTTGATCGGTGGTCTGAAGCACTCGATCGGAACATTAAATCTCGGGCAGATGTTTTCGAATGATAATCAACGGAGAGAATTCACTTCATAACATTGAGCGCGCGAGTACTTAGCAAATGACGAGAAGAACCATCCCCGCGGTTCTAGAAGATGTGCTTCCGTCTGTGTTCCTGCAGCCAGAGCTCCGGCAACCAATGACGTGATGGAGCGCGAAACGGCATAGCGCCCCCACCCACGCCGCGGCCTTTTAAGCCACCTTGCGAATTCGCTTGCTCCTCTTTCTCCAGGCAGCACTGCGCTGGTCCTCGTTCACGACACCTTCACACTTACAACGGCTATAGCTACGCGTAACGATGGATGTCTTTTGGACACTCCCGCCGGTCTCTAGGTAAGCTTCTCTCTTGCAAGGAGCTCGACAGTTGCAGCTCGCAGCTCTCACCTCACTCCCAGTTACGCGCAAACAACACGTCGCACAATTGCTAACAATTCCTCACAGGACCATCACAGCTGCAGCAGTCGTTGTATCGGCTGCAGGCTACAGCGGTCTCCTTAGCCTCTATCACTACATCTTCGTCAGCCAATATGTCTTCACGGTGTCGATGCTCCCGCAGCTCTGGCGGTTCTTCACAGCGTTTCTGATTACGAAACCGAAGTTCGGCATCCTACTAGACCCATACTTTCTCTACCAATACGGCAGCTCCATCGAGCGGGAGTCGCCTCGCTTCAAGGATCCAGGCGACTTTCTCGTATACACTTTGTTCCTCGGTAGCGTCATCGTCGTAAGTACCCACTGCACACACGTGTACATAGCTTCCATCGCATCGACACAACTGTCTGCGATACGTTCCGACTTCGGTCAAAATCACCTCCGCATATCTGCCCGCCCAGCCTGTTATTCCTAGCTGAAGCGGTTCCTGGAACGGAGGAAGAATACCCTTGCACATCATGCGGTTCCGTCATTCGCAATAATATAAAGGGACTTGTGTGGTGTGTAGGCATGGTGGGATTGTCACTTGAGAAAGCTTTGCGAATGCTCTCCATTTCGCAAGGCGGTGTTGGCTCCCTACATACTTTTGCGTCTCGTTTGATCCTTTTGTCTTGACGTATTTTGTCGTGCGGTGGATGGACTTGTGCTGACAGTCCCTGTAAAGGCAACAGCAGGTGGCATTCTAAACCAATACACCTTCCTCCCGTCGCTGTCCCTCGCCTACGCATACACGTTCGCCCAAGACAACCCTACCCGCTCTGTATCCTTCTTTGTCATCACCTTCGAAAGCAAATACCTGCCCTTCGCTATGCTCTTCATGGCCTTCGTCATGGACGGTCCTGATGCCGCTCTCGGACAGCTCATGGGTCTTCTCGCCGCACACTTGTACGACTTCCTGACGAGGATCTGGCCTACGTTTGGCGGTGGCAAGAACTATATTCGCACACCTGAGATGGTGAAGCGCTGGTTCGGTGCCGCCCCGGGGAGTGTGCAGAATAGAGGATATGGACATGTTGTTCAGGGACGCGGTGGAGCGGCTGCAGCGCAGCCAAGTGCGGCCAGAGCGACAGGCAATGCCTGGGGTGGCATGGGTCCTGGGAGGAGGCTTGGGGAATAGATGTGTGCGGCTGAGAATGTCACGTGTATCTAGAAAGTGAGGCCTGGTGTTGTGGGCTTTGGAGCTATTCGAGCTTTGGTATTTGACTGGATTGTCTACATGAACGAGGTCTAAACACCTTTGCACCTTCTTTCATGCCGGTCCAGCTATTCATGAATGGTTGGAGCTAACCTGCAACGATTCACTCCCACTATCCGTGAATGCCTGCACCGATAGGAAAGAAGTGGTGATATGATGATCATGACGATTTCATTTCATCCCATGCCTCTTGGCTATAACACAATATTCCTCCTTTTATATCATGATTACATTTACTTCGAGCTCCCAGCAGGATTACTAGGTCCATCAACAGCCCTCTCAACATGTCCAGCAATCCCGTTCTTGCTCGCGTCGAATTGACTTCCAATCACGCCGTCCTTGCTGAACGGGCCACCGACCTTCTCGCCGATCTGGCCGATTGCGCCATCTGGGTTGACTTTTGACATATATTAGTATCGAGTTCAAGGTCGTTTGGCGTGCTAGAAGGAGTACGAACAGTTCTTTCCAATCGCCCCCGCACTGCTAAGCACGCTAGGGTTCTCCTGTGGGATGGCATTCGTGCCCTTGTTTGCGCCGAGCTTGTCTGCTGCGGCTGTGGTGTTGTCGGTCATGTTTCCGGACATGTTGGGTGTGGATTGGTTGGAGGTGCCGAGGCCGAGTTGTTCTTGGAGGGGACCGGTGGATTTGGGCATTTAGTTATCTTTAAAGAAGATTGGTTTGACGGGCAGTCACTGGTGGGAATGGGTATGTTTCTTATATGAACGGTAGCGGTGGTGCTTATGGGGGATGAGCGAAGAGTACGTCACGAAGGGTAAGTGACGATGGTGATGTCATGATGATATGGAAATGGTGGGAGCGCAATTGCAGAATACGGATGGGGACAAAGTCGATGATGTATCTAGTGAGTAGCTTCCGTGGACCTCGATTTTCCCTCCCGCATGCCAAAAAGTGGGGTGGAGATCTGGTGGTCGTGATCGTGATTTGCTACTTGTGGCGACTATGGCGTTATGCAGCTGTCATGTACCTCCAAGCGCGATCTACATTAAAGGTACCCGCACGGTTGACATGGACGTAACGGGTTGGGCATGTGGAATGGGATTTCATAGTTGCTTGCTGGTATCATTGCTGGAATGGTGATGGTGCCTATGGATTCTAGGCTGTAATTACATGCGCGTCACGGCTAGGTGCGTCTCTTTGCTCGTGCTCCGCCTACTTTGGGGAACGTCAGTGGGAGCTTTAACTTGGCGATGAAGTGGTTGGCGGTTTCGGCTTTCGTGAGCTTCATGCGTGCAAGGTCGGCTTGGGTTGGTGCGTTGAGCTTGCATCCGAGTTCGGCGAAGTATTGCTTGATCCTGTGTAGCGTTAGCATGGGTCAGGTCAAGTGGTTCTTATGAAACGTACTCCTTATTCTCGAGCTTCAGATCTTCTCGCAGGTCGTTCACGTCGACTTCGTAGTCGTCTACAGTGAGTGCTGCCGCCGCAATATGTGTCATGAGGTTATCGACGTGCCAGCGAGACATCTCGGGAGAACTGCACAGGTTAGCCAGCCTCATGAAACAATCACTGATATACTTACCCATCGGGGGCAAACTTCCTCCTGATAGCCATGAGTTGACCCGCAGGCGTATCCTCGCCCATCGCTTCCTCCAACTTTCCCTTCATGGGGATCTTCTTCGGCCGTGGTCCGCCTCCTCCGATCAATGCAGAGTTGAAGTTGATGCAAAGCAGTATGAATCGTAGCGCTTTCAGCTTCTGTATCTGTTTGTTCTTGGCGAGCTTTACGATGCGCTTAGCAACGTATTTGCTGGCGACGCTGACACCTTCGCCGACTGATGATTTTTGAACCCAGTCCTGGACATCCAACATGGTCATGAGATCACTTCCAATCACAACATCCGTAGGGTAAACATCGGCTGGGTATTCGGCAGCAAGATTGGGCGTCGGTCGAGGCTTGGAGCTGTCCACGGCTGCTGCGAGATCGTCCTTGTTCGGCATGACAGCCGTCGCAGAAGACATCTGCTGCAGAACGTTCTCGGCAATTGCGTCGGTTCTTGCTGCGTCCTCGGCACCAGTTCCACTCTTGATCGCGTTGAGCGTCCGGTCTTCAAGCGCCTTCCTAGACTTCTTGGATCCGAACTCTGCAGCGAGTGCAGCTCTCTTTGCCATGACAGTGTTTTGTGCCGCGTCTAACGCCTCTTGCTCTTCGCGCATTTCTTGTGCTTCGCTTCGCAGTGTACTTCGTACGACAACTCTCTTAACGGGGACGATTTGTAGCTTGCTTGTTGCAGGGTCGAATACGCCGATGTAGTCTTGTAGCTGGCTTTCGGCGCTTCCATCATGTTCTTCTTGTGCGGTGTAGTCCAGACGAGGATGATCGGATGATTGGAACAGTAATTCGATTTCCTCGCCTTGTGGTCGGATCTTGGTGCGCTTGTACGGGTTGAATGATATCTTCGATGGGATGGTGAGACCGGGTGTGACAGCTTGAGCGCGTTAGAAAACATATCCACAGGGTATGCCAAGGTCCTCCATCATTTGCGATGGGTTTTGATGCCACGCGACAGCCCCAAGAGTTGTTATCATACCTAGAAGCGGACCCAGAGTCTCTTTATTTTCTACCATCTTGACACGCACATTTCCCGTGGGCGCAACAGCCGCCTTCTTCTTTGGCCGTTCGCCATTCTGCTCCTGCCTCTTTCTCTTCTTTTCACTCATGTCGGCGTTGCGGTTCCGATATGGCAGCATGGGTCGCGTTGTGTCAAAAAGTTCGATCGCGAATTGGCAGAAACTCGGGCGGTCAGCTAGCAGGCATAGCCGAGTGACAGGGGTGCTGCGAGCTAGCATTGAAACGTCCTAGCGCATCCGCGATGACGTCCACGCGACTGACGCGTTCCAGACTTCCGCACTCCGCATCGCAAGTGCGGCCACGGCACACACACGGAGCTTCCCTCTATTGAATCCATTGTATCTAGTCAATGCAGTCGCCCTGAGACAGTAAACAATCAAACCTTGTCTCCATCTTTTGTCTTCCACCACCTGTCATTATCATCATAACCATCCATTGATTCATTAAGCACTGTACTGCTACCAAGCGCACCTATTTCAACAACTTCACCATGCCCACCGTCCTCCAGACAGCTGGCGACATGGTCGACAACCTTGGAAACAAAATCCATTACACCACGCGAAGAGTCGGTGACCAGATCGAGACCACTACCAACCAGGTCCTGCCGCCCAAGCAGCGCGAGCACATGCTTGAGAGGGCTCGTGACTATGCCCATCAGAACCCGAAAGTAGCCGTAAGTTGTTCGATGGCATCTGAAGACTTCTATCAATGACACCCTTTAGGCCTTCCTGACCACCCAAGCCGCATTGACTGGTCTCCCACTGGCCCTCTTCCTCGCCTTCGCAACAACAACTCTCCTCGTTTCCCTATCAACCTGCCTCTTCCTGGGCCTCCTCGTCTCAATCGCCATCACCTTCTTCCTGGTCGGCTTCGCGCTCCTCTTCGTCGTCCCCACCATCATCATCGCCAGCTGCTCAGCGACCTTCATCTTCATCTGGGGCTTCGTGGGCTACATCATCCTACGCAGGTTCAATGAGGGTGAGGAGCCAGCTAAGCTTGGAACACCCGTTGGCGATAAGTTGTACAAGTTAACAGGCGGTAGATCGGGATATCTACAAAGCGATCAGACATCTTCGGAAAGCGGCAATGACAGAAGGAGGCTGGATAGTGGAAATGCTACAAAGGGCACTAATGGCAGTGCTGGGCACGCACATGGTGGTGTATCGTCGCACAAGGGCGATGGCGGGCCTGTGAATAGCGTGAATGGTGACAAGGGCGCTGTTGAGTGGGAGAGGAAGTGGGCGGATGGCGTGCAGCCGAAGCCTGTGGTCTTGGAAACTGAGAACGTCTTTGAGGTCCTGAAAGCGGCAAGTAAACTCCCAGGTTCACGTTGATACCCAGCTAATTGTCGAAAACAGGAGGCTCCAGTTTCCTAGAAGCGTTCCTGGGACTCGAGTTCGGTTTGCAGGTCTTGACGTATCATTATCCCTAGAGCATATCCTCACGAAATCGCGCTGCCCTAAACATACCGGCCGAAACCCCCTGTGATCTTCAGATCCTCATGGCATGTGCTATATGCTACTTTGCTAGCAACGTCCCCGGCATCTCTTCGTAGAATATGACATCACGTGCAGCTTTGGTCTTCTAGTGTCTACTTAGGTATAAAAGCCCTGCTCTCAGTCCGCTTCTTTTCTTCACCAACTTTGCTACTTTCCTACATTCCAAAAACTGTCAGAAATACAACCCATGTCCGTCTCTGGACTTCCCAAAACACCGTCATGATTGCGTCATGATTGTTTGTCCAGAAGACCCTTCACATGCCGAGGACGAGTCTTCCATTCTCAAACTTCGCGTCATCGCCACAGAACTGCTTATTTTCTCCAAAACGCAGAAGGACTACCAGCATGAGCTGAGTGCACGCCCAGCTCGAATCTTTGCATCACAAAACAAAGCTAAAGAGGCTTTGTATGCACCGCGCTGTCCAGTCCAATGACAGGAGCGTTCAAAACCCATGTCTCTCTTCTTCTCAGTGAACGCAAATCAAAATATGTACCTCAACTTGCAAACACCGAAACGACTCCTTCTTCAGACACATGTCCTTGGCTTTGTGGCACAGATCGGACACAGTCAAGATCCGGAGACGATCCTGATATGAGAGGAGTTTTTTATGCAACAGAACTTCAGTATCCTTATGGATTTTTTGGAAGTGCATGGCAAAAATGACATTTCACCTCTCCGGCCAGAGTTTGGCGACATTCAAGAATCTGCGTGTTTGCTCCCATGTCTTTCGCCAGTGTGGGGGGAGCGAGTGCCTGTTGGATTCAACCCTTGAGACGTGATCTCAAAAACGCAAAAGCCTGACGCTGCCGATTCCTTATTAATAAAGCTGTGTAGTGAAGATAACGATATGTAGTGATGGCTGGGTCGACAAGGTAGTCTTAGAAAGACCAGCTGAGGAATCGACAGAATTGGTTGGTGTTGTACTTGGCTGCTGCCTAAATCAGCCACACAATACCTCGCCACCCGCTACACTTCATCCTCAACCTTTCTCCAACGACGCACATATTGTGAACCAAATTTCTGCAAACTAGTCATGTAAGATCGCATTTCAAGATGCCCGTGAACCCACATACAATGAGACGCATCCAAAAGGAATACCAATCCCTGCGCGATGACCCCGTAGAAGGCTGTACCGCTCGTCCAATCGACCCATCCAATCTCTTCTCATGGCAAGCCACAATCCAAGGCCCACCCGAAACACCTTACGAATCTGGCACCTTCCACCTCACCATAGAGTTCCCAGAGACGTACCCGCTCCACCCACCCACCGTGACCTTCACAACCAGAGTCTATCACCCAAACATCGATAGCGACGACGGATACATATGTGTCAATATCCTACGACAGGACTGGTGTCCTGCGTTGACGATTCCAAAGATACTACTGAGTCTGCGATCGTTTCTGGATAGTCCGGATGCGGAGGATGCGTACTATCCGAGCATAGGGAAGGAGTATATGGAGAGAAGGGATGTTTTTGATCAGCAGGCTAGGAGATTCACGGAGGAGTTCGCGAGGAGTGGAGGGTAGCTGCGAATGATGACTGGGGAGGATGGGGCGCTTGAAGAATTGGATGTGGCCAGGTCCGTGTGTGACACTGAGATCAAGAATCATTATGTCTATCTAGTCGCTGTCTCAACTGATATTCCAGGCCATCCTTTCGCTGCCGACAATGAATAAGTCCACGTCTATCCGCTCTAGCAGCCGCGAATACCCTTTACTAGAACGGATACATAGCACGTATCATCGCGGCGTCTCCGTCGGATATTTCAAACTGTGGGTACGGGAGGCCACCTTGGACACGCAAGAAGTCGGCCTGGTGCGTCTGTGGATTCACCCTGAACATCGGGTACAACATGGGATTTGTATGGTCCTGTTCCACGATGGCTGGATTTGCACCCCTAGAACTATCGTAATGCATGATAGATTCAGGATCGTATGGCGAGGCTATGTCTGGAGGCAGATTATATGTGATGAATTCGGAGCCGACGAAACCGTGTCGTATTGCGAGAACACGATCATCGCAGAGCATGTCTTCTGTGCAAGCGTGGTTCTCGGCTAAACATCTTCCCCATGCTTCGGCAAATCCCAAGACGTTTCTGTAATTGTAGTGGACGTGCTGATCTCGGTCATAGCGCTCATGCTCGTGATTTAGGCCAAAAACGTGACCCAATTCATGTGCTGCAGTGAAGTCCCTGTTGTGGTCTGTCGTGTGTCCCGAGATCATCAGATTATGTCGGCCAGGAACTCCATTAGCTGTGTGGCCAGTCGTAGCGGACCCTTCGCGACCCATGGGATCAGTCGCGACCCAATACACAACCACAGCTTCGGGAGGTATCCGTGTGTCCCATACGCCCGGAGAGGTGTAGCAGTACGGGAAGTTAGGCCCTCCAACTGGTTTCCAGCGCTCGAAATGCAGATTGTGGCCGTTCGCTGCTCGCGCCATTCCAAGCTTGCGTGCCCAAGTCTCCCATGCGTTATCGATTGCTTTATAAATATTATTTTCAGAGACCGTCTCTTGGAAGCACCAGGGAATCAAGAATCTTCGATCTGGTCGCCGGGGCCAACGAAGCCCGAGAGCGTTTCCGGTGGGGAACCTGGAGGAGTCAATAACGGACGGACTTTGAGTATTCGCATGACATACCCAGCATGGCCGCCGGTATCAAGCGGCGGTGCAATATCGACGGGCTCAGGCGAAGGAAGAGCGGTGTTGAGAAAATCTGCCGAGATCGCACATACGAGTCCAGGAAATGTAAGGAGAAGGGAAAGAGAATGCATGTTAGATGTAGAGTCGACCTTGGAAGTGGTTGCGTGCGGTTTCGAGGTGACTGCTAGAGAGTGTCGAATACAACAGTGATACTTGGAATTAATGCTGTGGCAAGCGAAAGTGGGGCAACGGATAGTGAAACACACGCTCTAATGTACACTTCAACTTCGCTTTATAGCAAATGCAGATATCAGGGGTAAGGGCTGTTGATACTGATTCATCTCTGCAAGACCTTGTTCAGCGACGTGACGACTAGGGTTGTAGTGAAACTACTTTTAAGCCTCTATATGTTAACGTCCGCCAACCCGACACTATCAATAGTGAGGATACATAAACCTGATGGCAGCAGCGTCGCCCGCAGAAATATGGTGAGCTTCCCCAGGACGACGGCCCTGTAACGGCAAAAGGATGAGCGGTATTTGGTTTTGCGCATCTGCCAGGCCTAGTTGAGCCATTGGGTACGAGTTAGGGTCTGTTGCTGTATATGGAACCCGATCATCATACACGGCCATCCCCGTTATCCCATCGTATTGCATGATGGAAGCGTAGTCGTAGACCGACTGGTAATCTGGAGCCGATGCAAGCTTTCGAAAATCCTTGCCTAAGTCCCAGTTGAATAGTTCAGCGCAACCATCCTCTTCCGTCAGTTGCTGAAAGGAGACGCCTGCGGCTTGAGCACTCTGCCAAGCTTGTGAGAATCCGTTCACGCGCTCAGGCCTGTACTGAACGTAGATATCTCGATCCGGTCGTTGATGCTCGTGCAAAAGGCCAAACACATGACCCAGCTCGTGTGCTATCTGCCACGCCGGGTCCACAAAGATTGAACCTGGTAGCCCCGGGGGCCCCTGGGTTAGATAATGTGCGCCCTTTACGTTGCCCTGGTAGCCAGGCAGAGCAGATGCCCCGAACGTTGCAGGATCATATCTTATACGCACCGCCGCGCGTGGCATACCATAAGTCCATTTGTTGTTGGTATCGTAACAATAGGGATAGCTTTGCGCACCTGGAGGTTTCCAACGTTTGAATTCCAAAGCGTGCTTAGATCCTTCAGAAGCCGTTCCCAGGACTGAGGTCCAAGTAGCCCATGCCAGATCCATGCGTTGCACAGTAATCTGTGTCTCCGCGATCTGATTCTCAAAGCACCAATAGATTGTAAACATTGCCGTATATTGATCACGAGGCCACCTCATGTTTGCTGATACAGGGTGCCTGCAAGAGTTAGCTAGTGTCGAAGTTGTTGACAAGATCGAATTAGGGATGACTGACCCAGCAAAGACGACCTCAAAAAAGGCGAAGAGAAGAAGGAGAGGCAGCATGGCTGGGCGTTGAGTTGAGTTCTTCAGTGTAGGTCCTGGGATTGGTCGGTGGTAGAGCTTCTGATGGGTTGAGTCTAGTAGTATGTATAGTCGATGCAGGTCCCTGGAAAGGAGGCGAAGGTGGAGAGGGCCAATGCTCTGAGTGCGGTGTTCTCACGGCGAAAACAACGCTGGTGTAAGGGAAAGAGATCAAGAAAAGTGTAGGTCTTTGCAATAGTTCTGCTAGCCCCGCTCTGAACGACTAGGGACACCAATTCCTAGTCAGTGCGCTTTGGACTTGTCAGACAAACGCCTTTTGAACCCTAGATGAAGGTTCTTTCACTAGCTGGATAGAGTGGAGTATGCAATCTTCGCGTTCGATACGCTAGATTATGGCTAATACGCGGTTTGCCTACGACGCATGATATAGCTATTGCTGGTTGAATAAGTCACTGGTGAAGACTGAAACTGGTGTGTATAGTGAGACACGAAATTCGAGCTCGGAGTTGAGCGTCTATCGGAGCTACAGCCACTGCAGCCTTCCAAGTGTATCCAGTGGTTTGCTTCTTAACTTACCTCATGCCAGGTCTCTGTTCGGTGCTTGTTCTGCGTTGCCGATACTTAATTGATGACGATGCTGCCCAACCCCCTGGCGCTCCGCGCTTGAAGACCACGGTGTCAGCCGGAAACAACTGATTCCAATCGCCATTCATCAGATAGCAGTAGATGTCCTGGCCAGGATTTAAGCGCTGTGTAAAGAGCAGTAAATGGTCGCTATACTTGCTCTAGCGACTAAGAGAACTTTGCCATGCTCCCCAACCCTCCGCCATAACTCCTTCCAGCTCATCTTTGGCAGCCTTGTTTTCGTAGCAGTAGGCGATTTCGGTCTTGCCGCTGTTACCGGGATGCTTCGGCCGGCGACCGCTCTCGTCGGCGCCGAACCTGGGGATGTTAATATCGTGAAGATTGAAAGGTTATGGGACTACCAACAGATCGCCGAACCAGCCCATACCTCCGTTGGGAGCGCTAGCTTTGATGTTAGGGAAGACAAAGAGATATTGAGTACTGCGACGGCGCACCAAGCAAGGAGAACGAAGAGTATCATTCACAACATCGTGGCTCCAGTGTATTGTCCCCATTCATGTACACTTTGTTCCAACAAGTGGAATTTATCGAGTGCAGTGAATTGAAATGGTTCCAGGAAATCAAGGAAAAACGGATCCAAAGGCGATAAAAAACTCGAAATATACACTTTTTCGCCCAAGCTGAGTGTAGCGGTGGGAATTCGATCCAGAGCTTGGCAGTCGTAGTAACTACGGAGTGAAAGGCTTTCATGTATGTTAACCCTTCTCGTTCCTGCTTCTCTTGTCCCAGTATCATGACTTCAACTTTCGACGACAGCATGATGAACTCGCTATTTTCAAATCCGCCGGTATAGTGTTAGAAGCGAATAAAGATATCGAGCAAGATATGCGCAACCGTCTTCGAAGATAAGAGGCGATGAGGTCGATGTGACTCCGAATGATTGATTAACAAAAAGAAAACGGCTTTTGACTCAAACTGCGGTCTGCTGTTGCTTCCTGTTGGTCATTGGAGGTGTACATTAGGGTGAAAATTCATCGGAATGGCTTTCAGATATCCCCTGGAGAAAGGAAGCCACCTGGGCAGGATGCACCTTCATTTCCACTGGTTATAGAGAACACACAGGCATGTTGAAGTTGTCTATAGATCGGTAGTTTGACAAGAGGATTGCGGTCCGCGTGAGGGATGTCATGCAGAAGTCGGAGTACAGAGGCTGGTGTCCGTGTTGGCTACGCATGAACGCTTAGCAATGATGCGTGTCGTGCTAGGCGGACCAAAGGAGACTACGGTAGCGTTGCGCGTCGCACGTGGACGGCAGCGGCAACTCACCAGCCCCGAAGCTTCTCAACCTCCACGGTGCTATTCTTTCTACGTGTTTGCTTGCATCCCAACTGTCACGAATCTCACGCTACAGTTGTCGAAGTTCTTGGGGTGCTGCGCTGCCTCAATATTGCACTGGCCTTTCTCCGCGCACGCAATCTCGCATTACATCTATGGGTTCTATACGACGTCCATGGACAAGGGTTTATTCTCGCCCGCACTTCAACGAAGAGGGCTGAGAACTTGCCTGATGATGCCAAGCATTCAAAATCGCCCAGTGTGCATGGCGCTAACTTCGTCGGTCACCTGCATGCGATCGTTCCAGGATGTGTGTGAGGGGCGCAGCTGAAGCGGACATGTCTTCACGCCACTCCATGCATCTGGTTCGTTCTTCAAGACTCGCGCTGAGATGGTCTATCCAAACAAAACCCACAGCATTAACTTCGGGCTTTCCAAACACCCGCACGTTACCACTTGCTTTCGCAGAGTTGCTTTGCGACAGCATTCTATCAAGCTGAAGCCCCACTTTCTTCGCCCCCAAGGTAGCGCAAGCGCGGCGCAATCGGATCACGACCTCCATGAGACTTCTGAATGCCAGGACATATGAGTTCCACGACGTGTTGGGTGCGATCAAGCCGAATTACGCGATCTTGTCGCATACATGGGAAGATGGGGAAGTGCTCTTTGAAGATGTCCGGGACAAGTCTAGGGCCAGCTGGAGTGCAAAGAAAGGCTACTTCAAGATCAAGAAAACATGTGAACAAGCCTTGCAAGATGGATGCGACTTCGTTTGGATAGACACATGCAACATCAACAAGGACAGCAGCACAGAGCTTTCGGAAGCGATCAACTCCATGTTTCGGTGGTACCGTGACGCCATTATCTGCTACGCATACATCTCCGATATCAAAGCTGGGGATCGGGGCTCGTTGTCCGAATGTCGCTGGCTCACTCGAGGGTGGACACTACAGGAGATGATCGCTCCAGATCGCGTGCACTTTTACGATATGAACTGGGACTACCTGGGAAGTCGTATTTCTCTCGCAGCGCAACTCTCGGAAAGTAGTGGGATTCACGCATCGGTATTACTGCGAAGACATCGTGGACAGATGGGCTTCCAAATACCGGCGGAGAAAGGTCATTTGGTCATGACGTTCACAGGTGAAATTGAAGACACCTCATATTCCAGGAAGACGATCACAGAGAGCGAATGTCAATGTTGCACAAGCGCCGAAATAGACGATGTGCGATCGATGCTCGACGGGTTCAGCGTGGCGCAAAAGATGAAGTGGGCTTCCAAACGGAAGACGACGCGAGAAGAAGACATCGCCTACTGTCTGATGGGGCTATTTGACGTGAACATGCCCCTTTTGTACGGCGAAGGGAAGAAAGCTTTCTATCGACTGCAAAAAGCTATTCTTGGCATATCATCAGATCATTCCATTTTGGCTTTCCGGTCTGATCTGTCCGAGGATCTCGTTGCCGAACAGTCTCCCTTACTAGCACCACACCCTAAATTCTTCCGCGATGAGATACTGAACATGCACATGCCGACTCGTGGTACGCACACAAGTCTATCTGGGACCACACTATCTATCGAGATGCTCATATGTCCGCTGGAGGGAAGCAGTGAATATGTGCTTCGGGATGATTACCTTGGCATCTTGGACTGCTCGATAGACGGAGATCCTTCCATGAGACCGGCTATATTGTTGTCATCTGTACATAGGAAGAAGTTGATCTTCCGTCGGGGTTTTGATGAAGTCACTCTTTTCCGGCTAGGGTCAAAGCATCCCACAGAGGCTGTTCTGATAAGCGACCGCCAGGTGAAACCCGAAGAACGTACGTTCCTTGGAAAACCATATGCTTAGAAGAAAGCAGCTAATCATTGTAGTAATGTGGGTACCCGAGAGATTACGATACGATCCACGTGACATGAAGCGAGCTCGAATCACCCTCGTCGGCGAGAAGACCACCAACCAAAAGCAGCGCCATGCGAAAGCGCCCATACGCGTCAACGTATCTCCAATCTTCCACGAACTAGGGTTTCAAGTCACGTCGTTACCGCCTCTAGTCGCCGGGCACCTCCCAGACGCCACATCTCACATCGGCAGTATCGAATTCTCCAGTACCCAGGCTGGACGGTTCTGCGTTGATTGGAGTCAGGCCTCAGTCGCACATTTCCAATGTAGCATCTCAGCAAACCTGCAACCAGGAGACTATGGGATGATACAAGAACGGACAATTCCCACCGTGAACCTAGAGTTCGAGTCTAGAGATGCTTGCATGACCACCCCGCTCGAGAAGCTGTGCGAGTCAGAAAACGTACTTCTCGGCGTTGTCGGGACGTCTCGTCTCAAGGCCTGGATTTCGATCTCCAGAGAGATCTTCATTGGAAGAAGTCGTTTTGAACTGGACATTGATGCAAAGCTCGTGACGCTGAAAAATAACAGGGAGCCAAGCGCTCCTCAGACACGGCTCGGAAACATGTTGGAAGATCAAATACCGTCACTCGCAGAGATGGGTGATGAGCCACTACGGCTACCGCATCGCCAACGAGATCGAAAGTCACCTACGAAAAGGGACAGGCAGCAGGCCAGTGTCAGGGCGTCGAATGATCATGATTGACGCCTCCCACATGACTATCGTTTTCCTGAGCGCGGTCTTCGGAGCGACACGTAGCTGCAAAATTGAAGCAAGCTTATCATACAACGAAGCCCTTACACTCTGCTCATGTGATATGTACTATTGCGTGTCGCATCATCTACATAAGCGCATCGCGACGAAAACAAAAAGTCGCATCTTCGGAGAATTCTGCTGCTCAACGGAATATGAACGTTGAACCTCCGTCTCAACATACAACTTATACACAGCCCGCCCAATCGCCGTGACCTCGCACCTCAGCCTCATCTCCCAGCTTCCTCTTTCACCACACCAACTTCCTTAACCTCAACAACCCCCTTGAGCACCTTCTCCCAAACCCTCCTCGCAACCCGGAAACTCGTACACCACTCCTCCCAATCTTCTACTACATCTCGCTCCAGCCACTCGCCTCCCCTTGCACCCACATGCTCTATGTATTCGATGTCCAGTTCTTCTTCGTCTCCTGCATCTCCATCCTTCCTACCTCCACCGTCTTTGCCGTTCTTGTCATCGCTTCGCTCCTTGAGGTCAGGGTCGATGGGGGTCCATTCCAACAAACCTGCTTCGACTAAATCGGATATGGTGCAGGGCGTGAAGAGGATTTGAACGACGTCTTCGGGGTTCAACTGCTTTACATCTGGGTCTGCTTCAGGGGCGAGCGCGTAGTACCCAATCGCGTGGCGGCCGTCTTCGTAGAGATGGGGGAGGAAGAGGATCGTCATCTCCATATCTCCCTTCCTTTTCTCCTGGAGTGTGTCTTCCACAAAAGCGGGCTGTCCGTGTTTATCCTTCTTCTCCGGTTGACCTGATGTTGTCGTCGTCGACTTGGACGCCTTGAACGATTCAGAAGGATTGGACAATAGAGCTGACAGCGTGGGTATGGCAGGAAGACGCGCATTCGGCGGTAGATTGGGCAAATGCGTAATTGCCGAGTCGAAATTTATGAACGGTAGATTCCTCTCTGCGACACGTAGGATGGCGAGGAAGACAGCCGGGTTGGTGGTGGTAGCACGGTAGATATACTCCAAGTAGTCAGGGCGACTTGTTCGCGGTTTGGGCAGCCTGGTGTAATCGATGACCGTGTCGCTGACTTCCTGCACGTAGGTACGTCCGTCTGGTTTTCGCTTGGAGTTGTCGGCGTTGGCGTCGGCGTTCTCATCCTTATCCTCATACCCATCCTCAACATCTCGTGACTCAAACACGAGAGGTGTCAGCGCGTCCTTGGGTATAGTCTTCTTCATATCCTCCGCAAAATCCGTAGTAACACACTCATACGTCTTCCTTAGCGTAATTTGATGGCGGTAATGCTCCACACCTCTCCTGTAACCCGGAGTCTCGAGTTCAGTGCTGTTCACTACGATGTCGTCTTGGTGGGAGTCGAAAGGGTATCGTTTCTCTTTCTTGGGCTTTGCGGGCTGTTTGGCAGATCGGGGCGCGGGTGGTGCTTTGGGAGCTGTAGTTTGGGGGACGGGGCGTTTGGCGGGTGCGCGTTTGCTCGGTTGTGTCATTGTCGCGGGTGTGCGCGCGGGCAGTGGTTGCTGTTGTGGCTACGGAGACGAGGGCGTCGCGGATGGAGGTTATTAGAAGAGACAGAGGCTGTAGGGACTAGTTTGAGGAAATCACCGGTCACTGTGAGGTCGAGATATATGTCCGTGCAGGGATGGCGTTTGTTATTACTACTTCACTACATTTTCGCAAGCCAAGGCGACTATACGACTACTGTTTCCATACAAGGCCTAATCTGACTCATCGTCTGTGTCTGCTCCAAGTACAAGGGATATCTTGTCATCGTCACTGTCTTCGTCGTCGAGGCCTCCTTCACCTGGCTCGGGAAGTTCAGGGACAGCCGAGGCGGTGCTAGTAGCGGCAAAATCTGACGTAGCTACTACATTCGTGGTGGGAGTAGCTTCGCTGAAGGATACAGAAGCTGTTGACGCAGGAGGTATTGGATGTGTTGTACGCTGCTCCTCTTCGCCAGTCTTTGCTCGCTTGGAAGGCGAAAGAGGTCCATCTTCACCTATCGGTCGCTTGGTATCGCTGAACGCGGTAGGTTCCGAAATGGTAGGTCGTTGCGCAAGCGTACCCTTTCGAACTGATCGTGGAGTAGAGAGGTCAGGTTTGCTGGGTGTTGGCGCGTCTTCCATAGCAAAGTCCTTACTTGCCGTATCTGATTGCCCAGCAGTCTCCAACAGATTGTCCAACTCTTGTCCAGCGAAGTGGTCGTCCGCCTGCTCGAGCACTTGCTGCTCTTCTTCTTCAACTTCTTCATCCTCAACCTCCATCTCTTCGTCTTCATCGCTGCCATCGTCCAACTCCAAATCCTTGCCACCCAGGCGGATGACCGGCATCCTTGGTCTGAGCATACCCTCGACATCCATCTCGGCAGAGAAAGACCGAGCCATGAGTGGAAGTATGCTTGCTGCAGGCTTTCCAAACTTCTTGCTTGGTGGTGGGTTCAGCACGCTAGCTACCATGGCGTCCTTGTGCTGGGTGAGAACAGCGGTACGGTCCAGACGAGCGCGCATTGAGTCAGACAGGTATTGAGCCGGAACATTTGAGAGTAGAACCGGAAGCAGATCGTGTGCAGCTTGCTGGAGTCCAGGGAATCCAGCGTTAGGGCCGCCGGCGTTCTTCGCAGCGCCGAGGAAGCTGTCAGCATTGGCAGTGGTCTGAGGCTGACTGTTGCCATTGGCCTTGGCCTGGCCAGGGGTCTGAGTCGCAGGTGTCGTGATCTCGGGTGGAAGCAGATCGTCGCAGCAAGCGCGAATGAGAGGTACGAGGGAGTCGATGGTAGTCTTATGAAGGGCGACCCCAGATCTCTTCAACAAGGCGGCAATCGCTGTGTAGCATGCTGTTCTAATCTGAGCTGTGTCCTTTTCCGCAGCAAACACCCACGCGAGCTGGTCAATGATGACTGGGTCCATTGCCAACGTGCTGGCTTGAGATCTGTGTGCTAGAGCAAGAAGCACTTCGATCGCGGCGACATGTACGTCTGGTAACAATAACCAAAGACTCTCACGCTCATCCTTGCTGACTTGAGCGTTGAGACGTACGGTGTTCTGGAAGTTCTTGCTCGCCAATGCGGGAATCGTAAGAGAAAGCATTCTCGAAAGTAGGTCAACGATCATGCCAACGTTGACATACACAGTGTTCGCGGTGGGGCATTCGATGTATTCTTTGATGACATAGAGTAGGCCTGTCAAGCGTTCGCCACCAGCAAAGATTCCCGACCAAGAAGAAAGATCTGAGCAAGGCTCCAGGTCTTGAACTTCGTCATCAAGTGTGTGACCGTTCGACAGAGGTGCTTCACGTGCTGTCGATTGCCAGTCTTCAATCACAGCGCGGAACACACGGTCCGTTGTCCGATGGGTAACGTTTGTAATGTTCTTGACAGCCTTTGTCCACTCTTCGCTCGAAGCTCCCTTTGGTGCACAGCAAGGTAATTGGACGTAGAGTTGGCGCGCCGCAGCTGCGATATCCGAGCAAGCTCCATGGTTGGTTCCAGTTCGCTGCTCTTGGCTGAGTTTATCAGATGGTGTGGGTGCGATGAGACGTCCCAGAAGCGGGTAAAGTTGCTTTAGATAAGACCGGAAGATGGTAGGGTGTCGGGGCAGCAGCTCGTTGAAGCTCTCTAGGATGATCTGTAGCAAACTAACGGGAGTGGCTTTTGCGTTCGCTATCTGTAGACAGGTCTGGACAAAAGGGGACAGCGATGGAGTAGTGATTTCGCGAATCAATGTCGGGTACTCTCTGGTCAGAAGGAAGATGCGCGTCAAGGTGATGATGCACAGCTTCTTTGACGACGGCGAATCCGGCTTGTTGAGGAATCCAAGAAGCCCACGCACCCATGGCAAACTCTTTTGCAGAGTCTCCCAACCCCCAACTTCGATCGTTGCCTTGATCAAGACTATGGCACACCATCTTCCCTGGGGAGTCCGATCCTGGAGTAGAGTGGTGAGTAGAGTCCGGTACTTATGTATAGCGACGGACGCTTCCGAGGATGTCGCTTTGGTACCTGAGGCCTGGGCCGAGGAGAGTAGGGTCTTGCAATTGGCTAATGATGCAGCTATGGCAGGCACGTGTTGGGGAAGCTGGGATGTTGGCGCAGACGATATGCGGAAACTAAGCGCTCGCAGCGTCGCCAGTTCGGAAGCAATGGGCGCCATAGTGATGGCGGTTCCCCGGGATATTGATTTGATCAGCTCGTCTCTGATCAGCGGAATGGATGTTGTCGATGGCTGGTAGAAAAAAGTTCAGGCCTCGGAGTTAGCGTCGGACCGCATGCGCTAAGGCTGCAGGGATGTGCGGGCCAAGTGGAAGAGTGGGACTTGTGCAGTCGGTCAGTGACATGTGTACAGCCATGGCCGGCGTCGTCGCATTCAGTATTGCTTGTCGAACATGATTCTACAGATATCGCGACCTTGTCCAGAGCCAAAGGCATATTCTTAGCACCATGGTGGTATGTCGAGGTTGCTCTCCTCCCTCTCCCCCGGGCGCCGACGCAACGTCATGCTCGACAACGGTAGCTTACAGGACCTACAGACCCCCCCTGAGAGCGAAAAGGCCAAGCGCTACATACAGCAATTGGACGAGGCACGATGCGCCGGACGGTGGGCCGACGTGCCTGAGCTGTGTCGCAAGGTCGAGAAGCATGCGCCGCACCGACGATGTCAGCAAACCTCTCTGTTTGGTCTTTCTGAGGGCTAACGGCGACCCAAGGCCTCACCCTCACAGCGCGATCCGACGCCCAAATAGCCGCACACAGCACCAAAAGGCCCTCGACTGCCTCCTCTACCACATCCACCACCGACCTGTCACAGATCATACCCTCGTTGCTCGCAACAATCGAAGAAGATGGCACGCAGGGTCAAGACGCCTTCCAGGCCAACGTCTGCCTCGGCTGGGCCCATTACGTGCTGGACGAGCCGGGACTGGCAGTTGCGCGGCTTCCACAGGACTTTGGGGCAGTCGCGACCCAGCTGTCGGGCGAAGCAGGCACGTTGAGCGGCTGGTCTCGGGTGTGTCTGGTCAAGGGCACATATCTTAAGGGTACGGCAATATTGTGCAACTCCACTCTGGCTCGGGAACTGACGCGATGTAGGCTCCGCGCTCGAAAAGACAGGTGCAATCGGCGAGGCAGCCACCATCTACTCGTCCATCATACCCTGGCTGTCCTCGACAACCACCCCGAACACCGAATCGGCCCAGTTTAAGATGTGGGGAGAACAGTCTCTAGTCCGTCTTTGCCAGCTGTCCGACCAGTCTATGGGCCTCAGCGAGCGAATCAACGCGTCCGAGGCTCTACGCACCTACCGCTACTGGGCAAAGTTCTGGGATGCAACTTCCAAGAACGCCGCATCAGACGTGGGCAATTCAGCACGGTATCGAAGATTAGCATGGAAGGCCTACTACGACTCGCTATCAACGATCCTCCGCTATGATCTCGCCTACGAACCCGATTCCACACCCATCATACAAGAGAAGCCAACGCCTACCGCACAGTCAGACGCACGATTACGGCAGCGGGCGGAGCTAAAACGGGTCGAGGCTGTCTACGAGAACCTGTTGATACGAGAGACACACTTTCCCAAAGCCAGCGAGACCAATCATGAAGTCGAAACGTGGGTGGATTCCGTCATGGACAACTGGCGCCTCCTCTGCGGTCCTACTTGGAGCGATGATGATCTAGGCGAGGGAGGAAAGGAGGGTGTCGCGCGAGGCGTGCTTGATGTAAGTTGTCATGTTACTGCAACACGGGTAGAATCTGACAGCTCTAGATCCTCTATCGAGCAGGCACCAAGACGTACCACTCTACCCAGATCCTGCGCCACCTTTTCGTTGTCCACGCGTCTTTAGCCGAGCCTGAATTGGCATTCAAAGCTTACGATTCTTATGTTGAGATCATCACACGGAACAAGGATCGATCGGAAAAGTCAGGCGAACTCGAGGCTGGCATTGACGACGATAGCACGGTACTGAGGACTTCCGCCGAGGCCATCAGGATGCTCTGTCGTTGGGGATCTAGACTTGACGCCGAGAAGGCTCTCGAGATTGCTCACAGTATCGAGCACTGGCTGGAGCAGGCAGATCACCTTCGCTCAACGTCTGATGCCGGCTCAATCGCTTCGACCACATCTTTAGTCGAACCCACGGCCCTAGCTGCCGCTTATTGTGCCATTGGCATCAGTCAAGCACACTGGGCACGGCTCACTTACGAAGTTGAGGCACGGGCCACGATTCAGGCAAAGGCTGTACAGTACCTAAGGAAGTCACTCTCGCCTAATCTGGGCGACGAGCACAATGTGGAAGCTCTATACGCTCTCGCTTTGGTGCTCGCGGAAACAAGGGACATCCCCGGTGCAATCAAAATCGCCAAACGCGCGCTTTCCCCAGCAACAAAGAACACGACAGTCAGTGCAGACGGTGTTCTATCGGGCGGCATAACCACTGAATATGGACGCGAACGCAAGCTGATACCCGTGTGGCATCTTCTTGCCCTGCTTCTGACGTCACGGTCTGAGTACAACGCTGCTGAGAAGGCATGCGAAGCGGCTTTCGAACAATTCGGCGATCCTGCCGTTCTCTTTGGCCGTGACTCAGGCGCATTCCGAAGTGAACACCTCAACGAGGCTGCTGGTCAAGAGCCTCTTGAATCCGGTATCGTCGATCGAATGGAACGTTTCGAAAAGAGCAACATACTGCAGATCAAGATGACGCAGCTTTCTCTTCTCGAGATCACCGATGGTGCTACCGCTGCGGTTGACGGGTGCGACGAGCTCCTTGCACTATATGGTCGACTGTTTGGTGATCCCGCGGCTGACAAAGTCAAGACTCCACCCGAACCTGCGTCGCTGGCGCCTCCAAAAACCGCCTCGGGCACACGAGGAAGTATTTTCCGTGGACGAGGGTCAGTCAGAACGACTCAGCAAGAAACTGTTGATCGAAGTAAATCTGTCGTCAGCTCCAAGACAGCTACCACACAACCAGAAGTGCCCCCTGCGATCCAAGTCACTGATGACAACGGCGCAGCTCCTACTAACGGTCATCACCGGCACCATCTGTTCCACCACCACAAGCAGGATGATGGCCAGGCAGGCAAGGACGCTGTTCCAGAGGTACCGCCGCTTCCAGAACACGTTCCAAACAGCAATCGTGCACGCAGTAACACTGCAAACTCAAAGTCACCCCGACGCACCTCCAATCCCAGCTCTCCAAGAAAGTCAATAGAAAAGGGTGACACACCACTGCGACCTGTCGCCCATAACCTAGATCATTCCTCTCCGCCTTTGGGTCACGAAGAACAGCCACCCAGACAAGACACCCGCCTACCCTCGCGTCTGCCACATGCGGATTACATTCCTGCGGACCCTCACTTTTCCAAAATCCAAGAGCGTCGTCAGAAAGTCTCGTTGCTGGTCAGCATATGGATCTTCATCTCTGGATTATATGCAAGGGCGCATATGTTTCAGGATGCCAGGGAAGCCGTTGCTGAGGCATTGAAGCTGGTCGAAACATTTGAAGCTGAAGTGTCATTGGAACACTCAACCGCCAAGGCGCTCGCTGACAAGGGGTGGGGTGGAGGTAAGAGTGTTGAGGAGTTGTGGGCGGACGTGTTTGCAGCTGTAAGTCTCTTGATAACTTCGATGTTACCTCTACTGACAATGTTACAGCGCGCAGAACAGCTCGTGGCCCAGTCGATGAAGCATGAAGCTCGCGCAGACTTTGAGCGCGCTCTACAACATTTCCCTGATCACCCTGAAGCCATTGTCGGCTTATCGAATATTCTCTTGGATATCTACAGTGAGGTCATACCGCTGGAGCCCGCCAATACCGACATCGTCTCGCCTCCATTACAGTCATCGGCCTCTTCAATTCACACAAAGGCGTCGACATCGAAGACCAAATACCTAACCTCTCACACACCGTCGGTAGAGAACCAGCTCTCGTCACCCACGCTTACCCGTCTTGCGGCCCGTGACCGCGCATTCGGGCTACTCTCCACACTCACCAAGCTTGGTGTCGGCTGGGACTATTCCGAAGCGTGGTATGCGATGGCGAGAGCCTACGAGGAGAGTGGTCAAATTGACAAGACAAAGGAAGTGCTCTGGTGGTGCGTAGAATTGGAAGATACGCATCCCGTGCGCAGCTGGAAGGTAGTTACCACAGGCGGTTTCGTACTATGATTGAGATTGCAATAATCGTACGTAGATTGGGCTGTTCCGTATACCCTAATTATGCAAGTTTGGATCTCCTTTAGGACCATTACTCCGATATAACTGAGTCATTTCAGTCGTCAAACCACATCCCCGCCCGCCAACCCCCCATAATAAACAAACCCCTCCCCCCTCCTCCTCGCACTCTTTACACCCTTAATAACACTCTTATGCACCACACTCTCCCTGACGCTCCAACCGCCTGCCCATCCCTCCAAAACATAGCCCTCACTACCCAGAAACCTTACGTGGATACTCAAGCACACCGCGGCACTGGAATCAGATGCCCAACACGCATGGTACACCATTCTCTGCAACAACCACGGCAGGTTCGTGAAACCAGGGCGGGAGCGTGGGGGCGTGGGATGGCGCGGGAAGAAGATTTTGTATGCGATACTGCGGGCCAGCGAGGTCGTGGTGGTTACGGATGTGCTGGTAAAGGCTGGGGAGGTAGGTATGTCGATTAGGATGCCCAAAGGTGGGTATTTATGTAGGGTTGGTGAGGGGCTTGTGGTGGGGAGGTAAGTTAGGATGCGGAGGATGAAGGTTGTTACTGCTTCCAATACGCGTGGATTTGTGGAGGAATTGAGGGCGGGTAGGTTGAGCTTCTTGGCTAGCGAAGAGGAGGATAGAGTGCCGAGCCGATAGTGGCGGATGTAGCGTGCGGTGAAGGGTCGGCTGTGGGCTTCTACATGGCCTAGCATCTAGGTCTAGAGATTTCGCGATAGACTGAAGGAATCGTGGAGGTTTACTAGGCCGGGGAGATTGTTTGCGTGGAGTATTATCTTCGGTGGGGCTTTCACGATGGTATCGAGGTGAGGAGAAAGGATGTAGGATGCTTCGGTGTGAATTTGATGGTTTGTCGCGAGTAGAAATACACCGGGGATTGTTGTCGTTACCAGAGCGAGGTGGTGTGGATCTGAGTGGAGGGGAATGATGTGATACCGGGTTACGGGACGGAGGTGGGAGTAGATCTGTTGCCGGATTTCTTTTGGGAGAGAGAGGAGTGGATAGGGCTTTGTAGGTGTGGAGGTAGAGGTAGTCGAAGGCGGTGAGGATGTGTGTTCTCCTGGCGAGGGGAGTGAGGGGGGTGGTTTTGTTGGGCCCATGGTTGAGTGGGGATGCGCGGACTATACGATCGTATCCTGTTGTGTCGTTACTGATGTTGTGAGGGGTTGTGTTCTGTAGTCTGGTTGGAGGTGAGTGAGTAGATCACCTCTTCCATTAGGAGTACGCATCATTCGTGGTGAGTGAGACAGTGAGAATGATCTTTCACCACTAGAAACGAGCAGAGGCATTTCCCATCCACAGTGTTGGTTCCGGGGTGAAGAAGTGGAGTCTGGTTACCACGTGTTTTCCAAACTACAGCATTGCTCTTCGAGAGCCGGGTCAAGCCGGGTGGCTAGTATTCGTGTCGCATGTATGCGTTGTAGATCTTGATAAGTAAGGAGTTGCTAAGACATTGTATACTTCTACCTTGATAATGTTTTGTAGATGTGATATGGATTGTAGCCACCCCTAGTAAGGCTAATGACTTTTGCTGTAACCCAGAAGATGGTGGCTGCGAAAGTGTAAATACAGTGAAAGTGAAAGACCCCGACTTAATGTATACGCTCCCCAGATCTGGCTTGTGTCTCCTATCGATATAGTGAAAACGGTCTGGAATGACTCGCCTGTATGTGCCTCCGGCGCCACGACCGAGTCAGTGAACCCTGAGCTCAACCCCGCGACGTCCATTCGTCGCACCCCAACACAGCAAAACATCACCCTCAAGCATGAGCGGGCCAGACGCATATGAACAGCATCGACAGCCTCGCACGTGATGACCGCGACCACGACCGCGACCAAGCCTGCAATGAATGTCGCCGACGGAAAGCGCGATGTGACAAGACGCTTCCAGAATGCGGGCCCTGCAAGAGAAACAGGAGACACTGTCTCTACGAACGACACAGCAGGACTCCATTGACTCGCAAATATCTCACCCAAGTTGAAGAGCAGCTTCGTCGATCACAGGCTCAACTCGCCCGCGCGGAACAACGCGTCCAAGCAGCCGAAGCGCGTGTACGACAGCTCGAGAACGCTCAGGGCGACGACGCGCCATCCCCACACGAAGATATCGCCGGCACAGGTGGCGCAACCGACGAACCGCCTATTGAAGTCTCGCTTGAGGGGCCGCCTTCTGGGCCAGCTGACTTTAGTTGGGATGAACAATCCCAGGAAAGCGGTCCCACCGAGACAGACGCCGCGAGCACATATACACATACTTCTCCTGGGGAAGACGAGCGCGTCGTCGATGGCATGGCTTCACTCACAGTCGATGAGAATGAGGCGGGGTATCTAGGCGTCGCGTCAGGTGCTGCCATGTTGCGACTGCTCCTTCCCGATGCGCAGCATTCCTCGCGGAAAGCGCCACCCATATCCAGCTTCAACACAACTACACCAGACCATGGGCACTGGCTTTACACCCCTTTATGGGACAGCCTTGACCTAGGAGCCGTCGACCTCGATGCCGCTATCAACGGTTACTTCGGTCTCTACCACATCTCGTATCCGCTCGTAGAGGAACACACCTTCCGTGCTCAATACGCTCAGGTCATTCCTCGCCCCAATGGTCGCAGCTGGCATGCGCTCGCTTTCATGGTCGCTGCGATAGGCCATTTTACAACGGCTACAGGCCCGGCCGACACAGACAGGAGATTGTTCATGGCTGCCAAGTCCAACCTGTCGATTGAGAGCTTGGAAGTAGGCAACATCACCCTTGTCCAAACCCTCACGCTCATGTCCAACTATCTGCAGAAACGGAACAAGCCAAACAGTGGGTACAACTATCTTGGCCTTGCCCTTCACATGGCCATCGGTTTGGGACTACACAAGGAGTTCAATCATTGGGGCATCCCCCCACTCAACATGGAGATCCGCCGGCGCGTGTGGTGGTCCATGTTTGTCTTCAACATCGGCGCAGCTGTCACATTTGGTCGCCCTCTGGCCTGGCCCAACAAGAACGTTGAAGTTCATTTGCCCTTGAACATTCCCGACAGGGCTTTGACTAACCTGTCACGCACTGCGCCGAGCGAGGCGGACCACGTCACAACGTTCAGTGCCGTCATTATGCAGTCCAAATTCCACATTTTGACAAATGACATATACACGAAGGTCATATCGATGCCCTTTCCAGCCGCTACGGAGCTGATCCGTCTCGATGATACCGTAATAGACAGATGGCAGTCATCAGTGCCCGATTGGTATCGCCGTGGAGCGACCGTACCCGCTCAATTCGCGACTAGCCATGCTATTATGTGGTGGCGGCTGAGCAACTTCAGGATCATCATGTATCGACCGTATGTCATTCGCCGTGTACTGCAAGCCAGATCGCAAGACATGGACAATACTGTACCGGCATCAGTGCAAGAAGCGTATGCCAGATGTCTTCGTGAAGCTGAGATGAGCATTGACGCCATCAATGCATTTTGGGCTAGCTCTCCGCCCATGCGGATGTCTGCATGGTACTCATTGTACTTCTTGTTCCAGGCTTCGCTCATACCCTGCGTGTGTTTGCGTAACGAACCTACTTCACCTTCCTCGGCAAGTTGGCGTGCGCAAATCAGGCGGACAATGCACACTATGCAGCTATTGTCATCAATCAATCCGAGTGCTCAGGATTGCCTGAATGTACTTCAACGTCTCTGTGGCCCGTTCCTACAATCTGAGATTCCTGGACAGGATGCACATGTGCTCGCGACTCCCGCTGGCGACCTGTTGGAACATGCTACCGAGGAGTCCCCACAGACACAGATCAACAACGTCTACAGCATGATGTGGCCTAATGCCAATGATGCTGAGGCCGATGTACTGATGCAAGGGGGACTCTGGTCTGACTTCCTTCCGGACATTGATGATCCAGGACAGCCACGACCGAGCGGACCCAATGTCTATTCGGATTCACAATTTGCATGGGGTTGAAGCACGATTTTGTCTCTACAAAGACAACACACCAAATTTATTGGTTACAACAATCTACCAATCAACATACCTCAGCTACCTCGATATGCTGCTTGTCGAACTTTTCGTCCTTTTCCACAAGATTTGCATCAGGCGACGCTCCAGGGCCATCAAAGATTTCAGCAATCTCCTCCAGGCTCCGACCCTTCGTCTCTGGGAAGAGGAAGTACGTGACCCCGAGAAAGACGACCAGCAAGCAGCAGAAGACTATGTAGTACTTCCAGCCCAGGTTCTCCATGCCGACCGGATTGACGAACGCCTGGATGACCAACGAAACATAGATGGAGAGCAATTCACAGCTGATGCCCTTCGATCGGAGACTATACGTGAAGATTTCAGTCGGATAGCTCATCAAAAGTGGCGTATATGCGATGTCGTAGTGGAAATAGAAAACGAAGAGGCACACCACCACGACATACCCTGCCGCTTTGTTGTTGTCCTCGTTGTTGATTGCCGAGCATGCTGTCCAGACAATGTACGAGATTAGCATGCCGACGCCACTCCAGAGGAAAAGCGTTCGTCGTCCCAGTCGGTCAACCAAGAGAGCCGCGCTCACAGCTGCGGCAAAGTTGAAGATCTGCAACAGACCATTGATGAGCGTCTGCATGAATGGATCCGTTATGCCGATTGAGTCCAATACCAAGGTCAGATAATAAGACACGACGCCTATGCCATTCCACTGTGCAAATCCACCGACACATACGGCGAGGAACAGCCGCTTCCGGTTGCCAGGTGTGGCAACAAGCGCACTCCATTGTACCGATTTGGCTGCACTCTCTTGGCGGATGGCGTAAACGATTTCGCTCATCTCTCGGGTAACTAACGGGCTATGTTCGTCACCACCAGAATGATATAGGGCAAGGATTTTTCGCGCTTCATCTTGTCGCTCTTTGGCTACGAGCCATCTAATTACCATGTTAGTGCTTATGAAGCTCTATACAGGGCGCAAAATCCATACCTGGGGGATTCAGGCAAGGTCCAAAAGAATGCAAGCTGCACTAGTGGATATCCAGCCTGCAAGATCGTCGGTATCCTCCAGCTCCAATTCCCCGAGTGGTTCTGAGTCCCAAACGTTGTCCACGCAGCCAAGATAGCACCGAGGTAGTACATGGTCCAGAAAGCACTTGTGTACTTGCCTCGGTGTGTCGGATAGGCCAGCTCGGCGATTAACATCGGGGAGGGTTGGACGACGAACATGCCCGCCGCGCCAACGACAGCTCGTGAGACTACGAATTGCGCCAATGTTGTTGCTGTCGCTTGTATGATCGTCGCAATGATCACACCGATGAGACCACTGAACAACACTATACGCCGGCCATAGCGATCAGAGAGCACTCCGACGAACGGTAGCACGACTACGGAGCCGGCCGACTGTGCTGCGTTGACGAGACCGAGAAGCGCTCCGGTGGGGTGGCCAAAGTATTCTTGCCATTGGGGAAGCGATTGGAGACCATTCATCAACGAGCCTGTCGAGTGTCAGCGACATTCGTTTGTATTCAAATGCGTGGCGACGCTATACTTACCATCATATCCTGCCACAGCCGAGGACAGTAGAGGTACCAATAAGATCAGGTTCAAGCGTCGCAAGTGCGGGATTTGGAACCAGTACTTGTCTGTCTGAGGCAGTACCTCCGCTATGGCATGGCCAACGATATCTGCGTCTTTCATGGTTGCAATCTCGATGACAGTGGATAGTAGAGTCGGGAGAAGTCCTCTGATCAATCAACAAGAAAGCTTGAAACATAGGTTATCATTGGATATATATACGGTCTGGCGTGACCCGGCTATGGGGTATGCCAACAGCCGGCACATGGCATTGTTACCCCAGGTTCTGAGCGTCGGTTCATGCTAGTGGAATGCGGGATGCAGCGACGATCGAGATGGTATGGGGTGATGCGCGAGTCATGTCAGGTGGACGGTCGACTGTCACCCCAACGCTAACTGCGTCATATTAGCCTAGCCCAGGGAACCTCGTTACGGAGCACAGTCAACCATCGGGTGCCTGACACACCAGACTCGTCATTGCATTCCGCCTGTCCATGCACCACTTGCATTTGCTGTGAGGACGGAACTCTATCAGCCCCTCGGCTCATGGCGCTATTCTAGTCCCGCGTGGCCACGCATTCCGATACCGAAGTGTTGCGCAGCAATGCTCCACACACTTGAACCTGCTTTCGGCGCATGGTTTTGTGGCAGTATGACAGAGACAAGGTTGCGATTTGATATTGGCACATCAACTTTCCATCATCATAACGTGGAGATATGGCATGCAGCATTTCGATTCCATCCCCGTCCACATTTATTGCACACCCTCTATGATGACCTTGAAAACACCCTCCTGCGCAGCCTTCACTAGCTCGAAAGCTTTCTCGGCATCCTCGAACTTGAATCTATTCGTGATGAGCTTCTTCACATCCACCTTACCTGAGGCCACCAGGTCTATTGCGTTGGGGTAGCAGCCAACCGAGTAGCGGATAGAGCCCTTGATGGTCAATGCGCGGATACAGGCCGTCGTGATGGGAAAAACGACGTTCTAGCGTTTTCCATCAGCAACTGAATAGCGAGATACGGTTGAAATGCAGACTTACTTCCTTGCCCATACCCGCCTGGACATAGGTGCCACCCTTCTTCGCCACGTTGATGCCGGCCTGTATACACGGTTCGGCACCTGTGCATTCCAGGACAATATCTGCACCCTCGCCCAAATTGAATTGCTCTTTGATGGCTGCAGCAATACTCTCCGAATGGGCGACGGGGTCAGCCCCTTCCTTTGCCCTCGAAGGCAAGAACACGCCATCTGCCGCATATGCTTTGGCAAAATCTAGTCTTGCCTGGGAGATGTCGACAGCAATGACTTTCTTCGCGCCCGAAGCTTTTGCAACTGCTTGCGACAGTACACCAATGGGCCCCGCGCCGAAGACGACCACCGTCTGGTTCGCGCGCAAATCAGCAACCTTGCAGATCTGGACTGCGACCGAGACCGGTTCAACCATTGCTGCTTCTTCCATGTTCATATGGTCAGGAATCTTGTAGCAGTAATCACTGGCAACAGTGTAGTACTTTGCAAGTGTTCCATCCCAAGGTGGCGTGGCCGCAAAGATGGTATCGTTGCAAAGGTTGTAAGAGCCAGATCGGCAGTAGTCGCATCGCCTGCAAGGCACACCAGGTTCAATGGCAACGCGATCTCCAACTTGGAGGTTTTTGACGGCTGAGCCAACCTCCACGACCGTTCCAGAACTCTCATGACCAAGGATGATCGGGCTGGTCAGGACAAAGTCGCCGATGCGGCCACGCTGCCAGTAGTGTACATCGCTGCCGCATATTCCTGTTTGCGCAACATGTACGCGGACTTCATGCTCGTCGCGTAGCTGAGGCACTTCGCGGTCTTCGAATGCGACTTCTTTGATTGCACGAAGGACGAAGGCCGGGTTCTGAAGAATGAATCAGTTTCAGACTAGGACAGCGCACTGCTGCAGTGATCTCACCTTCTCAGTGATGGTTACGGAAGACATGTTGTTTTCCAAATCGACTGCAGCGCCTCATTGAGTTCAAGAGCTTCATCTTGTATGCCCGTGACCAGTATACCTGGACGCAGGTCGGGTGTGACGAAGCACAAGTGCGGGGATCGTGGGGTCAAGGGCAACCGTCAACCTGCGCGGGGTGTGTCCCCAATGCGCTAAATGACACCACCCCTACTCACATGATGTAGGTATATTTGCAGAGCAGGTATACCCACTCCGATAGCCATCATCCGATAAAATCGAAATCGCCATGGCACGCCGATTTGGTTACGAACGGTTTCTCCCATCGCATCCTTTCTACTTTCCACCTTGATTCCCATCGCCCACAATGCCTCTTGCACAGCCCTCCAATCCCGACGAACATGTCACATCCCAATTCTCACTCAAAGGCAAAACCGCAGCCGTAACGGGTGGCGTCCGCGGGATCGGGCTAGCCGCCTCGAAAGCCCTCGCAGAAGCCGGCGCAAACGTCGCCATCCTGTACTCCAGCACCAAAGACGCCGACGCCATCGCCTCGTCCATCGCCTCCGCGACAGGAGTGCGAGTGCAAGCCTACAAAGCCTCCGTTGAGAACAAAGAAGAAATAACCCGCGTCATCAACACCATCGCAAAAGACTTCGGCGGTCTAGACATTGTCGTCGCAAACGCCGGAATCGCAACACACCACCCTGCCGAAGACTACACCGAAGAACAATGGCGCCACATCATGGCCGTAAACCTCGACGGTGCATTCTACACAGCGCAAGCCGCAGGAGTAATCTTCAAGCAGCAAGGTCACGGCAACCTCATCTTCACCGCTAGCGTTTCCGCTATCCTCGTCAACGTCCCGCAGAAACAGGCAGCCTACAACGCGTCGAAAGCGGGTGTCGTGCAGCTAGCTCGCTGCTTGAGTGTCGAGTGGGTGGATTTCGCGCGCGTCAATTGTATTTCTCCCGGGTTCATTGCGACGGATATGCTCGATGTGCATCCCAAGGAGTGGAGAGAGAAGTGGATGGGCATGGTCCCTGCGGGGAGGCTGTGTGATACGGGCGAGTTGAAGGGGGCGTATGTGTTTTTGGCGAGTGGGGCGAGTAGTTATATGAGTAAGTCTTCTTTCTTTGCGATATGAAAACCAGGTTGCTGACATGCTCGAATAGCCGGGGCGAATTTAGTAATTGATGGGGGGTATACACTACCGTAGCTTCGTCGTGAGAGCGAGCATAAAGAGAAGCCAAATTAAGTTTTGAGTCTGTTATTGCGCCCTGTGGATTTGATCTTTGTCTTTGGACAATCTACGCGTCCCTTGCAATCTTGGCATCTACTTCACTAACCGCACTGCCCTCTTTCATACGTCGTCATTTTCATCCTCGTCGCTCACCCCATTCTGCATTCCAAAGCTTATCGATATTGTGGGCTGCCCATTGTCACGCCCTGCAAGGCGGTCCACCAGCGGAAGTGCCAGGGTCTAAGAGTGCGGACCGTGCTTTGATCGACGACATCTGGAAGTGCGAGGGTTCGGGACGGGCCGTTAGTGACCTTGGTCTCGAGGTGTGGAAGATGGTTGATCTCGAGCCACCTGAGCTGGGTGCGAACAAGGAGAGCAATTCAGAGAGTGAACTGAAACCGCCAGCTTCTCCAGCAGCATAGCCTCCGCGGCTGCAGGCTGCCATGTTCCATGTTTCGAAATCCCAGTTTTCCGACCTGGGCTAGCAGTGTATCGACGGGTCGAAATCAGGACTATCATCTGGCCTGTCCGGGATGTATGCACTGTGCGCATTGATATGGCGGAGTCTAGCCAAAGCCCATCGTCTCGCCGCCACCCAGAGCGGGCGAGTTGCGGGCGAAGACGTCGCTGCCCTAGACGTCCTCGGGGCGCAGCTGCACATGGCGCTCGATGGCCAACCGAATTACTTCAATGCCATTCCTGCGCCGTACCTAGGCAATCTGACGCTCATCAACCAGTGCCATCGCACGCTGGCAGCTCTCACGGCAGACTCGGCCACACACGAAGCCTTGCTGGACGCCTATGTCGTCGCGCGAGGTGTCGAAGACCTGAGCATTCTGCCGCACGGCCGAGGGCTGGCTGCGTTTGACAATGTCGTCTCGTCGCTTCTCATGTACCCGCTCAATGACCTGCAGTTTGGCGGCCAGCACTGGGTCAATGGTGGTAAGCCTCAAGCCATCAGGCCATTTATGGAACAATGGGATTCTAGCGGCCGTATATGCTTTGTTTTGCCGCGCAAGAGGAATGGTAGCGTCGAGCTCGTGCTCAACGCGTTGCCGGGTGAGATGGCGCTGATGATACGCGATGTCGATTTCAGCTGCTTTGTGACCTCTTTCTGATGGATGTTCGTCCAAATGTTTGGGACAAGCCCCGGAGCTTTTCCACGGACTTTTCCCATTTGGAAAGGGTAGGGCCAGAGGAGCAGTGTGATTGTTGCGACGTCAGGCGGCCCTGTATGCAGGATTACATCTCTCCCGACACGGACGAACGTCGGTCGTGAATTTAACACAGACGCACATACCTATCCTTGTCCAATACTGAGATGTATTGCTTACACGCCACGCGACTCTGTACGCATGTACTTCTGACCCGATACTGTACCATTGCTGCTCGCTACTTCCGTTTGCGCTTCATGTAGTTTCCTGATTGTGGTGCGCCTAAATTTGTCCGTTGCTGTGCCTTGGACGTGCCTTCGCAGCATGGTAAGCATTCCACCCGCTGCATCGGTAGTCTCACCGATACCCTTGTTCTATTCAACACCAGCAGCATCAAAGTAAGCGACCAGCAGTGAGTATTAAATGCTTGAACTCGCCTCGGCAGACCAGATCAAATCCAGAAACCAATCGGCCCGTCCTTCAGCTTCTACCAACCCAGCACATATCAGTCGCCTTCACCATGAATTCAACTGTCGTCTTCATCACTGGTGCCAACCGTGGCCTAGGTCTCGGCTTGTTGCAGAAGTACCTCGCCCAGCCTGACCACACCGTCATCGCTGGCAACCGTAACCCCGCGCACCCCTCGTCAAAGGCGTTGGCCGACTTGCCCAAGGCCAAAGGCAGCAAACTCATCGTCGTGAAGCTCGATGCTTCGGTTGACCAGGATGCCTTCTCCGCCGTCAAGGAGCTGCAGGACAGCCACGATATCGATCACTTCGACATCGTCATCGCCAACGCAGGCGTCTCATACGCCTGGCCACCCGTAGCCGAGCTCAAGCTCGACGACCTTCGCGGCCACTTAGCCCCTAATGTCTTCGGCTTCCTTACCCTCTACCAGGCCACACGTGCGCTTCTGCAAAAGTCGTCGAGAGAGCCAATCTTCGTGCCAATTGGGTCTACCGCCGGAGCTATCGCGTAAGTTGTCCATCCTCATCACTTCATTTGCATTTGTCCCAAGTGAAATCTAACCTTGGTTGTGAATAGTAACCAGCCGCCCATCCCGAATGCGGCGTACGGCCCCACCAAGGCGGCAGTGAACTGGTTCACAGTCCGCATCAACAGCGAGGACGCCTGGCTCAATGCCTTCGTCATGGACCCTGGCTGGGTGCAGACAGATCTCGGCAACGCCGGCGCACATCACTTCGGCGCCCCGCAAGCCGACACGACTATTGAAGATTCGGTCAATGGCATGATCAAGGTATTCAATGAAACATCCAAGGAGAAGCATGGCGGCAAGATGATTGGCTGGGAGGGTGACGTTAGGGGCCTGTAGGTTCAGTCCAACTACAGACACAGAGAGAACAGTCGCATTCACACCTGCGTTCTGGTCGGGTTCGTTTGTACGCAACAGATACTTCTACAGCAGGAATAGTGCATAGCTCCTCGAATGAAACATGCTATACCATAGCTCAAACAGGGCACAATTTGGTAGACACACTCTGAGTTCCTGGGTATGAATGCCGTCTCTCGCTTGTCCCTTTTAGCTTCAGGATATTCGTACGTGTCAGAAGGAGGATCTGGGTGGTACTCAACGCTATTATCTTGTTCTATGCCTTGTATGCGGAAACCGTTGCGTAGGATTGACATCACAGCGTACCCGCCCCATGTATGTCTGCATCCCTTCCTCTGATTCTCCCAACTCGCGCAATCGCCATGCGCGCACGTGTTCTCTTTGTTTTGTAGCGACGATGGCTCTTGCCAGACTGGTATGGCGCTGAAGGACATCTCTTCTTCAATAGCTGTGCCGTCGTAATTGTGTGTCTAGTAGTAATTCGTGGCGAGCGTAGTAAGAGGGCGTTGCAGCTCGTTCTTTTGTAGCAGCATCGCGCAGCCTCTGGATGCTGAAATGTTAAGACGACGCGAACGATAAGCACGTAGGAACGGGATGAAGAGGGATCGTTGTCGTCAAGCAAGAGTGGCGAAGAAGTTCTAGATGGGAGAAGAGTAATCTACATGTGTTGTGTCAACTAGTATACAGTGAAGGGGGATTCGCGGTGATGACAGCTGAGATCGTGGTCCTTCAGGACGGTTGGAATGGGGTTAGCAGGTATGTTTGCGGGTGTCAACCCTGCAGCTTTGAGTGCCTTGCTCAAAATCTTAAGACCTGACTTCTTTGGTGACAAATGGCTGCGAGGCCTTTGAGGCATTTTCCTGTCTAGTTGTAGTTCTGGCATAATTGACTTCCTCTCTTGAGAGAGCTACAAACTGCATAGACGTATGATGCATAGCCGCAGCGAGTGAAATAATAAACACATCGCGAGGCTATTAAAATTAACGTACATTATGAATGCGCAATGTTTGCAGGTCTAATTTGGAGTGAGTCGGGTTTGTTCAAAGTTTACCCCATTGCCAGAGAAGACACAATGATAGAGCTGCCTGCTCATGAACGATGAATTGTGTATACGTGTGGTTGGGAGAACAGATCTTCGTGCATCTGTAAACTAACGACATCCATCACTTACGTCACACTTGGTGCTATTAGGTTTGTTGACTACTGTCCAACGCCCATGCTTGCCCGGACAGTGTCGTCGTAGATGACCTAAGTATAATCAACTTTGCTATGGAAACCAGTCTCTGCCCACCGTACTGTTGAAGAGAACGAACCAAAGCGATTCAGTACATCTGGCGGAGAGAAAGCGGTGAAATCTGAGTAAAAAATCGCTCAGTTGACGCGACCATCTCATACAACGAAAATAACGAACACTCTGTAGCCTACATCAGGATCACAACATGCAAAACAGATGATTTGTTGTCAACGTAAGCTCCAGGATGTTTGATTCTTGCCTTGAATGAGGTGTGAGAATACGTTGGCACAAGTCGAGATCATCGTGCCATCGCGGAGTGGGGAAGGTCCACGGGTCCGGCCCGTGCGGACTTAGCGCATGGTTAGCGTGCACCCTGTATCTCCTTGTCGGCCCTCCTCCTTCTCCATCCTCAACACCACACCACACATGCTTGCCAAGCGAAAACGACGAAAGCCGCGACACCATCAACATACAAGCATTCACTCTGCGGAAGCAACGTCCTCTTTCGCCTGCACAGCCACGATCGCGACTGCATGGCTTGATTGGCAAACGGCGCACAGGACCCACTCGTGATGCACGTTGCGGTCAGGCCACTAATGTAAAGCCACTCACACACAGCCACGGGGCGCAAATTGGGGCGCGTACATGGCCGTACGCAACACCCTGGCTTGGCAATCGTTTATGCAGCTGCTCATGGTCATTGTGTAGCCCGGCGACTTACGTAGTTTACCCAATCTGGCAATCTCGTGTAAACAGTCACCGCCTCCAAGCCGGCACTCGGCACGGCATCATAGGGAATTGAATGGCAGACGGTAAGACTCAAGGGTGGCCATGGCTTTCGATCACCCCATGGAGTCGCACAAGTGGTGGATCTTGACTACGCAATGCTTGTTGGCTTGGCAAATGGGTCACTGTAACTTCAATCATCGCCGTGGGGCTGCCGGTACTCGGCCGACAATCTTGTATAAAGCCCTCAGCTTCTTCCTTACACTGTGGATCTCTCACCCTCTCTCTTTGTTTCACACACTTGAACACCCTCTAGCGTCTATCAACTCTGTACATCAAATCAAATACCACCCAAACACTGTCCAACATGACCTTCTACCACACCGCTGAGGACATCCGCATCGACGACGGCCATATGTTGAGGGCTCGTCTCCAGACCGCCGAAGGCGAATGGAATGACGCCGAGATTGACCTCAACAGCTGCATCGGCAACGACAACGGTATGAACGACCTCCAGCCTCGACACGGTAACAGAACCTGTACTAATTGCGATAGGCAACTTCCACTGGGACGGCGAGGGCTTTGCCAACTCCGCCGAGAACATCGAGTTTGCACTTGAGGGAGACGGCGACGTTCCTGTCCTTCGTGCTACTCTCTTCGACGCCGACGGCAACGCTGAGACTCGCGACATCAACTTGGGCGAGCGCATCATTAACAACGACGGTAACTTTCACTACGGTACGCTATCCCTCAAAAGTCCGTAAGGCTCATCGCTAATACGTCTGCCAGAGTAAGGGAAATATCTGATAAGCCTGTTATGGATCTACGGTACCAGTATCCTGTGCTATGAGACACTTCGATGAGGATTATGAGCTATGAGTACATCGAAAAACTCCTCAATGATATGAAATAACGTACCAACTTCGACATGGCCTGTCTTCTCAGCTACCCCGTGATGGCTATGCTTCCAGCGATCAATCACTGTGGTACCTTTCTTCCATTCACCATTCAGATCTATTCACTCATAAGGTAGGCGATGCACACGCTGGGTTATTCACTGGTACTTTCTTTCCACTCCCCAACTACCTCCACACGTCCCGTGACCTTACGTCGTGTTGTTGTTGCCTTGTTAGCTTTGACTCCACTATCAAGGCCGAACAAAGTTCCGAGAACTAGTTCTAGTTCTTCGGTCACTGGACAACGAGTCGATCACACAAAATATCTGCTGCTCAGCAACTACTCGTACTCGCATCGCCAACCAAAGCTCACTATGGCCAAATCCACGTCTCTTGCATCATGGAAACTACGCAATAGGTTCCTCAACATCGTCCGCAGCGACGCCAGTCCAAATTTGGACCTCATCCCCTCATACCATACCCTAGAATTTGACTACAATGAGACCGAAAACACCGTCGCACTGCGCATGGGTAGATATGGCGACAGCGAGATTCTAGCGCATCTCAACGGCTCCGTATCGAAGCGTAGGACCGCGACTCCAAGATCTGCGAAGTAGGCACCGTGTTAGAAGTCAACAAGCCAATGAGTAGTCAGTTCAGATCTATCGCGCCGTTTGGCTGGAGCGGGTCGTTACAGCAGGGCATCACTACGCCAATGACTGCGCCGGCACACGCGCTTGCGCTGATTTACATGCACATCTTAGCTCTCAAGACAAACAAGAAAGATTCTAATCTGCCTATACCAGGGTATCAAAGTTTGTATGACGCATTAGCTTTGATTCGAAACGCGTTGGATACGGAGCAGATGTTGCCGGTTGGGCAGCGGGATATCCCCGCGGAGGCGTTAGCCGCCTATCAGAACGGAACAGTGGATGAGTATCAGCTGGTCAAAAAGGAGGATCTGGAACAAAGATGAAGCTTGAGTTATTGCGCACTGCTAATGCGTCTTTAATCATGAGTTTCATTCTGGATCTAACCACGGCATACAGGAAAGAAAAGAGACTGGTAAGATGGTATCAATTTATCTCATGAGATGGGGCGCCTTATACTCGCAGGGTGCATTGCATCCCTCAAGAATCCATGTGAACAAAGGAAAGAGACTGTTTAGATAACAAATAAAAAACGAAGTCAACGAAAGATCTATAGAGACATCCTTTTCTCGCTTATGGACTAGCCATAGCAGGTGTGTCCTTCCAGCGGAGGTCAGGCGAATCAAGGAGAGCCATCCTGTCCTCAGCCTTCATCCTATCGGCAGTGATTCTTTGCGGGTAGTTGCGCATGAACATGTTGGTGAAGTGGGTGCCGTAGTGGATACCCTCAGTAGGCTCTTGACCGGCCTGGAAGCCCTCCAGCGGCTTCATGACGGCTGAAAAGTTGGGCTCGTGGAAGTAGGCGAAGGCGAAGCGCTCGCGGGTGTTAAGGCCGACCTTGTGGGGTGTTGAGGGGAGGAAAGAGTTGGTGATGTATTGCATCATGTCGCCCTGGATTGTTGGTTAGAAAGGCTGTTTTTCGAAACGTGTGGGTTGGGGTGACTTACGGGGAACACGGTGAAGACGTCAGGGGTAGGCGGGACGTAGACCCAGCCATCCGCATCCTCATGCTTGCCGGCCGCGGTCTCCTTCCAGTTCGCGTACTCCTCGCCCTCGATCGGAGGGCGGATGAAGAGGCCGCCTACCGCATCCTGGGCGGCAATGACAAGTAGACCGTAGTCGGTGTGCGAGCCGATACCGCGGCCAGCCTTACCCTTACCGTTGACCTTATCAGTCTGGGGGAAGCGCAGAACACGCATATGGTGCCAGCCATCTTGCGTATACCTGGTCAGGGCGTTGCCGTCCTCGAGTCCAAGACCCCAGGCGATGAGTGACAGCATCTTCTCGCCGCTCTCGCCAAGGTAGTCCATGTAAGCTTGCATGACAGTCTTCATCTGGGTGAATGGCCATGGGTTGGGACCATGGCAAGGCCACTTCTGCTGGACGCGAGGATCGGACTGTGTAAGCTCTTTCGTGACGGTAAAGATCTCGCTGTAGTCGGCGATGTTGTCTGTGATCTCTTCTCCCGAAGCGATGTAGCCAGCGAAAGACTGGTCATCCAAGCAAGCTGCCTTCTGCTTGTAGTCGAGGCCGAAGAACTTCTTGCTGCACAGGAACGCCGCATCGGCGAGCTTGCGGTTGATGGGGTCCATGGAAATCTGGAGGATACCGTCTCTCTTCCAAGCGTCAATCATGCTCTTGCCAAGCGCCTTGTCTGCTGCACTGCCGCTGAGAGTCTCAGGGAGCTCGAATGTCTGAAGATTACCGACGACGGCCTTGTGACCAGGTGGCATGGTGCCCATTGGGGCGTTGTATTGGGTAGCCTTGTAGTCGGCCATGGTTGCCAGCGTCCTGACTGGGCTCGACTCGAAACGATTCGAGGCACGACAAAGGGCGCGCATCTTAGCTGGCCTACTCATTATAGTGCGAGTAGACATCCTCTTGATTATATGATGTGTGTTGCGACCGGAAGAAAAAGTTGGAATGACAGATCAGAGTAAAGAGTGGAGATTGTGTGAAGAAATTGAGGCCTTTGGGATTGATGCTTCGCAATAGCATCTTCCCCACGGGCTTATATACACATGTCGACTGGCATTGCTCTAGCCCCGGAGACCACTGTTAGGTGTGAGTGCAGCATTGAACCGAATCATCGGGCAATTGAGTTGGTCTTCGCAAAATCACTCCGGACGGTGAAACTGCATCGCAGAGTGTATGTCTGGCCCCCAGGCGACCAGAGAGTCTGGACTACGATGCGGATGATGCTCCCGGCTCCCTAGAGTCGCCTACGTCGTTCTTCCGGGTCGGATCATGATCTGTTCCTGTCCATCCTCCGCTTGTCATTCGTTGCAAGCATCAAAGAAGGTCTTTGCGCACCTTGTCTTACTGCGTTGATCGGGCCTTATTCAAGAGTTGTTGTTCTCCGATGAGGCGAAAGCCTGGACCAGGTAAGCTGGGGAGAATGCGAAGACTGTTTGAGGTGAGACTTAGTATGGCGAACAGTACGTAGCAGCGAAGATGAGGCTAGGATCTTTACATTTGACCGACGTAATCTGGGTACGACCGGGCGCGTGGGACTTGGTATTACCATGTTTAGCGAACCTTATCTTGGCGTACGCCACACAGCTAACGGCTGTGCCCAACGCTCGTTCATGGACGATCCCAACCCGAGATAGCGCATATGGCAAAGGTTGTTTTCGCGATTTTCGCATTCGTATTTCCTGCGCACTGTTTTGCCCCGAGCCTTGTACCTGACAACTTTTCCGGATTTCCAATGTTGGAAGTTGCCGACGCATTCGGAAATAGCGCACGGCTTCACCTGCACGCCGTGCTGACTGACAAGCTTCGAAGACAACCGGGGAACCCGGTGTTTCCCTGCAAATTCCCCTCTCATTTTCGAAAATTCGTAGATCCAGGGCTGAGGAAGTAGATCGGCAATACGGGCAATACCCCAATTGGTTCGCTTCCACGAAGCGAGCGTCGCGGATGTTTCGTGTTCTAGCAAGATATCAGTATTATAGATGCCCTTCTTTCTGACAGGCAAAAGTTTACCTGCAACTGCAAGATACGATGTAACACAGCCCCAGGTTACAAACTCAGGTTAAGGTGGTCGGGCCGCATTCACAGAGTGGTCGTTCGGCCACATACTCGGATGATGACAATACGGTAGGGTATTGGATACTAATCCAATGCCTGCAGCGCCACACGGCCTTGGATTGTCTAGATGCTAGAAGCCGGCTTACATAGTCATTCCGGCCAAAGATTGCAACGGCGGTTGCGATTTCCACCACTCTTCGGCAGATACATCGCCTTGAAACTGCTGAGTTACCTGCCTACCGCTTTCGGTCTGCTGGGGCATGTGCAGTTCGGCGAGACTCTAGTCTGATGTCTTGATTCACAGGTCGAGGCCCTCGGCGTCAGCTGGACTCTTGCCGATGCTTCCTACCGCGAACAAGGTATGTGGAAGGGCCTCCGTGTTCACGAATCTTGATATAGCTTAGCGAGAATCAGCCTGTCGGATCAAAATTTGGAGATGGCTTCGCAGGGGTTGCGGGTGAGAGCGCACCGGTGTCGGGTCATTTGTACACGTGGGAAGTGATGATGCGGTGGCGGCGTTAAGGAGAGAATAGAGAAAAGAAAGAACAACATCGGATGAAACAACTGAACTTCAATGCGGCTGTGCCAACGAACTTGTTCACGATGGTGTAGGAAATGAGCCGACCTGAAATTTTGACAGCACCATCCAATGTCATTGGGACCAAGGTATAAAATAAGAGCTGCGGACAGTATATTGTGACAGCTAACAAGAATGGATAATATCTACAAGAATGTATGGGTTGCCAATTGGCTGATTACTCGGAGCTGCACTCACGCTGGACACGTGCCTAGTTCTTGCCAGTCTTGGCCTTGAGCCAAGCGACGAACTGGGCGATGGTGAACTCCTCGGGGAGAACAGCGTCAGAGCCAGCACTACCAGTAGGCTTAGCTACGGGGGCAGCAGATGAGGTAGCGGAGGTGACAGGAGTCTCAATAGGAGCAGCGCTGGTAGCCGCGACAGACGAGGATGCAGCCGGGGTCTTGATAGGAGCAGCGACCGAAGAAGCAGCAGCAGTGGAAGAGACCACGGCGCTCGAAGAAGCAGCAGGAGTCTCAGCGGCAGCGACGGAAGAGCTAGCAGCCGCCTTGGAAGAAGTAGCAGCAGGGGCGGCAGAAGAGACAACCTTGGACATCGTAGTAGGAACAGGCTTCTCGGGGGCCGCACCTGCAGCTCCACCACCAATCTTGGTAGTAAGCTCTCCGTCCTCGATGTATACACCGCTGAAGAACCAATCCTCAGCACCGTCCTTGTCGGCCTGACCAGGCAGCCTCAGAACACCAAGATGCCAATCCTTACCATCGGAAGAGGTGCTAGCATCGAAGGGTCCGGCCGTCTGCTTCAACTCATCGCTGCCAGTCGAGTGCCAGAAGGCGACCGAACCAGCATCGAAGTCGATTTCGTAGGCAACGTTGTGCCATTCGTCGGCAACGAGCTCAACGTCCCACTTTGAGACGCCGCCAACATGCCATTGCAGGTTGGTGTTGGACGAGCCCGAGGCACCGTACTTGAGCTCAGTGAAATGGGACTCGAAGAAAGCGATCTGGTGCTCGTTGGTGGCCGTCGGGGCGTTCTCGGCGGCAGTCTTGATGGAGAAGTGGTAGTAGACCTTGCCCTTGTTGATGGCTGCCTTGGTCTCAGGAATGAGTTCGGTACGCAGCATGGTCTGGCCGTTCCATTTCGCGGTCTCGTCGATGGTGATCTTGACACCCTGCTTGGAAGCAGTGTCGGCGGGGTTCTTGAAGGTGGTGTCAAGATTGACGTAGTCGGTCACGGGGCCGGAGCCGTGAATGTAGTACTGGTAGGCGCCGACAGGGTTGGCGAAGGACCACTTGGCGATGTCGGCGGAGGAGGCATAGTCATTGAAGCGACCGTCCCAGATCATCTCTGAATGCGCTATTAGTAATCTTGTTCTTGACTGCTGGGGGATATATAATGGCTTACCGGCAGACGCAGCGCTGAGAAACGCGCTCATGAGAGTAGTCTTGGCAAACATCTTGAAGTTATGTGTTCAAAGGTAAAAAACAGAGACCGGCTGTATGTTGATGAAAACGAATGTATATGCTACGAAAGCAATGAATGAATGACAGTAGTGAGCGAATGAACAACACGAACAAACCAGCAGGAAGAGATGCAGCAGCCCATATAAGAACGCTGCTTGACTCGACGCATACACCTGCAAATCATTGCCCGGCATCTAGACGGCGTGAACGCATCGCATGTCAATATTTTGGAAACGCGCGCACCCATATTGAGTATCGCGCGAGCGGTACTCGTAGGAATGAACAGTTCTGACAGGGCGCCGAGGGCTTGACAGCCGTTTGGTGGTGGAAATTCCGCTGTGAAACGTTCGCGTCGGCAACACCAAGCCCGAATCGGTCTTAGCCTTACCCACCCCATCCCTTTCCTAGACTAGTGCGAGCGGCTTGGTGATGAAGGATTCATGAAACGCTCCCTGCTCATAGAAGCTTGTTTCATTGTGATACGCGAGGCCGAGATGGAGATTGGGTGACGCCGAGGCGGAGATTAGTTCATTGCTTGCTTGGAGCTGTATATTGCTGTCGAAACGCCCTCAAGTTGTGAATTCGTTCCGAAGGTTTTGAAGCTGCGACGAGAAATAAGAAAGTACGTAGTGCGGAAGACATGATCCTAAGGAATATGCCGCTCGACACAGAACAGTGATGATTGCGACAAGTGTTCCACCAATACGACAAAAAAGACCGTGCGTATTCTTCATCAAACCGCGTTGCCGTCGTCCAACAGCCCTTTCCTCTCAGATGTGGTGGAGTTCACGCTCGCTCGTGAGGACCATCATCATTACGTACGCCCTCTAGGCTGTTTCTCTGTCCTTCTAGTGCACCATTGGCGTCTTCGACGAAAGGCTCGTGTGCCTCCAGTTCAGCCGGTGGTTCATGTAACTCATTCACTGGTTTCGAGTCAAGCTCGTTTTGGGTCGCTTGAGCATCAACTTCGCTCCTCCATCGTCCGCCGGCGTACCATTTGCGCTGGCTGTGCGTGTAGTCTTGATCTTCCATTTCCGGTATGACAACATCCGGCTCCTCGTGCGCAGCAGTTTTCCGATGTCGCCGTAGACACCAGAATATCAACAAGCCCCCAATCAGAGCGGCTGCAAGCGCCACACCTACACCAATTCCTATCTTTGTACCAGTAGTGATACCACTGGAGGAGGAAGATGGTGCAGGCCCGTTCGTTGGCTTCAATGCGTTGATCGATGGTGTAGATGTGCCGGCTGGTGCGGGTACGCCGTATCTCGCGACTAGAGATTTGACGTACTCGCTCGGAAACGTGCCAACATCATCGATCTGCCAGGCCACTACGACGGGATCGGCTACAGCGAGACCTGTGGCAAGCGTCGTGATATCTGATATCACGGATGTCTCACGAACGCTTCCACTTGAATCATACGTGGTGGTATAATCGTAAACTGCTGTGACTTCTTCTCCATCATAAGCAGGTGCGGTTGTAATTGCAGCGTATGCACGGAACGGTGTCGAGAAACTAGACAGGCATAGTTCGGCGGATTCAGAGCCAAAGCTCATACCGCTACTCGTCACATATCAGCGCCAGTTCAAGAAGGCCTTAGGTGCATTTTACCTTCTACAACAACTCGCTTGCCAGAAAGTCCTATTTCCGTTCGAAGCACTGCTCTCAAACGCAGTTACTTCGGCAATGGTCTGCCCACTGGGACAGATTCCGGGACTGTATGTGGGTGTACCATATAGTTGACAACCGGTGTACGATGGATCGGGGACGACCAAGCGACCAGGGCGTACAGACCAGACGACGTCATCGGTACCGTTGTCATCGCCGCAGTTGGATGTCGGAAGGAACACCCATCTATCGATACACGATGGGTCCGGGGTGTGTATCGTCGTTAAGTCTGGCACGTTCAAATTTTTGAGAGCTGTTGATGTTCCGTAAGAGGTTACATAAACTTCGCTGTGCGACCAGGCCAACTCCCTTTTCACGATTTCGGCGGCTCCCGGGGTTGGTGAGACCACACTTTGTGCGGTAGGGACTCTAACGATACATGTCCCAACTGTAGATTGTGCACCGTCAACTGTACTGCCTATAATTGGCATATTCGCGTTCAGTCAATAGCCTCGGAGTTATGGCAATAAGCCAAGAACGATAAGTATGAGATGGCTGAAGCAAGGATGGGACAGCCTCAAGACGAAAGAAACGCCAGGAGACCGCGGGGAAGCCTGATTTTTGAGCAATTCCACCAGCAAGGCTGAAAGACGCCCCCATTTTATGCTGACATGATAAGCATTCAACCGGTCATTGCAGATGCGCGACAAGATTTGGCCAGTGATGTCTGCATTGGAATTTGGTGATTGGTTATGGCTGCGCAGCCTTGCATCGTGGCAGCACCCTCGTCAAATATAATCGGTGAGAGAAGACACTCGCGTACCCACGTTGGGATGTGTTCGCGTAAAGGGAGTAGGTATAGAATACCGTTACTTGGTTGAGGCTCATAGTCCATGCCGAGGAGCGGTGGTACCTAGGTATCGTTCTCTCTTTGCGGTTCTCCCGTTTCGTCTAGTGTGAGGCTGCCGTGCGGGTGCGCTGTCGTCGCCATCGCATCGCATCTGATGCCAGTCCGTCTATCTGCACGGAAAGGAGATAGTCTAGCTGTCAGATCTGTATCGGGAATTTGTGCAGCCAGAGAGGACGGCTAGACGCTGCGGATGCGATAGCTAGTGATTGAGAAGCGGCGGAGACGATTTTGGAAGGAATGGATGAGCAACCAATCATCGCTCGCAGCCTGTCGTCAATTTGGCAGCTTCTTCCAACCAGGCCTGGATAAAATCCATCCATGGTGGGAGCGATGATGGAGAGATGGGATCTATGAGTATGAGCCTGAAGCGATCTCCAGGTGCCTAGGTATCGCGAGGGATCGGCGCTATTTTCGGCAAGCGACATGCGGCTGATCCACACGGCCGGCCTAGGCACTTAGATCGGATTCCACTTTTCCAAGCCCACCTAGAATGCCATGCCGGCGTTTCTCCATGGTTGCGACGAAAACAACGTGTGTTATCGCATCATCGTCAATAGTGACTGCGCAAGAGGAGGATAAACGGCCACATGCAACGCCAAGAGTCGGCCTACCATGACGGCCTTGCCTACGCGCGAGAAGCGACCCCTCGAACATACCCAGAATGGCACGTCGCCCCTGCGTCGCATCGGCATGCTGGATTTGCTCGGCCACGATCCACGACCTACATTCATTATCGATACATCACCAGGTAGCCCAAAGTCCGGAAAAGGATGCCACTTGGAGTATTGGAATTCGGCCATGGCCGCCACTGACCCTGGAGGGCTACTACAACTACTAAGCCGAGATGGTGGTGCGTACTCTGCTAATGACGAAGGCTACGCCCCCTTCACAAAGTTTCGAAGCTGGTCTTTGACACACGACACAACGGATAAGCCGTTTCTTTACCATGGATACAACTGGATGAAGATCCATGTGGCTGGCCGCTGGAACGTCATAAGTGGTCTCTTGACCACCATATGCACAGGCAGTGAAGGCTCTGGTATGACCACTCTTACTCGAAAAACTTCCAAATCGAAAGTACCAAACTTCGATTGGACGGATGAGCTTCCCCCTCTGCGATTGTCACGACATGCAGCCTGGGCGCGCAGTATTGACTGGGAGTCCACTCCCCTTGGCCCAATGTCTTCCTGGTCGTCGCAGCTACGCAGTATTGCCAATCTTGTCATGCAAGACCCACGGCCGGCAGTCGTTTTCTACGGTCCAGATCTGATCATGATCTATAACGAAGCAGAGATAGAGCTCTTGGGCGGCTTCCACCCTTGCATGGGAGTAAGCGCTCGCGTCGCGCTTGCCTCAGTCTGGGGCGAGTATTTTGAACCCATCATACAAACCAACCTCGCGGGAGAGACTGTGGAAAAGACGAATACTGCGATACACATGATGCGCAACAATTTCATGGAAGAGACGTACTTCTCCTTAAAGTTTATACCCATCTTAGATGCTGGAGGTGTCACAGTCGGGCATTACGAGCCCTTGGTAGAGACGGTATGTCACAATCTTCGCATTCTTGATTCGAGCTCCGGTCCCTTGCTCCTCCATTGGAGAATCTGACGTCAGGTGCCGATGAGGATGAGGCCCATGGAAGCATGAGATCTTGCACAAGTGTGCTAATGCGACTCTTTGAAGCGATTTGGTGATGCTACCAACTTGTTCATGCACCCGCTAACGGACATGTAGACTAGACAGGTCATTGCGCAAAGACGCTCGCGCGTTCTTCTAGAGCTGAGCGAAGAGATACCCAGGGCACGCAACACGGATACTTACTGGATTCTCGCCACCGAAGTTCTATCACGCAACGATAAGGATATTCCATTCGCATTATTGTACTCGGCTGAAGCAGACGGGCATGGGTCCGAGTCGAGTAGGACGCGCTTTTCCGATACGAACCAACAACACTGCAAGCTTCGTGGCTCATTCGGCCTTCCCAAAGGGTCGCCCGCAGGTCCCGATCATTTGGATTTCCAACAAGACCATGGCTTTACGCCGTACTTCCGTCAAGCTCTTACTGCCCGGAAGCCGATAATAATTCGGTTCGATCAGGATCCTGTGGCAGCAGCATTGGTCAAGGACGTTGAGTGGCAGGGCTTTGGTGATCCTTGCCGAGCGGCAGCCATTTGCCCCCTCAACCCGACTTCTTCAAAAGACAACATCCTTGGTTTCATGGTCATTGGGCTTAACCCCCGTCGGCCATTTGACGAAGATTATCTCCAGTTTATACTGGTTGCCAGTCGCCTCCTTTCAACGTGCTTGACATCAATTCTACTCCATGAAGAAGACATTGGGCGTCGAGAGCGGACTATCGCCAACGCGGAAGCAATGAAATCGCAGCTAAAAGAACAGTTGACGCTATCTCAAGCGGAGTCTGAGCGCAACTTCTCCAAGTTCAAACGCTTCGCAGAGCGTGCCGATGTTGGCATCTTTCTCATAGGAATGGATGGGGTCTACTCGTATAGGAACGAAGCTTGGTTCGAGATGCTTGGTCCAGTAGATCCCGCGGTCGATCTCGCCGATGCATGGAGTATGCTTATTGACGACGACTTCGTTGAAATAGGGCAAGCAAAGTTCAAGGAACTTGTCGAGACCAAACAGCATCAGTAAGTGATATGTCTGTCATGACATATGACGAAGCTTACGGTGGCCAGATCTTTTGAGTTGCGTCTCAAGAAAAGGTGGAATGCGCCTACCCAGCATATGGATGATACATTCCCCGAACAGGAGCCAATGTGGGTCATCACGTCCATCTTTCCTGAGCTCAACGAGGAAGGAGAAGTGATAGAGATAATCGGTTGCTGCACCGACATCAGGTACGTCATCTGCGTCATCTCGCAGTGCCTAACTAAGGGCTTTGAACAGTCAGCAAAAATGGGGGGAGAAGCTTCAAGCGACTCAGGCGACAAGAGCCCGGGAGTCTAAGCGCAGTCTGGAGAACTTCATCGACACGACGTCACACGAGATGCGAAATCCGCTGTCCGCGATCGTTCAGTGTGCAGATAGTATCATCTCGGCTCATAAAAGCTTCGGCAAGTCGACAGATTATCAGAAAGTCTACCAAACCATACTGGAGACTACCATTGACGCTGCCGAAACCATCGTTCAATGCTCGAAGCACATGAAGACTATTGTCGACGACGTGCTTACGATGTCTAAACTGGACTCAGGTCTGTTTGTAATGACGCCAGTCGATGTGAAATTCGACTCAATCGCGAGAGATGCGGTGAAAATGTTTGAAGGCGAAGCCAGGGCAGCTGGCGTAGACTTGCGGTTCCAGCTCGAAGAGTCATGCAAAAAGATCGCAGTCGACCTCGTTTCGCTAGATCCAACAAGGGTGCTACAGATACTCATTGTAAGTACATGAGACACATCTAAGTAGTTTAGCTGACAAGTAAGAACCTCATCACCAATGCGATCAAGTTTACCCGACTCGAAGAGATACGCGAGATTCGGGTGAGCCTTGGGGTCTCTCTCAAGCAGCCGACCCACAGTTTCAGCGTGCCATTCTCACGTAGTTCGGAAACATCAGAAGCAGCATCTCTACAATCGGATTGGGAGAAGGGCGAGATAGTAAGCTGCGGTTGAAAGCGATGTCTCGGGTTTTTCACTGACTCAAAAAGCTCTACATCATCTTCTCAGTGCAGGACACAGGGCGCGGCTTAAGCGATGAAGAACATCAGCTTCTTTTCGCTCGCTTTTCACAAGCGTCTCCGCGTACACATATTGACTATGGTGATTATGGACCTCGAAGGCAAACGAAACACTTGCTGACGCATCTCAGGCGGCTCTGGTCTAGGTCTCTTCATCTCGCGCAAACTTACTGAGATGCATGGCGGCGCTATCGGCTTCGCATCTAAGGCGGGTGTTGGAAGCACGTTCTCCTTCTACGTGAAGAGTCGTAAGAGCGCTCTTCGCCCCAATTTTAACCGAACGGAAAGCGATGCGGCCGTCAGCCTGAGCATACGTGCGCAAAAGACGCTGCTTTCCAGTCGATCGCGCAACGAATCGGACGAACCACTCCAAGTCTCCACTCCTACGAACGGCATACCCAACAAAGACCTCCACGTCCTCATCGTCGAAGACAATCTTGTAAACCAGCGCGTCCTGGCTAAGCAGCTACGGAACACGGGTATGCAGGTCGCTGTCGCGAATCATGGTGGAGAAGCTCTCGACTATCTGCGCACAACGAAGTACTGCATTTCCGATGGCTCTGGAAAGCCGCTTGCACTCATTTTGATGGACTGGGAGATGCCTGTTATGGACGGCTTGACATGCGTCAGGAATATCAGAGAGCTACAGAAAGAAGGCGTTGTCAGAGCGCATGTGCCGGTCATCGCGGTGACTGCCAATGTGAGGAGCGAGCAAGTAGAAGTGGCGTTGAAGGCGGGAATGGACGATGTGATAAGTAAACCATTTAGGATACCGGAGCTCTGTGCTTGTATACAAAAGACGTTGAGGAATACGGCTAGGTCGTAGTCGTAGTGATTTGGAATAGAAATTATTACTCCCGGTCATTGTCTAAAGTAGAAGGATGATGAAGCCAATGAGCTTTTCAAATCGCGACGCCACCGTATTTTCGTCTCAACTCCAAAGGGACGGCATGCCTGTCTTTTAGTTTTGCAAGACGTGAAAGGATTGATAAGTCGACACTCGAGACCTCGGAAAGGCTGTCCGACGGAAACGGCAAACATCGCGTGCGAGCCATTCCGCAATGCGCACTCCGCACAACCACTCCGCAAAAGTACTCCGGGCCTGTGCATTCACATACTCAGCGCATCATCAAGAGTCTCACCATCAATCACGAATACACGTGCACCATCGCGAACATTCCAGCTCACGCAGCCAAGCTTCGTTGAGCCGCACGCCCTAGGGTGCGCCTGAACTAACCACCAATCCTTCTCTTTCTTCCAGGCACGACGAAACATGCAATTTTGCGCAAATAGCGACTATGACACACGAAATGGCCTTTAGAGGTAACTCGTGTGTCAAAGTCAAGAACGTGATGGTTGTCGCGGTGGGACCTTGCGGTATAAAAAGTCTGTTGAGGCTGAGCCGACGGAAACCGACGACGCCTCTCACCCCGTTCTCCTGAGAGCCTCGCGGGAGCTAAGCGGTTAACGGAGATCATGCCATGTGCATTAGCTATTCCTGGGTTGATTCTGGTTTAAAGAGGTTTAGTCAGGGCACATGCGAAGAATACTGTCATGACGTCTTACGGTGTGTATTGTGGCTTCTAGACACTCGGTGGTAACCAGCGCGAGGCGATGCTACCTTGCTAGACCCACATGTGCGACCTTTGCGAAAAATCAGTCACGGCGCACGTGGAGTGTGTGTCCAAGATCTCACGATCGTTTGGCTGGTGGTGGAAAAACGAGGAAAATCTCTTCATGGTGCCATGGGGTATATAAGGGATGGGGAGGTGGGTTCGTTGGAGAAGCATCAGCATCAAGTCATCATCAAGTCTACTACTACACTTCAATCTCCAACTTCAAGACCACCAAACATTCCATACATCTCCAGAGTCATCTGAACCAAACGCCCAACCACCAAAATGAACAACTTCGACTGCCACCCGCGCGTTCTATCCCTCTCCTCCACCTCAACCCCATCTTCTTCCATCCCCACAACACCGTTCGCGCAATCTCGCCGCCAATCCCACGAGTCAGCACACGACGCCCACCACTTCGTCAACCAAGAGGAGAAGACACAGCACAAGCTGAACCTCAGCATCAAGAAGATGTGGGAAGGCGTCAAGAGGCATGCTGTTGAGCACCACAAGAGTGTCAATGCGGCGTACATGGCTAGCTACGGATGCGGTACTGCGGCTGCAGCAAACACTACTGGCGGCAAGGCGTTGTAAATGGAGTGTCGACGACGACAGTATACAGAGATATGGATGGGGACTGAGTAAGAGGAAGAGGAGGACATGAACGATGATATGACGACTAAAAGTGGATTTTCTGGTGCATTATACCCCGACGAACGATTTGTGGCGCCGAGGAGGAGCTGGGACAGTGGCTTGGATACTGTTGTAATATCTAATGTATACGTGAGAGACGTTCCTGAATACATCTTCCGTCTATACCACTGCCTAGTTGATGATCGAAGCGGTTGAAACAACCTGTACATTGTACTGATCATTTCCCAGCGCCCGGGCACTTCCAACATATGATAAAAGGAACAGGATATGGAAGCATATCAGTAGTCGTCGTCTGACTCTTCCTCGATGTCAACCTCATCCGCTTCCACATCACTTTCTTTCTCTTCAGTTGCATCTTCGTCCTCGTCCATAACAACACCCAATTCTCTTCGCCCCGCAGCGAATAGTGCCTTATCTTCCTCTTTCAGCTCTTTCGCAGTTCTACGCATCGTCGGATTAAGGACATCGATAACGAATTTTTCGAGTGTTCCACCGAATGACTCATGTTGAAAAATGAGTCTGGGTACCAGCTCTTCCAGGCATACGCGTAGATGCGCATCCTCAAGGTTTATGCGCCGTAGTTCATTTGGAGAATACCGAGGGTATGGTTGCTTTGTGTAATTAGGCTTGTCGAAGTGTTCTATGCGATCGATGTCGCAGCATGTGTGTCGTATCTCCAAGTATGAGAATACGAAGAGGCGGATGTAAGCATGGATAAGTCGAGGGAGGCCGAGTGTGCTTGCCACTCTATCAGTCCACTGGGTCAGATCGAGGAGTATCCTCTTGATGACACCACATCGTGACTCGTCGTCGTCGTTGTCTGCATACAACCTGACACTTTCCAAATCTCTTGCTAGAGTTGTGTTCTTGAATCGTTCGGAGATGAGAGGAAATTGCGGACACCACCGACTTTCCGCGAATGTATGCTTCCAAAAACATGAGAGAAAGTCGCACCCAAAATTGCTACATCCACATTCGCATTGGTCAAGTATCTCCCCTTTTACAAGAAACTCATAGTCTTCGTACGTCCAGGCGTCCTTTATGACATCGCCATCTGCGAAACTGGCTCCAATCCGCAGATGTTCAGCAGATTGCCAAGCCAAACAATGTGCAGCGGTGGTCTGCGTTCCTGGCCACGTCTCTCTCAGATCCGCACCTCTTGAGAGAAACCATCGGACTGCCATATCACGCTCACTAAAACACCCTGGATCAGTACCATCCATTGATTGCGTGGCCAAATACACCAACGGCGAGCAGGCTGTCTCCTTGCTGCACTTGAAGTTCTCTTGACTAATATCACAGATGCCGGCCATTTCAAAAGTTTGGAGTACCTTGAGTTTGTCGAGCTTCCACATTTGTGGCATGTGATAAAGGCTTTTCCGCTGTGGCCAATAACGTTTGGGCACGTCAACTCCTTCGCTTACTATTGCAGTGAGCGTACAACCCATATGTGCGTCTGGTAAGCCTGTACGAGCGCGATCACAACAATGTTGAACGTCATGCTTTTCCATCAGTAGCTTGACCTCGTGCCTTTGCTTGATGATAGGACTTGACACGAGCTGGACAACGTCCATAGTGAGGGTTTCTGACCCAAAACAACCGTGAGAAAGCGCGTCCTCGAAGTGGCCAATGAAATTGAGCAGTGGTTCATCGCACGTCTCCCTCTGTGACAACCAAAATTCCAACATGTCCAGTCGATTTGTAGCAGCTGAGAAGCTGAGTAAAGTTTGGGTGAGGCGCCGCGTGTAAGAGCTACAGTCCTTCAGATATCCAACTAAGTTGGCATTGAGCAGGACTCTGCAACCATCCATCCAACCAGTAAGAGTAGACATGATCAGGGCGTCGACAAGCGTGTCCGCATCTAGAGTGTATAAGTGTCTGGGTTGATGTAAGAACTCCTGGAGCTGATGGTCCGATTTCATCAAAATCGCTTCTAGTAGCTCGCTGGCATCTAGTAAGGGGCTGATGAAACTTTCGTAGCGAATCTCGGCGAAGACTGCTAACCACGCTTGGGCTCCGGTCGTTGCAAATCTGAAGGTAGTCCGACTTATCTGCAGCTCTTGTTCGAGTAGTAATCCTAAGAGACCCACCTGGATATCCATGTTCTGATAAGGGGGGTAACATATCAAAAGAGTGTCGATGCATGTACTGTCCACGCTTAGCGTTGTTACAATTCGAGGTGATACGATAGCACCACAAATGAAGACTAGACTCATAGAGAACAAAGGTCAACGAATACTCACAATCCATAGTCGTCTGTCTCGAAAGCTTCACTTGGCATTAGCCGAAGTAGAGTTTTGAACAGATAAGCAAGGTTCTCAAAGGCGTCGGCATAGCTTTCGTCGGGGTCCAGAAAGCTAATGCTGTCACAAACTTGCTATGCTGATGGTCAGCTTTCGTTGCGTACCGATAGGGGTTGTTTACGTGCATGTAGAAGCGTCATTCCATTTGCTAGTCGATCGTGTGGTGACGCTTGTTTCAGCTGAAATATCCTGGCCAATTTCTCGACCTCGACCCGAAAAGTGTCCATTGGCATGTTCATACTAGACTTGACAAGTGTTCCAACAAACTCGAATGCAGGAGACCAACGAACAATGCGATGACACTCCAGATTCTGCTTGAGCGATAACCCAGCGCCATAAGATAGTTGAAACGACAGCAAGACTTTCTTCCTGAGAAGAAGACTATACAGTGTAGCTTGAAGTTGCAGATCTTTCATCACGCTCTGAAATGCAGACTGAGGACACCCTGCGTCGTGCATAGACGTTCGTGTACATGTGAGAGCAAACAGTCCTGAGCGATAACGAAGCGATGAGATTTGCGGTCGGCATGTACACGAGAGTTTTGCGTATCGTTGTTTCAGCCTTCGGTCTTTTCGGTGAAGCGATCTCAGACTTATCATATCGGTTTCCAATGTAGAGTTCGTCATGAGCGATATTTCGTCGAGCTTTGCCTGTAAACTGTGTAAACCGATATGAAGACTTTGAAAACTGTGTGACGTGGTAGAAAATCCTGATTCGAGCATGTGTGATTGTCGAGCGAGCTGAAGACTTGTCGCATCAAATACATCGCGCTGTAGCTGTAGACTCGAGAAGTGATGTATGCTTTGATCCATGGATAGCTGGGTGTAGTGCAACCAAGCATTCTCAGAAGCCAACCGCTGTTGGTCGATGACGAGGGCGAGTAGCGCAGTCTGTAGACTTTGCTGTATGGTGTTGAGAACATCTTTCCAGTATTTGATCTCCGCCTCTTTGAACGGGAAAGCCAATGGCTTCGTCAACTTCTTTAAGCTCCACTTGATCCCGCCGTTCGCTGCTTGGTTGTCTGGTTTGAGCTTCTTTCTGATAGTCGCGATGGCGTTCGCACACGACACGATGCCCGTGCGTGTTGCTGACACAGACTGAGATGGGTCCACTTTCCCGATGACGGATTCAAGTCGTTCAAGAAGATTCGCAAGTTCGTCGGTCTCCGCTGCAATTTGTTCAGCCTTGTCTTTCGCTTCCTTGACGCCACTGAGGTACCATTCGAGGCCTTTGCAAACCTGGATGGCGAGAGAAACGACACCAACGGCACTGCCGGTGATGGAAAATGGGTCTGCCATAGCAGGTCTCGGTCTGTTGACTGTGGTTTAGAGTGAGGAGGGAGAGAGAAAGGGAGGCGCACGAGAAGAGCGGGGCAGATGAGAAGGCTGAGGCTGAGGCGCAGCGCATGCATGCCATGCTGTCGATGGGCAACCACTCAGAATGATCTCACGTTCACCGGTGCAGTACACCCATGCAGCCACCTTGTCATATAGTGTGTCTATCTCACGGCGACGTACTGCATGGACTGATATTGACCAATGATAATAATATGCGTATGTATTCCTGTATGCCCTATGCGTCTATGTCAACAAGAAAGAAAAGAGGCTCAATGCTGCGCAGCTAGAGATCTATGCTCCTTATTCAGACGCGGTGAATCCTCATCGTCGTCATCTGAGTCGAGACCTTCCAGCTCGAACTCCTCAGCATCTCTCACTCTACGATCGACCCTAGTGTATCCATTGACGTGCCCGTTCGCGTGACCGTTCGTGAGGGGCGCTTCGGCATCGGCTTTGTCGTCTTGTTCCCAAGTGTACACAGCGTAGAGGTGGATGAGCATGTTGACAACTAGACATGGGTTAGTTTGAGAAAGTGGCGAGGACTGTGGGGAGACTTACAAAGGAATAGTAAGAAGGCGATGCTATAGAGGATCAGCACGTAAGACACGTGCGTGACGTTCGCATCAGATAGCAGCTTCATCTGCTCTTCGGTGGCGCCCATGAACATGAAGCCTCCAGCCATCAGCAGGAACGGTGTCAGGTATTGGAAGCTGTTCGGGTCCGAGCCATCGGTCGCAACAGAAGCGCGGTCCTTGAGTACGAACGAGATCTCGATGATGCGTGCGGCACCTGCGGCCATGAGGGTGTAGCCGAAAATGGTGTGGATCATGGTCGAAATTGGCAGATGTTGCGGGTGCGCAGACATGGCCCATCCGGTCATCAAGATGATGATACCAGGGATAAGGTTACGCTTCGGTTGTCCATTGCGCTTTCGGCTCAGCCAGACACCGACCAAGCCCGCAGCCCACCATACGATGCCCATAGATGTGTGCTGAAGGTCGTTGTGTACCCATGGTCCTCCCCAGCGGTGTTCGGTGAAGGTGTTGACGCAGCCCCAGGCGGCGATCACGAGCGAGTCGAAGAACTCCTGGCTCCTTCCGGTCCTCCGCAGCCACATCTGCCCTACTAGGAGTAGGATAAGGAGGATGATGCCGTATGCGATGAAGGCGCTGCCCATGATGAAATGCGCCAGACATTGTCCGGTATGGTCCGCTCTGCAGAAGCCGAGTGCGGTAATCCCTCCAAAGAGGAATTGCACCCATGTCACCACTGGCATGGCCTTTCCAACAACACCATGCGCCTTCACTACCACGCGCCGTATCTTCCCATTGATGCCCTTCTCCAGGTGTAACTTCAGGTAGATGCCCATGGCGACCTGGGACACTAACATGAGCATGATAACAGGGACGAACTGGGAGTGGATGTTGTCGGTGAACTGCCTGCCCTTGTGTCTATGGCCGAGAAAGTATCCGATGATTGCGAGGACGGTTCCGAGGGATTGTACCGGGACGTGCCATTTGGATCGTATTATCTAACGTTGCTGTCAGCCCATGCTCCTCAGTCTCAATGTGAGGTAACCTACTCCTAACACCATACCAGTCGGGAAGATGATGCCCCATGCCACCGTTTGGATCAAGATGTGCGTCCATAATATCGAGTCCTACATCAACCATCAGTCATTCTCTCTGAACCGGGCTAGTCGAGGTGTCAACCCACTATTGGGTCAGGTGATATGGCATCACCGTCTGGGATCGCATCCATATCGTGGTCGTGAGCTGTGACTGCTGCGGTGTAAAGAAACGCCGCAAGGGCCGTTCTCGTAGTGACCCCCATTCCGCCCTGGGGTTTTCTGAATAAGATTCGGGTCGCTGCAGCTGGCGCCACGAGCAGGTGATTATCGTGGAGTCTGCCGCGTAAGGTGTTTCAGGATAGCATCAGGCGCGTGCTAAGGTGGGACCGAATGGGGAGGCGAGTGTGGTTGTTGTTTCCCTTGCAGGCGTCGTCGCAATCTCGTGCTTACGTGAACAGAAGGCGCCACCGCCATTGGCTTCCGCCACACTCCGACCGGGCGATCAACACCATCATCTCCGACACCATCACTGGCCTGCAGCTTCAGCTTCGCCATTCACTCCATGACTTTCGAGAAGGGCGTCACTGAAATCGCGGACTCGGATGATGATCCAATGACGTCGTCACCTTGTGTTGTTCCGGATGAAGCGGGCGACAAGCATTGCGCAGTGTCCAATGTTCCGTACCAAGAGCGACAAGACGCGCTGCACGTGGCAGATGGCCTTCAACAAGCATTGCCCGAACGCGATGCCAGCACGTCTGTAATCTTGGGCGCCGATCTCATTGATGCTCCAGTTGACGTCCGCGCGTTGAGAATTGATCAGACTAACATGATGCTTCATGAGACGACTGCAGCGCAAAGAGGAGAAGGAGCGGCTGTCGAAGGTGGCAGCCACGGCCTGAGACTCCACACACAAAAGCATCCACAACAGCCAGAATCGACGGCTAGAGACACGTCAGAGGGGCCTCACGTGATGGTCGTTTCAACTGAAGACGGGGGTTCAGTTGCCAAGGAGGTTGAATCTGACCCCACAGCCGGTGGTGACGAACAGCAACCACCCGTAAGCCATGCCAATCCATATCCTGCCGAACAGGAAGTACCTGAGGCTATTCAACTCACGATGGCGGATGCGCCGTTGAACGTACCAGGTGCTACTGCACTCGCTCCATCGGAGTTCAGCGTCGACTCCGAATTCTCAAACGGAGCAACATGTCAATCGCAAAGTACTGTCACACGCGACAGTCTGCCCCAAGAGTCGAAAGATGACCCGAGTCCAGCTGTACGGCATCATCTGATAGATGGACATATGAGCGAGAACGTAGTCTGTCCTAGACCAATGCTATGTAAGTTCACGCGCTCACATGCGATAGGATCATTCTCTGCCGGACTCAACAGCAGCCAGCATGCAGTCAAATACGACAAGTATTACGATAGGCTCGCCAGGCGACGCAGGTCCCGCCACGACCATGCCGGACGACTACACCAGCTCCACGCGCCACAGGGCTCAAGACCAAGCAGATAGGCCTCCTGACGCGCGAATGAATACCAACACTAGCGAAGCTGCAACGATCGAAAACGGAACTAGCTCGGAGATCGGTCAGGAACAAACTTCCCGAAGCCGAACCGCGGACCAACAGCCATCCGTAGAAGAAGTGGCATCATCGAAAGAGAGCGCAAACTCAAGTTTTGGTGCTAGTTCACCAATCGCTCAACCATCTACCCATGCCCAACCACACGCTGACGCCCAACGCTTGTCATCGCCCATCCCAATGCCTCCGTCGAGAACACCACAGGAAATCACCCTTGACAATCTGAGAGCCCAAAAAGCTGCACTCTTAGCCTCTCTCGGTACCCTTCCAGCGATCCAAGTGCTGATGGAGGAGAACGCCCTTTCAGATGCCGAATCAGGCGATGCCAATGATGAACCTACTGAGACCGATATCATGGCGGCTGCAAACAAGATCGTGAAAGAGCACATCAAGTTGTTACACGAATACAACGAGCTGAAAGATGTGGGTCAGGGCTTGATGGGCCTTATTGCGGATCAGCGGGGCGTACGGATAGTCGAAGTTCAAGAGGAGTTTGGCATCGATGCGCAGGACTGATCGCAGGTTTACCAGTGTACTGTGAACGCCAACGGGAGTGAGGAAGCGATAGACGACGGCGTGAACTAGGTGTGAGAGGCGCAGAATGAACACGGCATCTGAGTGTCAAATAAACCTTATACTATATGTACTTCCTCTTTTGCTCTATATGCAATCTGCCGTTCTCAGGCTACACACCACCGTCCCTTGCTTAGTTCGACTGCCCGCTGATCCGTCACGCCAGGCTCGAGGCTCCAGCTCGCCGACTTTGCCAATACCAGCTGATGCCTGTCTCCATCAACAATCTTGGTGGCGATCCTTGGCCTTGACACATCTTCTGACAGACCCCAAGTACAAGTGGACGCGACGAGACCAGTTGCGCAATACGAGCGCATCCTCGGTTCATCCAAGATGCGGCTCATCCTCCAGATCTGGAGCGGGCCTCTCGAAGCCCGCTCTCTCTGCGGGTAGCGAGAAACTCCGCGCACGGACTGCGAGCCGTGTCGCAGGGACGCGTTTGGCCAGATTGCCGGAAACCGGAGAAGCACCGATTGGAAAGGGAGAATTCCAGAAGATTGGGTCTTGAGAGACAACGCCACATACAATGTAGTTTTTCTTTTGCGACCTGCAGCACGCAGATATCTTCTTGCAAGACTTGGGTTGCAGACTATGGTCAGCTGAGCCAAGATCCTCGTACGATGTTCCATGACTCTGCACATTGCCATCCCGGTCAATGTCGGCCACCAGCACCTCAGCATCATCTTCGACTGGATTGACTGCAACCATCGTCTTGTATAATTGCGGGGCTTCCTCGGTCGTATTCGCTCATGTGGTCAGGGGCAGCGGCGGAAGCTACGAGTGTACCCCGAAGCCACCAGCAGAGATGACCCCATACTTCGATAGGGTCTCATGCGGGTATCAGCATTTGACGCGTACCAACTTCGTCTCAATCATCGGTGCACATCAAATGCAGACTTTGGGCCGTGACGCCCAGCTTTACGCAACAATTGCGGGGAGGTGGGAGTGTAGAAGCTCTGTGTATCAGCCCAGGGGTCAACTGACGAAGTGGCGGTGCAGATTCTGCGTCTTTGGTGTGGAGTCGGATGTCGTGCATTCATGCATTCGCGTCGACGAGTTCCATGAGCGTTGAAGATCCGCGGCCCCACGCAGGAAGGCAACCTTGGGAAAATCTTGAGTATCCCAGTCCTCGGAGGTATTATCGCGACATCTATGTTCATCATTACTTACATGTCATGAAATCGGCGACTGTCGTTCAGCACGCGAGGAGAATAGTAATCATCTTCAACAAGCACAAAATCTGGTATTTCCATTACGTTCCACGATATACGTCAGCCGTGTCCAATTTAAGGTTTAAGATGACACTTACTTTCGGGTAGGAGACACACATCTAACTTACAAGTGGCACTCTGAACGTCGGAGGCTAGAGAGGTTAGTGTCCCGCTGGTTGATACCAGGCTAGGCAGCTGGTCCACTCCTCAATGCACGTCTACTCGCAAACGCAAGCGAGGGTCCTTCGGAACACTTGGGATTACTAGCGAGTAGCATCTACACGTGGTGATTGGCAGCTAGAGCATGGCAGGACAACCCAAGCCGCTTGCTATGTTGACAGCTCCACGGTGCATGCCGTCCCGTCCACTAATGCCATCCCATTGCTAGTCAGTTACCCATGATGAACTTATCGGCAGTTTGCAACGTGCTTTCTGGAGCGGGCGTGCCTCCTTTTCGGGATCAAGAGCGATATATGGTCGTTTTGAAGACCCTGAGCTCTCCTGCTCTAGGTTCTTTCTGAACGGACTTTCCCTTCCCCAACTTCGGCGTTACTTACACCACACAATGTCGACTACCGTCCAGGACTTCCAGCTTGCGGCTCTGGCCGCCGGCTTCACGATTGGGTTCGGGTTCTTAACAGTATGGGAGGCTGTCAAGCAGACACGGCGGAACCACAGCCCACTACGGTCGGCCTACATCTACATGATATGGGGTGAGATTCTGGTCAATGTCATCATCGGTATCATTGGATGGCTGTTCTTGAACGATAAGCTTGGGCCGACGTTAGTTTCCTGCCCCTACTACACGATATGAGGCCTCATACTAACAAGAATTGCAGTGTTCCTGTCCTATTCTTCATCCTGTTCTTCTGGGTGTGGGAGATCCAACTGCTCATGCAAATCATCATCAACCGCATTGCCCTCATCGCAGAACACCGGACTACCATCCGCAACCTCAAATGGGGAACAGTAGTCCTCATCACCAGCATTAACATCGCCGTCTTCTGTATCTGGATCCCATCGCACACTGTCCCGCCAATCAGCGAAACATTCGTCAAGATCAACAACGTCTGGGACAAGATCAGCAAGGTGCTCATCTTGATCGTCGACGCAGGCCTGAACTGGTACTTCCTGCGCACCGTTAAGATCAGGCTCGTCGAACAACACGGCCTGACCAAATACGCGCCGCTTGTAGGCTTCAACGGCAAGCTAATGGTCGTCTCCATCGCCATGGACGCCCTTCTCATCGGTCTCATGTTCCTCAAAAACCAAGTCGTATACATCCAATTCCACCCCGTCGTCTACATGGTCAAGCTCAACATCGAAATGTCCATGGCCTCCCTCGTCGTCCGCCTCGCGCAAGGCAAGCCCCAGAACGATATGAACCCCGAAGAATTCCACAGCTCCTCAGGCCCCGACTCGCACTCCCGCTCCAACGCACGCTCGCACCAACCGCATTCAGTGCAGCTTACCAACCGATCTAAACGCAATACGACCAACATGCGCAGCACGGGGCTGAGCAAGATCGATAGTGACGAGAGTCTGGAGCTAGGTGGTATCCAGTGTAGAACCGATCTACATATCACACATGAGGATAGGAAAGATTACGTTGACAGGAAAGATTTCATAGAAGGTAGCTCGAGGAGTAGCAACGACGCGCCGGCGCCTAGTGTGTTTGGGGATGAGACGCCGTTGAAGCAAGGGACGAGGATACAAGAAAGGGAGATGTGAGGAGCGCTTTCATTTGTTTATTGAGCGGTTGTAATTAATGATACCCGTGGATATGTAATCAGAATTGGTCACTACAAGGACGCCGTCGCACACTGAATGACAGGCCTCATCATCAGCTTCCACTAACCCGTCTACTCACTGACAAGCCGGACGTCTAGCCTTCCCATCAAATGCCGGTGCCAGTTCGAGCTCTTCTCTCCCCACCGGCGGCTTTCTGGCCCGTGCTCACTTGATCCCAGCACGCGCGCCTTCGTCTTCACTCTCACTTCAGCTCAGACCCAACAATTGGACAGCCGCCTATTGTTCGGTCTCGCTTATCTCGCTGCCGATAGTTCATCCGGAGGCCGAGCGCACGCATATATGTTGCGCTCCACCTCCGCAGTCCAACGCTTCTACTCCCCACTGGTTCGCAGAAGAAATCCACTACAACGACCACCACGACTACCTCGACGCGACACTTTCAGCTGCCATGGTAAGGTTTCTCTTGCGTGTCTTTTGTTCATATAGTCATTTCCACAGTCAAGCATCTCTTTCCTTGTGTCTCAACTCATTTCCACTGTCAACCTTTCCTTTTTCCTTTTGTCTCCAACCATTTACATCGGTATACATACTGTTCACACTTATCTTTTCTCAACTCCTCAAGTCATTTCCACTGTCATTTCTATTGTCTAACCCTTACTTAGGCACTTAATCACTCTCTGCGAGACACTGGCGTCACCCACTGCGACAGCAGTTTGCTTTCGACTTCAGGATCCTAAACCACGATTGTTTCTAGATTGGTTGGTCGCACATATCGTCGCGACTTCGACAAGGATCGTACGCGGAGATGGGTATAGAACTGAACTTGAGGTCGTGGTCTAGGCCTAAGTCTGGGTTCTCTGATGTTTTGGTTTCGATGATTAGTATCGGCGCGCATATGATCAAATCTTGTCGGACTTCCCTTGGGCTTGTATATCAATCAGTGGAACTCCATTCCTATCCGACCACGTTCTTCCCATGTGTTCTCCCTCATTGTGGTGCTCTTGGTTGCCTAATCATTCACATGACGTCACCCCCGCCTCCACACGCGACGCGTTCTTCAACCTGGACGAGTCCGAACGACTGCTAGCACATCATCATGTCTTCCTCATCTGGAAACTCTCTTAACGCATTCCTATCGCGTTGCGATATCGGTAACCTGTATAACTACACTTCGCGCGTTATTCTGGAGCTGGCCCTCCTCGGCTACACAGATGTTGCAGGGCGCCTACTAAGCAGTCTCAACAACCATGACTTTTACCACGACCGATTCGGAAGCCTTCGGTCTCTTTGGTTCCTCTGGAACCTCCATGCGCGAGCAGATGGTGTGTCGTGGCCTGAAGGCGAGGAAGAGAAGGTGCGACAGGCTGTGAGGAAGAGACGAGCCAAGACCAAGGGCGACGATACTCGAACGGAGGATGACGAAACAATAACACCAGACGATGTACAAGAAGAGCTGAAACTTTTCGCTAAAGATTTTGCAACGAAATGGTATTATCCCATTGGTATGCCAGACTCCGATCGCGCGGTGGCATTCAACACCCATAAGCTGGACCGCCCGTCCACCACTGCTCAGATGCTTGATTACATACGAGATATCATTCATAGCTTTGAGATTGCACGTCCAGTAGCCAAAATCAGGGACGTGAGGAGCGGGCTGGTAAGCGCTTTGGATATGGTGTTGTTGTGTGAAGCGTATCATGAACAGCACCCCAGGGACGCAACACTACGTAAGTCGGGCGCCCCGACATCCTATAAGCTATTACATTGGCTAGCGCACAGCCTGGGGGAGCAATCGTATGAAACCCAGCCAGCAATGGAGTCTTGGCAGGTATGGAAGCTATACAAACGTGGAGCGCTGAGACAACAATTCGACATCGATGAAGCAGCGCTTGCGAACTTCGCCCAAGACTTCGAGCATACTGTGACCAAGCGACTCGCAAACGGTCGAAGTAAACTGAGGTCAAACCTCTCCGTCCAAGAACTCTTGAAAGCGGTAGAATACAACACGCAGACCAACCCGAAGGCCAGACAATATAGTAACGCGAACGAACAGCCACCCGAGACTTCCCTCTTCAATGCCCCCGCAATAGAATCCCAGATCGAAGAAGCCGAGGCCCGTCTCAACATCACTTTGCCCTCCGACTACAAAGCTTTCCTCCGCTTCAGCAACGGCTTTGGTTCCGCATGGGGTCACCCACTAGGCGACTTCCAAACACCCCTCCACTCCGTCGACAAACTACGCTGGCTCGACCCCACTGAAGAAGACTACTTCACTGATCTCTCGCTCGACCTACCAACCCGATGGGATAAATGGCCATTCGCCCCACCTCCAACAGCCAAGGCCTATGCCTGCGACGACGTTTCGGAGCATTTTCTCATTGGTCGTGCCTTGGAGATTGGTACACAGGAGATTGATAATACGTGGCTCCTCCCGCCTTCCACCATCATGCCGATAAAGCAGGCTGTGAAGAAGATGCTGGACGACGGGAGCTTAGGTGAACGCGAAAAGAATAGTGTGAGAGCCGCAATAAGGGATTTCGCGGGTAGCGAAGAGGAGTGGGAAGAGATGGAGTGGGCGTGTGCTACTTGGGCTAGTGGAGGGGTGGCGGCTATGTATGTTTATCCGGGGTTTAGGACGTGGCTTGAGGATGTTGTGGAGAAGGGGAAGGTTGGGTTGGATGGTGAGGAGGAGGAAGAGAAAGAGAATTTGTTTAAGCGTGGCATGTGGTTGGGGAGGGTGTTTGAGACAAGAGAAAGTGGGGGCAAGTTTGACGCGGATGGGGATGGGGAGGAACTGCCGGGGTGGTTGAAGGATGCTATCAGAGCGGCGATGCCGACAAGAAGGTAGCCAAGACGAGATTCAGCTCGGACTGAGTCGCTCCAAAAGACAG